AACTGAGACATCAAGATATGGAAGAATGATAAACACACCAAAACATCTTAGTGAGTATGAAATTTACTCAGCATATTGTTTGCTAATGAGGCGATAAAAACAGTTGAATGGAAGGAAGCTATAAAAAAGGAATTACACTCGCATGAAAAAATGCAAACCTGGACTGAAGTGCAATTACCAGAAGGTAAAACACCGATACAGACAAAATGGGTATTTCGTACAAAATAAGATGGCATAAAAAAGGCTAGAATAGCGACTAGAGGTTTCCAAATTAAGTAGAAGCATCTTTTTGAACCAGTTTAGCTCCTGTAGCACGTATGGCAACAATAAGAGTTTTATTCTCCATAGCATTACAGAAACATTGGAAAATAAAACAGTTAAGATATTCCTACAGCTTTCTTAAATGGAAAATTAGAAACTGAGGTTTATGTATATCCACCTGAAGGTCTTCAAACAAAATCAACAGTTTTAAGATTGAATCGAGCTTTATATGGTCTCAAAGAGTCTCCAAAAGTTTGGAATGAAACTTTTAATAATTTTGCCGTTGAAAACAATTTTCAGAGATCAAGACATGATTGCTGCTTGTACTGTGGTAAAAATAACTGAATATTATTATATGTAGACATCATGTTAGTAGTGGGAAAGAATGAAAACATTGAAGAAACAGTATTTTTACTAAAGAAATATTTTCAAGCAAAAGATATGGGCGAAGTCAAGAATTTCTTAGGGATGACAATAAATAGAAAGGAAGAACAAGGTAAACTAGAAATAAAGCAAACAAAATTTATTGAAAAACTATTGGAAAATTTTAACATGAAAGAATGTAGTGGAAAATCTACACCTATGGAAAAAAGATTTCAATATAATGAAAATAGTGAGATAGTGAATGTGCCTTACAGGCAATTGATCGGAGGACTGATGTACTTGTCAACAACTACACGACCTCATATAACATTTTCTGTTTCATATTTAAGTAGATTTCTGGACAAGCCAACAAATGATACTTGGAACGCAGGAAAAAGAATATTACTTTATTTAAATACTACTAAATTTAAAGGATTAACCCTTGTGAAAAATGAATCAAGTAATGACAGAGTAAAATTAAAAGCTTTTTCAGATTCAGATTGGGCATCAGATAAACATGATCTGAAGAGTGTAAGTGGTTGCTTAATTCTACTTAGTAAGAACCCTGTATGGTGGTTTTCAAAGAAACAGGGATGCGTTGCTCTTTCTACCGCCAAAGCGGAATATGTTGCAGCCGCTGCTTGTGCTCAGGACCTAATGAATCTTAAAGGGGTGTTAAATTATTTTAAGCTTAATATTCCCACACTGCTTTTTTGTGATAACAGAAGTTCAATATTAATTAATTAATTAATTAAAAGTAATGAGAATTCAAAAAGGGCTAAGCACATAGATAAAAAGAATGATTATTTAAAAGATTTAATATTACACAAGAAAATATTTGTTGAATAGGCACCAACTGAGGAAAATTTTGCAGACATGTTAACAAAACCTTTAAGCAAGGATTTATTTGTAAAACTTAGAGATAAGTGTAATATTGTATAACACTGCTAATGTTTATTCTTGTAATCACGATTTTCATTTATCCAAACACTTTTGTAAAACTTCAAATCGAGGAGGAGTGTTGTGATTATTTGTTATTTATCCTCTGTAAAAGAAGAAGAACCTAAAAATATAAGAGAGAGTGTTAATTTAAATCAGTGTACTCATTATTAATAAAGTTATTTTAGTTCAATACCTCCGTGTGTTCGTAAATTCACAAAAATCTTTTACCTTAGACCAGTGGCTCTCAACCTTTTTGGGATCACGGAACACTTTTAAGTGGTCTCGATTTTGGCGGAACACCATTATCATAAAATTTGTAAATCTAATGTAAATCACACAAAATAATTGGAAGATTAATATTTAATTGAAATAAAGATATATATTACATGGTAACTTATTTTAATGAGAAATTTGCGCTTGACGACCTTTACAAATTTCCTCAAGGTTGGGTCTTATGTAAGAGAGCGCTACTCTCATTTCTTCTTCTAAATTGGTAAGTCTTTCTCTTTTTTTGCTTTTAATATTTGTTAGAGTTGAAAATCCAAGTTCGCACAGATAGGACGTCGAAAAGAGCAACAAGATATTCAACGCTCGTTTTGCAATAAATGGATGTTCATTCTCGATGGAAATCCAAAACCTTTCCACTCCTTCTTCTTTGAATTTTAGTTGTAACGTTCGATCCGTTGATATATTAATAAACTCATCTGCTTCCTGAATAGAAAAATCTTGGTTCATTATATCAAATTCACCAAATGGATTTCGCGCCCAATCAAAGTCTTCAATATTAAGAGATGGAAAGTAATGAGTTATTTTGTCTTGCAATATTGACAAATGCTCTGCCACATTTGAAATCATTTCGTTAATGTTAACAATATTTTCCGTTGCTAATAACGGAAACATATCAAATTTGCGATTTTGAGCAATACGATTTTTCCAAAGCAAAAGCTTTTTCTGGAAAGCTAGCAATTTGTCTGTGGATGTCAGAATATTTTCATTTATTCCTTGAAGAGATGTATTGACTGAATTTAAGGAGCTGAAGATATCGGCTAAATATGCTAGCTTAGTACACCATGCATCATTTTCCAAATATTTTACATATACATCATTACCCTCTTGTCTAAAAAAAACTAGCAATTCCTGTTTCAACTCATGAACTCGGGTTAGCACTTTTCCTCTTGAGAGCCACCTCACTTCAGAGTGCAAAAGCAAACATTCATATTTGGATTCCATGGTGTTACAAAGTTGTTTGAACATACGGGTTTTTAATGGTCTCGATTTAATATAATTCACCATATGTACGACTTGTTCCAAAACAGACTTTAAGTTTGCTGGTAGACTCTTCGAAATCAAAGATTCCCTGTGCAGAAAGCAGTGAGTAGAGACTATATTTGAATTTATTGCTTTAACTCGACTACAAAATCCCTTAATACTGCCACGCATGGCTGGAGCTTCATCAGTACAGATTCCTGCGCAATTTTCCCAGAATAATTTCCATTCTTCCAAATAAGATGATACTGAATTAAATATGTCTTCTCCAGTTGCGTGACCAATAAGTTCCTTGCAGTGTCGTCAACAAAGCGAATAAATCCGATTAATTGGGCTTTGCCACTTATGTCAGTGGATTCGTCAATTTGCAGCGCAAAATTTTTTGTACTTAATTTCGCCGTCACTGCGTTCTCTATAAAACCTGACATATCTATAATTCTTCTTTTTATCGTATCGTCCGAAACGGGAATTTTTAGGACGTCTCGCTGCGCTTCATTGCCAAACATAATCTTAACAATTTCTAAACATGCGGGCAAAATTAGCGATTCTGCGATATCATGCGGCTTTTGCTTCAATGCAATTAGTTCTGCCACTTTATAAGAAGCGATTTGCGCTTTATCCGAAATTGTAACGCTCTTTCGAAAGCATGTTGCTTGCACTTCTTGATTTTTCAGCAATCTTTCGAAATAATCTTTACCTTTCGAAGTTAGACAAGAATGTTTTGTTGAAAGGTGTCGCTGTAACTTAGCTGGGACCTTTGCACTGTTAGCCAATTTTTCACCACATACAATACATCTCGGAATAGGAACATCTTGACTACCGCTCCATGTAAAACCAAACTTCAGATATTCTTCCGAATAATGCCGAACTGATTCGGATATCTTTTTACGTTTATTTTCGGCATTTTTGTTGCCTTGCATATCTCCTTCAATTGAAGAAGACCTGCTTGTACTCGCCCCAACATTAACCTCACTTTCAGTCTTTCTTTTCAAAAATTTGTCCATATTTCAGATTTAAAAGTCTTGTATAAATGCTAAAATAAGCAACTAAAAAAGATAAGAATACTGTTAAAACTACACAACTTGCATTTCATCTTACCAATTTCCAACAATATAAAATATATATATACAATAAAAAACACACTCACGAAAACTCGATATTTATATTAAATTATGGCTGAACCGCAGATCGAAATTGCGCTTTTGTTATTTACGTACGAAGAAAGAGAAACAGCACGAAATCAACACTACGTAGCGCTCCCTGCGTTATCGAGTACACTAGAAATTTAGTGGTATTCCCCGGAGTAACTCCAAACGACGTAACTGCGTCGTTCGATAATTACACTGTTAATATTATTGACTGTTCCGCGAAAATTTAGAATAATATTGAATATTTTTGCTAAATTTCAAATAATTAACAAAACTATTTATTTTATAGTAATAAAAAAATTTACTGTTTCTTATTATATTATATTCAAAATTTTCGCGGAACACCTGGGACAGCTTAGCGGAACACCAGTGTTCCGCGGAACGGCGGTTGAGAACCACTGCCTTAGACAGTGGCTGTAATAAGTAGGGGGCGATAATGACCACAAAATATTCAAAAGATACTCACGGGTTAATAAAAAATATTCTTCTGAATGCGAGTTGCATCACCCTTCGATAAAATTAACTTATACTTTTTTGGAAATAATAATTGATCGTATACGTGGGAATTCATGTGTCCTGTGCAGATTTAGCAATCAATGTACGTCCTTCTCTTTAAAACAAGCATCGTTTTCCTAATTCGTATTCACTTAACTAGTATCGACTGTCAAATTAAAGTCGGCCATGTGACCGTCTGCTACATCGAGATCCCTGGCGAGGCGAGACTCACCGAAACGAGACCGATCGGGATTTTCGACCGTTTGAACATTCGACAATTTGTGGTGTTTCCATTCTGACGGTCATGTCAATGAATGTATTCCTGTTGTCTTGAGAAAATGTACCCAAAAATAGTGTGCGGTTTATTAAAAACTTGCTCCGTTGCGGTTCGCTCGTGTCAAATAAACGCGTGAGTCAAATGCGTTTACCGCACTTACATACACAAGCTATTTACGAATTTCTAGAGCATTTTTAATTTTTTTATTAATTAATTTAAGTAAGAAAAAAAGTATCACCCAATGGTATATAGCAATTTTTTTAATAAATTTAGATACTCTAATCTATTCTAAACAAAAATGATCTATTTGCAAATTAAATTGAGATACTTCTATATAAACTTTAAACACCTAAGTTGAACATATCATTTAATGTACAAGAGAGTGTTTAAAAAATTTAAACACATTAACACTTTCATCTCTACATAAAGAGAGAGCCTTTTCAAATTGTACTGTACTAAAACACCCTTCAGTGTGAGATGCTAAAATACTACCAGTGGTGTTATTAAATACAAATACAAAGAGTGCTTTTATGCTGTCTTCATTGATAGGAGGCAGAAAACAGAAATCTCCTTGACCATTTAAGAAACATGAAACTGCTCCAAACAGAAATTTCATATCGATTCCTGCATCCAAGCAAGCCAGACATACTGCATTTACAGCGCATGATATTAACTGGAATGCGTAAATATTGAATCATTATTGATCAAAATTATGAACGTACATTTACCTGTCCAGAATTTTGCATTTCTTGTAGATTTACCAGTACTGCTGTTCTAGGATACAGTGACACTGCTAATGAGGCTTCGCATATGTTCCGGATCAAGGATTCTCGCAAGCGATCTTGAACCCCTGAAAAAGTAAGTACTTATGAATGCAAAAAAAAAATTAAAAAAATCTATATCAACCTAGAAGGCCTGTTTTTGGTCTGAAATAGCATTCGACACATGCTTTGTCTATATGAGCTTTCTGAAGTTTTACTTCTACTGGTCCATAAATGCCGGCAAGTATTGAAGTTTTGCCTAAATATATAGCTAATAATATTCAGTGACATTTTTTATAAAATTTAAATACCTTCGCAGAAAATAGTGGACCCGTCAGGTCGACTTAATACGCCAAAACTGCATTTCAATTCAGGCTTCTCCATAACAAGTTAGGAAACAAAATGGAATAAATAGATTATCTTTAGCTCATTTTGCCGCTCTGTACTCGTCATATATCTTCTAAACATGCAAATTACGTTGGTCTGTAGAAGTTAACATCATATGTTCTTCCTCTTTTAATATTACATAAATTCGTGCCACTTTGTCAAGGGCAATTGCTTATTATTCGCTGCCCCCTCATTTTACTTCTGTTGATATTGGATATTGGATGAAAATTGATTCAAAGATTAGTGTCAGTTAATAGAGAACAACTCATCGACGGTTGTCTGCAAATGACCGTGATAGACTTGCCTAAGTTTGTTTGGTAAAATGTCAAGTACAAAGAGGAAGAAAATCTATAACATAGAAAATAGTTTACAAGTCTTTGTATATGCTACAAACGTCACTCTTCTGAACTTTTATATCTACATCCACCAAAGCCAAATTTGTAGCGACGAAGAACTCATCCTTAAGGTTTTGGATTGACGTCACCATTCCTGAGAAGGCTGGCTAATTGATCCTTGCCACCTTAACCAATAACTAAAAACATTTTCCAAACTAACCAAAATCAGCAGTGAATAATCATGGTTTTAGTGTGAGGAACCACCTATGATCTATTTATCATTTAGTTTACTCTTATTGATAGTCGCCCACCAAAAAGTGCATGTCTGAAAGTGACACAGAAGATTACGACTCCGTCTCAGAGAAAACCAGACTCATGGACGGTCATGTCGCAACCAACAGCAGCAACAATAGCGGTCTTGAAGTTAGACATGAGATTCCCAGAAAACGAAACCGAAACAATATTGAGGCCAAAACAGAAACAACACACGCAGATGAAAACCCTGAAATAAGAGAATTCGTGGCTCATCAGGAAGAAGAGGAAGAGCTAAAATATGGAGCTAAACACGTCATCAAATTGTTTGCGCCGGTTTCACTATGTATGGTGGTTGTTGTGGCTACCATAAATGCAGTAAACTTTTATTCCGTCAAGGATATGTATTTGTAGGTAGGAAGAATATTTGTGAATTTTGTAAAATTGGAATTCTTCCTTTATAGAGTCTATACACCATTTCACGAGGAAAGCCCCGATACTAGTACCAAAGCTTGGAATGCTGTAGCCAATTCCTTAATTTTAATGGCTGTTATTGTTGGAATGACAGTTTTATTGATTGGGCTTTACAAATACAGGTGCTACAAGGTGATCCATGGCTGGTTAATAGTGTCTTCTTTAATGCTGTTATCAGTATTTAGTTATTTATATCTGGAGTAAGTAGAGAAGTAAGTTAAGTAACAGGCAAAAATAACTTTTGAACTTTAGGGAGATATTAAGAGCATACAATATCCCTATGGATTATCCAACATTATTATTTTTAATGTGGAATTTTGGAGTAATGGGTATGATATGTATTCACTGGCAGGGACCATTAATTTTACAACAAGCGTATCTAATTTTTGTTGCTGCTTTGATGGCCCTGGTATTTATAAAGTATTTACCAGAATGGACAACTTGGGCTGTTTTAGCTGTGATCTCAATTTGGGGTAAAATAATATTTTTTCTGAAGTATATGAAACTTATTAAAATATTGTTTTAGATTTAATAGCAGTTTTAATGCCCAAAGGGCCTCTGAGAATATTGGTTGAAACTGCACAAGAAAGAAATGAACAAATATTCCCAGCCCTTATCTATTCCTGTAAATTATTATTTGATTTTCTGTCTGGATCAATTAAAATTAAAAAATTTCATTTTTAGCAACATACATGTATGCTTATACCAGCATGGCAACAAATGAACATCAGCAAACTGGCTCTCGTTCGAACAGTGAAGATCATGGCTTTACACAAGATTGGCTTAATAACCACACTCAGAGAGTTGCTCAGAGACAACTAGAAGTTCATGATGCACCAAGTGGACAGGTCCGAACACAAATTCATCATGCTCCAGAGGAAGAAGAAAGTAAGAGATACTGTTACTAATATAAATTTTTAAAAAAATAAAATTTAAAAAAATTTAAAGGTATAAGACAAATTTAAATTGTTCAATGTTCCTGGAACAATTCAATCAGAATTTACAGGCCATGCTAAAATACATTTTTTGTCTATTAAAATGAGAAGAAATTTATAAAAAGAAATTGCTTTAATATTACATATTAAAGCCAAGTCTTTTTAAGTAATAAAAGGTTCTATTGTTTCATTTTCACCGAAAGTGTCAGCATCCAATTTATCCAAAAAGTCCCCACTATATCTTTTGCTTATCAAAAGCCTAAAAATATACAAACTTTCAATTCCTTCATTAATTTTTTACAATCAAATCAAATTTTTGGAAATTAGTTTAGACAGAAAGACTGGATTTTTAATATTGCGGGTTTTTTGAGTTTTTTTTTCTCAGAATTGCTAGAAAGCATTAAGATATATTATACTTAGTGCTATACTTATTTATTGATACTTTTAGGAGGAGTAAAACTTGGATTGGGAGATTTTATATTTTATAGTGTCTTGGTAGGCAAGGCCTCTTCTTATGGAGACTGGAATACCACTCTTGCTTGCTTTGTGGCCATTTTAATTGTAAGTTTAACTATTTATATTTTTTTAAATTTAGATTTTAACATGTTTTTCATTTTCAGGGTCTTTGCTTGACATTGTTATTATTGGCAATTTTTAAGAAAGCTTTGCCTGCATTGCCAATTTCCATTACTTTTGGATTAATTTTTTATTTTGCCACTAAAGAAATTGTCAGTCCATTTGCGGATAGTCTAGCAAATGAACAAGTATTTATTTAGTTTCTTTTTTTTTTTAAATTGCATTGTTAGGTTGTACGCATATATATATATATATATATATATATATATATATATATATATATATATATATATATATATATTGTACACTTCCAAATTTGAGAGCTAAGAGGTACTTACCTTAATATTTACAAAAAATATCTCAAAAATCCAAATTCTTTTCTATTAAATTAGTAGTCAATAGGAAATACTATTTATTAAAACATTTTAATTAATATTTAGTTTTTTTTCCTGGCTATTCTTCCCAGTAGGGCTGTAGTTCAAAATCTGTTCAATACTTTCCTTTTGTTGAGACCATAACAAATATTGTCGGTTTTGAACATCAAATACTTTAGGTGTCTTGCATGTCATACATGTATGTACAAGCTGCTTTTTCCGGATCCTTACTTTACTGGTTATGCCAGCCAGCAATAAAGTCCTGCATTTTTTGCAAATTGTTCTTTTAATTCCAATATCCCTAAAAAATCAAATAAAAACGTTGGAAATAATCTAAATAAAGATTTCTTACAATCTTTGGACCGTTTTTTTGGAAACATTTATTAAAAGGTTGGAATAGTGAATAGATGCTGTATGCTCGGATGGACTTTGTGTAGCAGTTTCATTAGTAATCTAAAAAAATAAAAATAAAATAATATTCCAATGAAAATGGTTCCAAACGTGCCTGATATAAATAATTCAATCTCTGAAAAGCGTCTTTTCCGACACATTTCTTAGTGTTGACCATGAAAAATACAGGGGGCGGCAACGTTGCAAATCTGGGATATTCAACTACTGGTAGTTCAAACGCGTCCTTATTAAAAAAATTAGGATAATACAGAAATTGGGTTATTAATGCTTTTCGTTAAAATTCATAACCTAAAAATGAAACAATATAGAACGTAATAAACATTTGTTATCCTTTCCTGATTGTGAAATGATGTACCACTGGGCGGAGCCATATCCCGAAATTCACAAAATATGTACACTGTTCAATTTGACAGAAATATCTAAACCTAGTAGATACAGTTATAAACCCTTACAAAGTTACTTACAAGAAGGACCACAGTGTGGATTGATAGCACTTGCCATGGTTAAGGGCAATACTACCAGGGAATATGTAAATAATATATTGGAATATGCCAAGAAAAAAGGTTATACTAAAAACGGAGAAATATTCAGCGTAGATTATATGGAAAAGCTGGCAAGAGAGTTTTTAAAAGCAAAATACATTGACATTTGTTGCGCTGATCTTCAAAGCCAAAAAATGAGGGAAATATTATTGAATGGGGCGCAACTGCTTGTACCGTATCCTTAATACTCTTCTATAAAAAGATATTACGTTAATCATTTAAATGTTTTTACTTATGTAAATCCAGATATGACACAAATAAGGATAACTCGCCAGGCTTTCACAGAGGGCATAAAGCACATTGGTGTGCAGTTTCAGGCGCTGTTGAGACTGAGAACAACTTTTTTGTAATTGCTAGACATGGCAAGGCAAAAAATGTGGGAATATGGAGTTTAGAGGAATTAGCAAGAAGTAATAGTCAGCTGTATGAGTTCTCACCAGATAGAAAATTTGATAATTTGGACTATTGCCTTCCAACTGGTGGAATTTGTGGCCCATGTGGTCTCAATGAAAGAAGTATTGTTATTTTTGAGGAAGAAATGTGAAAAATTACTCTTAGTTGTAGAATATCACATAAAAAATAAATAAATCAGAAAAATTGATTAAATAATATTTTAAATAAGAGGACCATGGTAATGAATATAACAAAGTCAAAGGGCGGGAAATATTTGACTGCTGACACTGGCAACTGAAGTTTCCGATGAAAACTTTTTGATATCTAACCTATTTTGCCTTACAAAAATAGTTGCAAAGTTTGGACCGTCCACAGATTCAAACAGTAGGGATTTATTTACCCTACATCTGGATATAACAACTGAACGCATTTAGAGCGATTCAAAGCAAAAACGTTAGTTACAAATCATAGACGCAATTTTTAAATTAATGATGCAAATAGATATAGATAAATTAATACTTACAATAATTATAATTATACTTACAATTTAAATTGAAGTATTCACAGAATAATAGAAAACATTGCTCGATGCAGACCGTAGAAAAAGGGGTGAAAATAGATCCATGATGATATCTACCATTCAAAAAGTATGGTTTATTTAAATATTTTCTGTGAAATAGTTCAAATACTCTTTGTTAAGTAGTCCCAACGTCATTTGAAGTAATATAACCTAGATTTAATAGTGACGTTTAATTTGATTTATCCATTTCTCAAAATAATGAAATTAGCACATTGTACATTAATATCTATTTTAATAAAATGTTCTTTTGCATGGGATTCAGAACAACTTGAAGTATTTGATGTGGTGGACGAAGTAAAGGAGAACTTTTATGATCTTCTAAACATTTCCAAAGTAAGAGTACCTATGCATCGACTTGTAGGCAAAGCCGACACGTATTCATTATAGGATGCATCCAGTTCCGAAATTAGATCGGCCTTTCGAAGCTTATCTCTTAAACTTCATCCTGATAAAAATCTGGATACAGACACTTCTGTTCAATTCCGCAATTTAGTCTCAGTCTATGAAGTTCTAAGGAGTGTTTCAAAAAGAAAGTATTATGATGAAGTTCTTGTCAATGGTCTGCCGAACTGGCGGTCTGCTGTGTATTACTATAGATATGTCCGTAAAATGGGTATTACTGAAGCTTGCTGTATCTTATTTATTATTGTAACCATTGGACAGTATTTGGTCAATTGGGCTGCATATCTTGAAAGAAAGTATACAATTGTGAGTATTTTTATATGCTTATATGTTTATAGCTTACTAATCCATTCTCTTGCTGTCAGTGCTTGTTCACATTATTATCAATGTTAAAAATGTTAATAAAAAAAAACTGTATATTTCATGTGTCTGAATATATGTCATTGTTAGCAATAATTAAAAACAATTTATATAAATAAATAATTCTAGCTTGATTTAATGATCTAGACTAAATCAAATTATACCTTGTTTTATCAGTTTTATTATTTGTATAATCTGATACAATTGACTTTCTATTTAAATAGATTTGTAAGTTTCTTTTTCCTTTTAGCAAGAAAATTTGAAACGGAAGAAACTAAGCAAAAAAATAAATCTTAATGAATTTGTAACGGAAATTCCAAAACCTTCTTTTGCTGATACATTACCTGTCCAACTCCCCCGATTAATTTGGTTTTCTCTAATATCAATTCCATATGGTTTAGGTAAGATTGAATATTTTAATCAACTTCTAGCAACCAAATTAACTCATATTCGTTCAGGCGTGATTAAATCGGCAGTGACTGAACATATTGAAGAAGCCAGGAGACCACATGCTTCTGAACCTGAACCTGAGCCTCCAAAAATTAAAACTGTTAGAAAAAGAAATAAATTTATTGTTCCAGAAGGGCCTAATTTCGAAATAAAATCTCAAAACCACAATGAAACAGAACTGACTATTGAATCCTCTGCTCCACCTCCATTATGTGGAGGGTTGTGGACTGATGATGATTTAGATGAACTTATTAGATTAGTAAAGAAATATCCCCAGGGCTCTGCCAAAAGGTATATTCTTTAGAATGTAGTTAAATGCAGAAAGACAGTAAGCTATTTTAGGTGGGAAAACATTGCGGAAGCTTTAACTAGATCAGTTCCAGAAGTTACTTACATGGCAAATAGAATGAAAGAAAATGGTTATAGATTGCCTTCGGAAAAGGAAGAAGAAATCTCTCCCATTAAAGTAAAACAAAAAACTAAGAAGGATGGTGACCCGGCGTTAATTGTAAAAAACTGGAACCAAGTACAGCAAAAGACATTAGAAGAGGCCCTATCTAAATATCCAAAAGGTTGCCTCGATAGGTGGGATAGGATTGCTGACTGTGTTCCAGAGAAAACAAAGGTGAATATTAAACTCAGTTTATTTTGGCTTTAAATTGAAATTAATTATCTTGAAAAATGTAAAAAAATTTGAAATATTTTTAGGAAGAATGTATGATGAGGTTTAAATATTTAGCAGAGTCCCTAAAAAAGCAAAAGGAATCTGTGATAGCGGAATCGCAAGAAACTGACAACCTACATTTAATTGAAATTTAGTTTTGATATTTATCAATATATTTAAATAACAATAAATAGATAAGAAAATATATATTTGATTTTATATGTAGGCTTTGGGTAAAAGCCTTAAAGTAAGACATGGAAATGAATAGTTCTTGTAAGAAAAATAGCAACATTTTATTAAGTGCTTCTAGCATACAATCACAAATCTGGAGTAGAGATTGGTGCTTTGTACCGTATTTGCGTCCTTTTTTCCTTATTATATCTGAAATAATAACAGAGGACCTTAAGCACCCTCCCTAATGGCATGATATATTATCAACGCCGATTTTGAGGATGCTCTGAATGAGATTTAGATCGGAAAAGATGTGCTTATTCCAACGGATCCCTTTCTGTTTCTAATAGGAAATTTATTCATCTGTTTTGATTAACTTACATCTGGACTAACAGTAGGTGGTTGTGGCCACAGAGGATGGGATAAAATTACCGACGTTCATTGGTGTAAATGGTGTTGAGAAATTTGGCAACATAGAATCTTTTCTCCCTGTGTCAATCCTATTCCCACATTTTAAAAATTCAGATTTTTGGTTTCAAATAAATTTTTCTTTCGGGGGAGTAAAATTTTTCCCTTTTTCAATAACAGCTACAAAAATGGGTTACAATAAATTCCACAAATCTAATAACCAATTTATTTCCAAAATGCAGTCTACACAATCATAAAATTAGAAAATCTACACAGGATTAACAAAATCTTCTAACAATTCAAATGTATTCAGATAATTTAATGTTCATTGTGTTTTTTTTTTCAATTTTAAGATGCCTAATAGCATCAAAATTAATTTTACCAATTAAATTTACGCCACTGCCCAAAATTTTATTAATCCTGCATATTTCTAATATTATACTCTAATATTTATACTTATTTAAAATTTTAAGAACGCTGAAATAATTTTCCGCCTTTTTCTTCATATAAAATTATGAAAAAATATATTTACATTCTACTAATAAGGAAGTCACAAATAATAAGCTGTCGGCGAAGATCAGTGGAAACAAGATAAAACTACAATTCGCGATCAAAAACAATAATATATAATCTACCTTATAAAAGAACAAAAATATAATTCTTTTCAAATAAATACCATAATTCAGCGTGATAAACTTAAAAATTTTAAGTTAACGAGTGCTCGAACGGCGAAAAAGGTTACGTTGCAAACAAATTTAAACCTTATACGGGGTGTTTCAAAAAACATGTGCCATCGCTGGTTCTTCACGAAAAAATAAGACTCTTTTTTATATCAACTACAGAGTTAAAGAGTTTTTATAAAAAACAAAAAATATTAAAATTTTAATTTTCAACACTTTGGGAAGTTAATGACAATGACAACTTTTAGATCAGGATTTTTTGAGGATTAGGTATAAATGAACAGAGATAAATAAAATTGCATTTACCGCATTAAAGAGGTCGAAATCGACAAACGAACTCGAGGTAGCTTTTAACAGGCAACAGACAGCCTTCTTAATTTTGCTATAAAAGTCAGTGGCGCGTAGGTTACCTATACGTTTTATTTTTACGTGAGGCAGATGTTTTTTGAAACGCCCTGTAGGTATACTTGTGAAATTTCGGAAAAAGGCCACAAAAGCAAGAAAACAACTCGAATACTGGTAAAACATTTTGCTGCGATTATGATTTTTGTCTTGTTGGTTCCGACAAACTTTTGATGCAACTAAAGTTGACGATATCGAAAAATTTTATTTAAAAAAAGTTGATCAGAAGTAAAAACTAAAAAATTTATTTAGTTATAAATTCCAATTTTATTGTAATCTAGGATGGACCAACAAAATAACGAATGTTTGATAGCAACAAATGTCTGTAACCGTCAAAACGTGTAAGAATTTTAGCCATAAATAGGGTTGTTAAGGAGTGAAGGTCTTGATTGTAGGAGAAAATAATAAAAAATAATAATAGACATCCTAATTAAAAGATTATCTATTTAGCTGTTACGAAAATAATTAATCCATTCAAGAATACTGAAAGTTTTGAAAATAGGTTTGATGTAAACGCTCACAAACTGTTAATGCAAAAAAATGTAAATAAATATACTGTGACAATGCTCATCCGAAAAGAGTTAGATGACCCCTTTTTTTTCTGATGAGACAACATTCTCGTCTAATAAAACTGTCGCATCACAACATTATCACTGGTGGTCTGTATCTTGAACGTATGAAACGTTATCCACAGTTATCTGATTTTTTTTGATCTGCTAGAAGAGTAGAAACAAGAGGTTGATTTGCATTGAACAAGATGTGTGAAAATTAAATTTGTATTTATTTTTTTCTATTCATTTATCCCAAGAGAATGTTCATTAAAAATAGAAACAATATTAAGCAAGCGCCACCACCACCACCAGATCTGTTTTTCCAGGTTAGTTTTTAGTTCTGATCAACTTTTTTTAATAACATTTTTTGATATTGTCAAATTTAAAGCTACTTTAAACTTCAAAATAAATAAGAACTAAAAGTTCAGATTTTCACGAAATTATATATTTTGACATGAGAATTGTTTCGACAACACCGTGTCTTTATCAAATGTTGATATTTGATAAAGACAGTGTTGTCGAAACAATTGTCATGTCAAAATATATAATTTCGTGAAAATCTGAACTTTTAATTCTTATTTATTTTGATAAATGGATTTTCATGAAGTAAAAGCCTCCTCAGTTCAATACTTTAAACTTGGGTAAAACTTATATTTTATACCAAACTTCGTAAATAATTGGAAAAGATTCATAGACGTATATATACTTTCTCTATCAATCAGATGTATGCCTAATATGAGTCTTGAGTGTTTTCCAGCCGACAATCCAATTGAGTTTTTATACGGCATTACAAGCTTACTTACCACATTCCGTAAACAACTTGGAACACCTTTTTTAACATGCCAGTGAACTGTTAGTCGCAATTTAAAAACGTTGCGATCTAGCTTTTATTTTCCAAATTGAAATTTATCGAATCTGAATGAAAAGTTTTACAGTACCTAAAATGCAGCTACAATCTTTAAAAAATATTTTTGGCTTGAACGACTGTTGCTCGAGGAGAAGGAGAATACAACTTTTGCGCTTCCAATCAAAAGTAGAAATTACGAGCCTGGACCATATAACATAAACAACAGCGTGTTTTGCTAAATTTAGCCGGTTATTTCCGAAATGAATTGGAGCAGCTCTCATTAAATTGTATCCAATGGTCACGGTACACTATTGATCCAAATGTTAGTTCAAACCCCTACAAATCATCACCCACAGCTCCCAATCAAGCTTCAAATTTTACTTTGTTTCATAGGGATGTTCAAAAAAGAGCCGAAAATCGAAAAAGAAAATGTCCGCCAATGTTGTGCGGTCCGTGTAGTATAAAAAAGGTGCAAATTATTTTATTATGCGCACACCCCGTATGAAGTACCTTTCACAGCAGCCGAAATTCAAAATCATAAAAAACTTTAGTAAATATAAAATTGTAAATCAGAAAATTGTAGCTCTCGACACAGTTTACGATACTGCTTAAACTAATGTACATTTTTCAAGTACAGCCAATAATTTACCCACAAAAATCGGAATTTCCAGGCTTTTTTAGATTTTTTGCCCATAAACCAAACACCCTCTATATGATTTAAAAAATAATCGAAGTTAAGGTTATAGCCCTGAATGTCCCACGTTTCCTAGTCCATGAATTTTTTCAAAAGAGCAAATGGTTTTCGAGAAAAGAATTCTTTTCTGAAACTATGCAGTACAGCGTAATAGTGAATAACGTCATTTCGTCTAGATTGAGTGCTAGAAATTGCGATTTTCATATGGATTTTTTTAAATATCTCGAGTAGCGTAATGAAAGCATATATACAACAATTATAGCTCTCGATGTGGCGCTAAACCAACTAACCATATCGGCAAATAATTTACTCTGGAAAAGAACAATTTTCATGGGTCTTAGATTTTTGTCTATAATTGAAAAACCCTGTATATAATAGAAAAAATGCTTGAAATAAAAGTTATAGCACCGAATCTTCCGGGTTCTTTGGTTCAGGAATTTTGCCGATCGGGATAATAGTTTTCGAGAAAATATTTTTTTTTGGGAGACAAAATAACGTTTTTTTTAATACTTCGCGATATTCAGTGGCGACCAGTTTTAACAGTTTAAATGTAAGTGTTAACTTCTACCTCCCTGCTAAATTGAAAATTGATAGCTTGAAATTTAAGACACTTGCTACATTTCTAGCATGGAATAGAGTGAACACCCTGTACAATAGATGAAAACCTTAAATGCAAAAGTTTTAGCTGTCTATGCGGTCTCTATCACCATGTAAAAGAAACTGTCAACTGAAGCACGCTCTTCTTAATGATCGTCAATCACCATTATAAGGGGACCCCAATTTTCAGTTTTTTGCGTAATACCGGGCATACCCTCTATATTTTTGAAAATTATCAGGGATAGAGGGTAATACCACTTAATCTCATGGATCTTTTCCTTTAAGAAATTTTTCGATTGCATAAACGGTTTTTGGATAATTGACGTTTTTCTTGGACCCTTCTAAACGCGATTTTTAATTTTTTTAAAATACTTCCCGACCCAATTTTCGTCATGAGGCTAAGCTGCCAAATTTGAAGTTGGCAGCTTCAAATTTCGGACACTTTTTGTGTTTCATAGCGATGTCCGAAAATAAAGAAAATCTAAAATCTCAATTTACAAATTTTAATATCGACATGATTTTTTTTAATGTTCGAATTCATTTGCTTTCAATTAGTTCAACTACAAACTTAATCAAATCCATTCGGTACTAAAAACAAAAAGCTAAACCAAATCAAAATACCAGTGCAAGTATCTATTTTAATATTAGTTTCAGCCTAATGTCCTCTAGGACACATCTCTAATTCTTACAAGCTTACCCTTGATATGAAGTTACAACTACTACAACTATATCACATACAGAGTATTCTTAACATTAAGTCTATAATTTCTTCATTAAAGGTATATGTATATACTTTTATTAGTTTTTGAGCTTTAACAAAATATTATATTGTCAGCGCCGGGCATACAACCCATGACTAGAAGCAATCATTAACGCTTGTATTATGGTTACTAAAACGGGAAGCGAAGCAAAATTGAATAAATAGCACGAACATTTTTTATATGTAAAAATTGATCTAATGAAATAAGTCTTCAGCTCAGTTTTAACCTCAGATAATTTCATCACAGGAAAGTATATTTTCCTAAGTATTATCTCATAACATGGGTGGAGGAGCTTTACCTAATTGAACAATATAATTTATCATTTTGGATATATCAATCCCATATCACGTTGATTTACTATTAATGCTGCTATGAATGAATGAATGAATAGATGTCCTAGTCGTTGCACTGCATCAATAAGAATTGTTTTCATTAGACCAAGTAACGCACTACACTTAATTACTATCTAGGAATACTTGCTGTTGTTGAGACTGCGTGTCGGATAGGGTTTAACCTCAGTTCATTTCGGTGCTGGCCAACGGAACACCAATAAGTGATACCGGAAGGTTCTTAACGTGAGTCTGCCAAGATGAGTTCAACTGGAAGAACTTCACATTGCTATACTCTACTCCATCGATATACACTGAAAAAGAACATTAGGATTTAATTTTTATTTAATACAGAAGGTTATATGATATTGTTGATACATTTTACGATATATTATTTGAGGCTGTGTACCAAAGCATGTAGGTAAATAGTCCTCCTTTCCTTTTTGGTTTTCACCAGAGTTAAAGAGAAAGCTTATGTAAGGGAATATAAAAAGCTGAGTAATACTTGTTATTCTCAGTGTGTCTGGTGTCGACCAACAGATAAGAGAGAACGTGGGAGAATTCTTCAACTTTGTCAGGCACACCAGCACACAGCAGAGGTCAAATTCCAGAAAATATGTTTTTTGGTGATAAGCATGCTGAGAGATTTAAGAAAATATCAGAACTCTGCATCAAATTTAACTTTAAGAGTGTGAAAAGTGATGATGTGTTTGGTAAAGGGAATTTACAGTATGATTTGGCTGACCAATAAATGTGATCGAGCTAACCTTTGACACTTGTTGAATGTTAAAAAGGGGGCTGGGCCTGATATGATAAAAAACCTGTTGTTTAGCGAATGTGCCGTATCCTTGTGTTGTTTGTATTTATTAATTTAGGCATATTCCCAGAGAGATGGAAACATTCATTTGCAGCCCTATATTCAAAAAAGGTAATAACTGCAATATCACCAACTACCATTTTGCATACAATGAGCACTACCCAAGGTATTGGAAAGGACGGTTTTGCCAGTGCTGGAAGGAGTCTTCCGTAATATTATTGTTGAGCAGCAGCATGGCAAATGGCCGTTCTACTGTGACGAACCTTTTTACTTACTTCGTCCCTCGGGATCTGGATAATGGCTGTGAGGTGCATTCCATATAATCTTACTTAAATGAGACCTTTGATTTGGTGGATGAAGGAGTATTACTGAACAAACTTCAAAAGTTTGACGTTGTGCGTTTCTATCGTGGCTATCTCCAGGGCCGTACTTAGCGAGTCAGCTGTTTTTTCTCACACAACATAGATATAATATCTGGAGTGCCTCAACGTTCCCATCTTGGCCCAAAATTGTTTCTTCTTCTTTGGACTCAGATTACACACTTTGTGCAGATGATTTAAAAATTTACAGCTGTATAGGGTCAGTTGATGATTGTGAAGTAATACAAAGGGATATTAATTTCTCTAGTGGAGTGGTGTAGGATGAACAATTTAAAATTAAATACTGCAAGATGTGCCTGTATGGTTTTCTCTCGACGTACAAATCCTGCTGATTGCTCATATAGATTGAATGAGTGTGTGTTGAAGAGAATAAGTAATAAAGGATTTAGGTATCATTATGGATGAATCATTACGTTTTGAGCGGCACATTGAGAATTTCGTTAGCCGGGCTAACCATATGTTGGGTCTGGTATGGAGAATGTCCGGAGATTTTCACAAATTGGGATGTATTGTCATGCTTTACAGTTCTATCTTGAAGTATGGGTCAACAATCTGCACTCCTTTTTACAAAATTCACAAACATCGAATTGAGGCTGTGCAGAACAAGTTTTTAAAGTATCTTAGGTATAGGATGGGCCAGAACGGTTTACATATAGATGCCATTGAAGAGGGGAGGGCTTCATGGACTGACTTTTCTCTAGGACCTTAGTAAATTTCTGGATTTATGTTTTGTCATTCAAGTGATCAATGGTGCCATTGATTCTCCTTGTATCCTGTCAAGTTTTAATTTTCATGTCCCTTCTTGAGAATTGAGATGAAGTCACCCTTTTGTCTCCTGTACTGAGTAATACTCGATATGTTCTGTTCAGAATATGCCTTTAAATAGCTTTAAAAATAAATTAAAGAAAATTTTTTTCTTATCATTACGTGACTTAATAATGTTTCAAATAATGTGCCATCTAAATGATATGTAGTTTTTTACTGTCCATAGTTTGTCATTTTCTTTTTGTTATTATATGCTAGTTAAAGTTAGGGTTATTAATATTTAAAATAAATCTGTAAAATGGTGTAACATCGACAGAATAAATAAGTAAATAAATAAGTTAGACGCCAATTTCAGTTCCTGAAATTAGTGTTTGAACATTTTTTAATAATACCCATTGTTAAAGCTTCGCCTTATACTTGTCTCAAAAAAAGACAAATATTCATAAGAATGAGTTTTTCTTGCTTAAGCAGAATAAAGCGTTAAATTTAATCCTTTTATTATAAAAATTCCTTAATTCAAGTCCCTTTGGCTATATAGTCAATTTATAAGTTTACAGTCAGACTCGAAACTTGATGTTTGATTCTTGAGTTGTATATTCATTTAAAAAAGAATTTCTTACAAACCATATCGCTGTTGATAAAAAAAGTAGTATTTGTTATTTTTGGGATAATGTTTAACGAAATGTTGGCAAGAAATTTTCGTATCCAGTTAAATTTCTAGTTAACCTAGGCTTTTGAATACATAAAACTAATATTCTGCGTATAGTGTGACGGTAAAAAACTTCAGCGATGTACAAGGCGTCTGTTTTTTGGTGGACAAGTAAAAACGTTATGTTAAATAGAGCACCCTATATATTTAATAATTTTTGAATTTTTCGCAAAATTTTGAACATATTTGATATATGTCTTACCGTTTCTGACATATCTGGAATTTTATGTCAAAAGTGCGTTTCCCCAACTGAAGACCGTTCTTACATATTTCGCTCTATTGTACTGATCTGCATTGATATTTTTAAAATAACTACAGAGTAATGAAAAAGTAACATTAAAAATTTGGCTTTATGTCACTCAAGAAATTTCTAATAATTTGGGAAAAAAAATTATCGCGGAGTCGTCGGTCTAGTAGGTGGTGAATTATTTAGATGCAAATGGAAAAATTTGCTATCTGTCAGTTATTGTCAGCATAGTTTCGACTTTATATGAAATAATGTAACTTCAGACTAATTAAAAATTCATGCATTCCAATTAATTTTTCATTTATGTCCCCATCAAACCTATAACTGTTTGGTGTATTTTAGATCTGAGATGTATTTAATTGGTCACAATGCCTTTAGGTCCTATTGTTGTGGCTAGAATTGTAGCATTAATATAAGATGGTTGAGGAAAACAGGAAACTGCAAGAATTGTTAGTAGGAGTCTATGTACTGTACAATACATATACCGATGCTACGAGGAGACTGACTTGATCCCTAGAAGACCACGATCTGATTGAAATAGGATCATCAACGAAAGAGATGATCCATTTTTCGTGTCCGCAAGTTTGCGGAATAGAATAGCTTCTGCTGTTTGGTTTCGAAATCAACTTCAAGAGGTTAAAAATGTTAATGTTCGGATTGCTACAGGGCCGCCATTCCACCAATGGCATCGGACTGGAATGATTATGAATCGGACACCTCACCTAAAGAGACCCGAAGAAAAGTAAGCCCCCGATTATATTGATGAAAGACTTTCACATGGTGCTGATTCAGTTATGGTTTGGGCGGGAATTTATTCAGAAGCACGCACAGAGTTCGTCTTTATGCAGAATGGATGTCCGACAGCTCACAGGTGCAATATGAAAATCCTATACCCCACACAGCCAGAATAGTCAGTGAATATCTGGATGATGTGGGAATTAGGCTGTTTGATTGACCAGCACTCAGTCCAGACATAAATCCCACCTAACATGTCTGGGATGAGATGGGACAACCTAATCATAGATATACACCAGCTACAAGAAGTGCTGAAAAACCTGCCAATGCAGAAATTGGACAACATCGACCAGACTGTAACCCGTAATTTAATTCAAAGGATGCGTCGTTGATAACATGCAGGTTTGCTCAATTGTCAATTATCATAATGGTCATAATAGACATTTTCTGTTTTCTGACAGAATCGTGAAAACCAACATAAGATTTTTCCCATTAAATGTTAAATTCAGTTACCCAAATAGAGTATGATAGATAATTTACCACCTACTAAAAAAAAAATTGTAATTTCTTGAGGGACCTAATTTTTTTACTAGCCAGTGTATATCTAAGGAAAAATCAAACCGTTTCACCTTTTAGCGGAGAGGTATGAGACGCACGAGCAGAACATATGAGTCGCGACACCCCTTCCACGTTTTGACTGCGTGGTTCAACCTCCTTTTCCTTTTCCTTTTTTTTACCTAGTCTCATAACTAAAAAATTATTTCTTTGATTTAAATTATCTTATAAAATTCATTAACAATTAATCACTTTTCTGCTTCTTTTCCTTGCTTGCCATATGCATAGTTAGACTTAGACCAGACGCAGGAGTGGGTGAGGCTTGTAGACCTCGAAACATGCTCTTCAAAGATACTTTTCCTTCTTGCTTAGTTTTGTCTTTATCAGCCTTAAAATTGTCGATTAAACTAAATATGATTAACTTTGACCAATATATGCCCACCTTAGCTGCTGTTTCACAGAATTTTGGCAATTGCCAGTAATCGATTTGTAGTTCGAGTGGTTCCCATGGCGAATCGCGAACCTGGACATTAGGAGAGGAAGGAGGAGTGACAGAAGGTGCCGGTGGGCTTGAACAAATGTCATCCATGTCCACAGATACTGACAGTATATTTTCTGCGGGACCAACTCTAACTTCCTAAAATTAAAAAAAAAGAAAAAAAAAAGAAACAAACAAATTATCAGTTCCGCACTTACGTTAACAAATGGAATGAAGACTTGACTATTTTCATCGTAACAGGTCAGCATGGCTTCGCCAATAGGTAAATGAGCAAGCGGCGCCGACGAAGGTACTGATATGTATCTGAGCAATCTAGAAATTATAGAGTTGTGGTTGTTAAAAATGTAGTAAAAAATGTTTTCAAAGGTTCAAAATTTTGTGCTTTCGCACACAATGTTTTGTCGCTTCAGAGAGATATTCATTTAGGCCGAAGCTACAGAAAAAAACTTTGGAAACACTTTTGTTTGCCAAGTTTTAGGAAATCTACAACTTTTTGAAATAGGAAACTTGAACCAACACACCATTTTTTTAAATGCCAAACAGAATAAAATTATAAAAATAGGGTGATTCCATTTGAAAAAAATGAGTTTTAATGAATTTTTCATGTTAGCTTTTGGCCATACTGTATTTATTTATTTTGAAAAGATTAACTCACACCATTAAAGTAGATAATATATTTAGACCCGCAAACATCACTTTTGATATGACATTAAAAATATGCCAGAAACTGTTACACTTAGTAACAGCCTCTTATACATAAAATATGCCTACAAAATTCCGAGTATTTCAAAAATGCCTTTGATATATAAGGTTTGAAATAAGAAAGTTGTTATTTGCACACGAAAAGACAAACGCTCTGCACATTTAGAAATGTAATATTTGTAAAGCATAAGTGAATCCAAATAACTTTTGTCTTTTAAGTTTTTTTTGGTATTTTGTACAGATTTTGACACAGATCTCATACCATAATAAATGGCCACCTCTTACACAGTTGACAGATAATTTTATCATAATTCTTTCGGCTGCATGCCCTAAATCACCACATTTTTATTCTATGGCCATAAGGTCATAAGACCATTATCAGTAATATTTGATGAGCCCATGAGTGAAAAAAAAATGAAAAAGAAATTATTGTCCATTTAAATAAATACAAAAACAGAGATAGAGAGAAATGGTGGAAATAACACTTGAATAAATTACGTTACATTACTACTCAGAAATACTAATGCAAACCTCTGTATAAGTTCGTCGCCTTTTGATTCTGCTTCAACTGGAAACAATGACATATATGCTTGATCCAATGTTGACAAATGTCTGCTAACGCCACAAATTCCTATAGGTACAACAAATATACGGGTGTAGGATAACCATTCGGACGGTTTACTTGATAGAATCTCCACATAGGGTCTCACAAACCACCCTATTAATGTATCACCACCCATCAACACTAACTTTACGGCACTCCCTGGTTTAGCGCAACTATTGCAACTAAAACAAATAAATAAAAAATATAAAATAAAAAATATAAATTCAGTAAACAATATCTTAATTATATCTAAGTCAAATACTATTCTAGATTCAACCGTAATAAAAAGATTATTAGAAAAGTTCATTTAAAAAAAGAAAGAAGAGAAACATTTTGGCAGAATCTCAAAACCCACAAAAAACAATATCGTACTTGGTGATTGTTATTGTCCTTCGAGGCCTGCAATATTAGAAATATAGCTGAAATTTACTAAACCTACTTACTATTTATGTATTTTCAAGAAAAGGGCGCCAATCACAGCTTTTACTTCCACAGCAGATATAGGTTGAAAAATTTTATGATGCGGACTTAAACGGCTCACAACCACACTTGCTATGTTTTCTGGGGCGCATAGAAATGTTACATACTCCGGAAGTATGTTTTCCTCTGCTGGTAATATCCTCGATATTTGATCAAGAAAACCTTTACGCACCTATAATGTACAACACCAATTAAATATTCTACCCTAATTAAATACCACTCACTGTAACTTCAGGAACAGGCGTGTCAGAGCTCACACTAAGCGAATTCTTTTTCTTGGCAGACGACGCTGAAGACCTGAACAATTTAGATTTTTTCTCGCTAAGCTCCTGCATAATATTCGAAAAGTCATTCTCGGCCTAAACAAAATACCTTGGGTAAAAGAATTGCTATCACTGGGATATAACAGCATTACAAACTATAACAAAATGAGGTAAAAAATTATAAATAATAATGTTTCTGTTTTACTTTAAACATAACATTTTACAGAAGAAAAGGAGAAACCGTTATTCAGTTAATTTTTCAAAGAAACTGCCACAGGCTACTGTAATACTATTTACAAAACTTCTGGATACCTCTTGCGTTGGTTGTTGTTGAGTCAAACTTGCTAATGTTTCGCCAATCACCCTGTTGGCTTCTTCAGAACTTAACTGAAACTGGCTCGCATTCTACTCTGTACTTGCTTATATATTGGGGGCAGGAGTTAAAGAAGCTGCATGAACATTGTCTCGGATTACTGATTCCCCTATAGTCGAGGTTAACATTGTTTGGATGCTTCCTGCTTATATATTGTTTGAGGAGTGAGCAGCTAAAGGAGGGGCATGAACATTGTCTCGGATGACTGATCCGCATATTGGTAACAGGTAAAGGCCCGAGTTGCTTTTAAGATTGTTTGGTTGCTCATAGATTTCTACAGATTCTCGGATTTTTTATTGATACAAGATTTGATTACATGCAAGAATTTTGATGAGTTTATTTGTCTTAGTCTTAAGGCTCTTTCATGTTCTTTGAGCCTAGTTGCAATGTATTCTTTGCCGCATATGCATGGAACCCTGTAAACTCCGGGCATCTCAAAATAGAATTTTGTCTTTGATGGCTGGAAGATGCTGAGAGATTTTTGAACAAGGGGTAAATCTGGTTTTGAAGTTATATTTCTTCAGAACTTTGATATGTGGTCAATGATGTTTTGAATGTAAGGAAGGAAAACAGTGGCAAGTATAAGCAACTATTCGAAGGTTGTGGTGAAGTGTATTTTGTGATGAAATGCTTAATATCTTTAATGTGGAAATTATGAGAGAGAAGAGCAGAGGTGAGGTGTTTTAATTCTGGGTTCAGTGACTCGGGCTGAGATAGTTTTACAGCTCTGTAAATAAGAGTGTTGATAACCGATGATTTTTGGGCAGGATAGTGATGTGACAATGCATTAAGGTGAAAAGGTATGGTTCCAGATTCTCCCATTTTAATATATCTGAAATGATGTTGAGAGTTTCAGGAGTAGGGAATTTAGTAAAGAGGGATTCTACGTCGAACCTAACCAGAATATGTTGTGGATCTAATGTAGTGCTTTTTAATTATTCAATGAAGTAAACGGAATTAAGTACAAAGAATACATTAAGACTAAGACAAATAAACTCATCAGCAGTTGCCGAGCACAATCACGAAACTGGACATAAAATTTTATTCGATAGAACTAAAATTCTTGCATGTAATTAGTTCTTCTACCAACAACAAATTCGAGAATCTATAGAAGTCTAAAAGCATCCAACCAATGTTAACCGCGACTATATGGGAATCAGTAATCTGAGACAATGTTCATGCATCTCCTTTAACTCCTACCCCAAAGCCAGTTTCAGGTAAGTTCTGCAGAAGTCAACAGGGTCATTGCTGAAACATTAGCAAGTTTGACTCAACAACAATCCACGCAGGAGGAATCCAGAAGTTTTTTAAATGGTGAAATATTTAGTTGGTATCTCTGACATTTCAAGGACAAAATAGCTAAGAAACTGGTAGGTGAAAAGACTCCCAGTGTCTTCGCAGCAGTGGCATAGTACACCAAACCTTTAAAACCATTTTGTTAATTCTTTCAGGGATATTTTAGTTACCTTTCCCGACACGAACAAGTGATAAAGGCAAAAAAAAAGTATAAATGTATTTTAAGATGGACGCCACACATGCATACAAACCAAATCTAACCGTGTGTTTGCGTGAACCGGCAGATTGTTCTCTTGGAGGTGATCCTGTCTGTGGATCACTCTGCGCTTCTGGATCAGTGAAACAAATATCTGCATTGCCATCACTGCCAGAACATGTTTTTTCTTCTGCAACCTAAAGAGATTTTCATGAAGTTAGTTTCTCACTCTCTTTCACACAATGTAATCTGCATAACTGACAGTCTGATTTAAATGAAACATCCTGTATCTAACCGCATGTTTAGCTGTTGCCTCTACTACTTGCATTTTAAATTTAAATAACTAATTTAACACGCTGACTGTTCAAAAATACGTTTTTGTTATTATTAAATAATAAATTTCGCTTATTTTTTATTTGCCATCAGACGAACCTAAAAGCAAAAAAATAAAGATAAATCTATCGTCTACAACAAAGGAAAGTTTCCTCATACCTATTCAAGATTCAAGTTTTTCTGTAACATTAGTTTCCACTAATCATTTTCAAAAAAGTAGTATATTTATATTATATCGCTTACTTAAAAATAATTTTTTGATGAAACTAAATTATTTTTTTAAATAAAAAATTGAATATTTGTTTAATTCATGTGTTCATTTGCCAACACTTCCCTTGTAATCATAACTGAGATTTTGACACATTTCCACATCCACGTTATGACAATTTTTCTTGTTCTAATTGTTATTTCTTCCTTTATTGTAGACGGGAGATTTTAAGAAATATCCCGTTTCTTAGTTATTTTATTTTTTCTATATTTAAGCAAGAGTCACTAGTTGTACCAATGGAAATGTCAACATATTCTCTAGTGTGATTAAAACCGCCAATATTCTTAATTAAATTAAAATCCTCAAACGGCTCAGTTTATTTATAATGCCCATATAATCAGCTTTATCTTTATTTGATATTACATTCCTTCTTTCGGCAAATGGAAAATAAAAACAAAAAATTGCCAAATTTGTTATTAATTAATAACAAAACTCTATTTTAAGCAAACAGTGTATTGAATTGATTACTTAAATTTAAAACGCAAATGTACAGCTTTTTTATATTCAGAACTCACTAGAGCGATAAGTGGACTTTATTTTTTAAATGATTAATAAAAATGGATGAATGAATAAATACTATGGAAAAACTTAAATCAACAGGTAATAGGGAAAGCTTTACAAAAGTGATTGATGGGCAATACCTCAATACGATCAAATTGTTGGAAATAGAACACCACCTTGGACACTTGACTAAACTCATAGACTATATTAATATCCATTTTTAATATTATAAAGGCAGCAGATTAAATAATATAGAACAATATAGTACAATTGAATTTTTTTTTCAAAACAGTGAAAAATAAGGAAGATATAACCAGTCTTTATACAGATGGTGTTCTGTTTTTCATGCAAATTAGAAAACATTTTTTATATAAACCCTACATTTAATAAAAATCTTTAAAAATAAGTTAAGTGACAGAGAATATAAATGTTATCAAATTGAATTAAGGGTACCTTTTCAGCTTCAATAAATGGTATATTACTGGAGTCCAACAAACTTCGACTACTGCTAAAAAATGGACGCAAACTAGGTTTCGGTGTACTGGAAATGGACATAGTGTCTTGCTCGGCACCGGAATCTTCATCACAACTTAACGACTCTAACTCTTGAAACAGCGCTTGAATATCACTTGGGTTGTCTAGGTCAGCCCCCCGGCCACCTGTAGATAATTTTTTTTTTATAGATTTAAAAAAGAACAATAATATCACCTTCTGTATCAGGAACACGGAACCGTCGCAACAACGACACAAATCGCTGCTTCAAATTATGTCTTGTATGCGGGAGTTTTCTTCGTATCGGCTCGCTATCGGATAGATCGCCCTGTTCTTCCTCCCCCGATGATATTTCATCATCCTCCTCACTGAGAAGTGTATATAGAAAAAAATTAAGCTTCTTAGTCGATTTAGAAAACTGTAGCGCTATTGCACTCAGATTATAGACTAAGAGACTAGAAGATTACCTGAAGTCGTGATCACGGTCAGTCTTATGATCTTGATCGATGGGAGTGGAACTAAGTTGTATTATGTGTAGTCGGGCCAGCGGGCTTGAACCCTTGTCTTTACCGCCAGCGTCGGAGGTTAATTCCAATTCTAGGTCCATGGGTTTTTGAAGGACCTGACAATAAAGCACCCGTAAGTTAAAGACGCCCAGACATTTGACATGGGAAACTTATAACACCTAAAATATTTATTGAGTATTTATTTTAAATCAAAAATCAAATCATAGAAAGCGCAGCTCATGTTGGCTATTAATACTATTATCGACGGAATAGTATTAATAGTTTGCAATCAATGATTTATTTACGTGAATTCTCATCTTAAACACGACAACAAGTTAGTTCGCACCAATATTTTGTGCTGAAACTATAGCAGCCAATTTAGCGTCGCCTAAATTATTTTTGAACATCGATATTTAAAAAAAAACATATTCGCAACTTCAAAACGGGCAAACTACCAATGTCGCTATGGAGTAATATACGCCTGAAAATATTGGAAAGGGGTCAAGAATGTTTTTGTTTCTCCACATTTTTTCGATAAGGTTTATTGTCAAAACATATAGACTGTATCAGTTTCTTTTCAGCTGCACTTTAACAAACAGTTCTTTGTCTTTGTATCTCGAAAACTGCATGTTTATATGTTGACTTTAACAGTACACTAAATTCCTGCTACAACAAACAAAAAAATATAAGTACTAAAAACATTTCAATTTCTTTTCATTCTAATAAATTTAATCGTTTTTTGCGTGTAGATATTAAAAGATAAAAAAAATTATGTATGCATGTTGTAGGAACAACCGATAACATTTACGGTCGAAACAGAGTTTGTTTACGTTCCTCGTTCTATAAATAACTTAAGTAAATAAATGACAAACCTAATGATATTTAATAATGTAGTGCCTTTCATTATGAAGGGTTTTTAAAAAGGAAATATCCAATTCAAATGGCCATGATCCCAAATGAGAAAGGCCAGCTGTATAATAAAAAAAAAGTAATATTTGACATTAAGCTTCCTCCGACTGATTCAATTTGTATCGGGTAGCCTGTTTATTAGGGGATGATACCTTATCCCATAACATTTATAAAAATATCAAATATCGGATTCACATACATCGAAAATACTATATTTTTATACACATTTTAGTGGACAAGTAACAACTTTTTTATAAATTTAATAACGTGTATATTAAGGCTTTTTAAATTTCTCGCAACATTCCTATATCTAAGTCTTACCCTTTGTGTCATATTTCGAATTCTATGTTAAAACCAAAAATATTATAATAATCTTCTAATATGGCATTAAAAAAATCTCATTTAAGTTATAGAAAGCAAGACTCGCCAAACCATTTTTTACCAGATATTTAAATTTATTGGCACAGTGCAACCCCAAGTTTTATAGGCATGACAACTAGGCTACTAGCCACAATGGATACATTATGATTATGAATTTTCTTATCATAATTAGGTCTCAGTTGTTTACTTAGGTTGGAATTTGTATAACAAAAGGCGAAGTTGCAGTTACACTTCATCACTTCAATAGGCAGGTAAAAATAGTCAATATTCTCATGTCACGAAACGGTTGGCGACAAGAAAATACCGAGGTATAGATTCTAGGCAATTTAAATACTTCGCCAGAGCGTCAATGTACAATGCTATAAGCTCAGGCATGAATGAACATAATTATGCAAAACGTAAAACATCTATGGAAACCAATTTTCTCGATACCAAGATCACATAACAATAGGTAAAATGTTTTATTTTTAAACTGATCTATACCTAGAAATTTTACACTGCCCTTACGGATGCACTTATTGCCCAGCGTGACTAAAAGGCTTTTATTTAAGTCTCTAGATATTCCCTTCAAATGAAAAAATATATATAAAAATTACGAAAGTTGCCTAACCAATAAACCAATCATAGGCTTTCAAAGCAACTTCTGTCTGAACGAATTTATTTACTTCCACGTATTATTAATATTCCTTTAAAACCCATAAATTAATTTTATTAATGGGATTAATTAAACACAATTAATTCCATTGTTTTGTCGGTCCGGGAAGGACGAGTAGAAACCCATCCCTTGTTGTACCGGTGCAGGAGTGAATATTAATGCTTAAATAGCTATAACTAGTATGCTTCCACATGGCGGGTCAGTTCACCACCGGTCCGTTGAAAAAACTAATATCGTGAAAGTTTAATGGCAGAAGGCAACAAAAACAAAATTGTGAGGCATTACGGTCCTACAATGGACAACCTATGTATGTCATTTACCCTTCGTGCAAATATAAAAGGAAAATGCAGAGTTTCATACCTGGTCCATCCGGATAAGGCCTGAGGCCAAAGTTTTGAATCCCATTATGGTTCGATTCTTATACTTCTTTCTTCTTTGCAAGAGAAGATGCAGCTTGTTACCCTCCCTTTTTAGATAATGAGGATATTGTAAGCAAAATGTTACATCTAATGGACTATCAAAGCTTCCATTGGGATGTAAAATTAGCTCGTTTGATCTCAATGTGCGTTTACTCGACTGAATTTTTACGGCCACAGATATACTGGCTACTTCTGAACCTAAGGGTTTCAGGATTTGAAGCCTTGTAAGTGTTAAGGAGCAAAGCCTACAAGTAAAAAAATAACACTAAATAAGTAAATTACGCATAAACCACGTCATTTTGAAAATGTCAACCGCAAAATTATTTTAAACAATTTGGACGTGTTCCAAAGCGATTTTTTTTTAATATTCCAATGAAGTAAATAATGAAGCCAGATGAAGTAAGTTAAATTAGTTGCGGTTTAAATTAAATTTATTGAACAATTCGTTATTCTCACAGATAAAAATCTCTCATTTCTCTCTTGCCATCTGGTGATCATTCCCATACCGCAAAAACACCAGTGGCCCTAGAATGCACCATTGTAGGATTCTTAATTCAACTCCATTAAGCTTGGAACTGTGGTAGTTTGAAAAAAATTCAAATACAGTCGAACTTCGATAACTCGAATTTTTGATAAGTCGAACCAAATTGGTTGGCAATAGCATCAAAAGTAGGAAATGTGTGTTAGATTGTCTTGATTACTCGAAAATCTTGATAACTCGAACGAAACATTTGGTGTCAACTTCGATAAGTCGAATTTTCTCGGGGAACCCCCTAATTACAACCGATCTTAACCTGCCTTTTTAACGTATCTATGCAAGCAGTTCAGTTTCTGTGTTTGCTAAGTTCACTTGTATGACTTACTAGTTAATACTAAGTGAAAAATACTGTCCCTATTCAATTTACACATTATATTAAAGACATTTTTGGATTTTTGCATTTGTTGATATGTCATCAAAACGTACTTTAAAAACTTTGTCTGTCGATCAAAAATTCGAGGTTATAAAAGAAGTGGGAAGTGGCTTAAAAAATAAAGATGTACCTGTGAAGTATGGGATTTCGGCAAGTACAGTGTCTACAATTTCGAAAAATAAACATTTAGTCATCACCGCAATGGAACGTTTCGAAGAAAACAATAACAATAACATTACACTAATGGATTGTGTTGACGACGTAATTACCGCATGGAATATCAACGTTAAGTCTGAAACAATTTCCAACTGTTTTAAAAAAAGCCGGTTTTGGTCAGTATTCTGAAAGGGAAGAAAGAAAAGAGTGAAGACGAAATCCAAATAGAAATCGAGTTTAAAGCTTGGAGAAACATTAGAGGTATAGCAGAAGGTAGCACCATCAACGATTTTATACATGTGGATGAGGATATTGTTACTTGAGAGTTTCCTACTGATGAAGATATTATCGAGTCCTGCAGATCCGAACCAATACAGTTAAACATTGAAGATGACTGCGAAAGTGACACGATGGAGGAGGAATTGGAAGATGATTCTCAGCAACGATCTTCAAATGAGTTGGTTGAACATTCGTTGATTGTCTTGCGTTCCTATTTGAAAACCAGTGAATACACAACCGATTCCCTCTATGACTGTTTAAATAAAATTGAAGCTTTTGTTGAAAAGCAAAATAAGAAATCCGTCAGTCACAAATAACTGACTTTTTTCCAGTGAAAGAGTAAACTTTAATATGTACATACATATGTGTATATATATATATATATATATATATATATATATATATATATATATATATATATATATATATATATATATATATATATATATATATATATATATATATATATATATATATATATATATATATATATATATATATATATATATATATATATATGTGCATACATACTATGTTTATATATACTGGGTACATATACAATACATTTGTATGTACATATATTATGTAAATACATACATACATATGTACTACTATTTCATAATTTTCCTTTTTTGTTCAAAAATCATAGATATTAGGGCATTTATGTAACGTATAACCCATTTTTAAAAATGAATGAATAAATGTTCATTCACAAAAAAGTACATGCATTTGTAGTTTTTATTGATAACTCGAAATTTTCATGTGTCAAATCGCAGTTCGACTGTATTAGTAACGCTGGCTTTAAAACATAAGAGCAACGAGACGGAAAAATTGGAGGGCGGCTCAGTTACTCGGTACTCAGGGTAGGTTAAGTGTGATATGTGCTCCCCTTACCCTATACTACAAAATACAAAGAATATTAATTTATATTTATATTAGTTTATTTGGTTTTATTGCATTTTACAATATTGATCAACAACTTAAATTCAGGAAGAGGATATTATACTTGTGGGGTGAGACATAGCAGAGATACTAGACTTCTGGGATTTGCATTAAATACATCAAAGTTTATAACATGATAATAGTATATTAACCAACAAGTTTGATAAACACCATTTAGCCTGAATTGTTACGAGCGGAGCACATAAAAACAACTTTGTGGAGACATTCAAGCGACGAATCTTAGCATTAAACATCAAACTTCACATCAACAATAATTTGGCGGTTTAAATATGCCTTCGGCAATTGATAAAATTAATTTAAAAAATAATTAAAAATGTTAATAAACAGCATGCTAAAATCAGATTTGAAAAAATTAAAACATTTAAAGATACAACTTTTACATGTACTTGGGAAAATTGTGCATGGTGACATAAAATCTCAAATGAGAGATAAGAAATATAGGTATAAGAATTGTCCTATTCTACGTCGGCAAAATTCACTTTACACGAAGTATATCTGGATTTGATGATCTGCTCAAAGGGAGAAACGGAGACTGTCCTTTCTTATTCTTTAGTTCCATGTCCAAAATGGTGCGTGCAAAATTAGTAGTTAACACAAGACCCGGGAGAGGCAAACTAATAACCACGTCGTTGAAAAAAAAAGTAGTTCAATATAAAATATCAAGTTTAGAGCACACGGAACTAAAAGAAATCAATGACTCTACAGTAGAAAAGTATATAAACAGAACAGTAAAAACTGAGAAGCTTTTTGCACAAACAAAACAAACAGGACAGAGAATGTAACTAAGATATGCAAGAACTCAGCAAAAAGACTTATTAACAGTTTACATGAATCACCTATGGAGTAGCCTTAATGTGATGGGAGAACTATACAGCGACGGATGCAAAAGGTGAAACCAACCTTATTTGAAAGTAAGTTGACGTTGTTTTGGTACTGGCAAATATAGAACAAATTCTTTCTTTCAGAAAATTCTGAAAACATGGAACAAAAATTCCTAAAAATGTCTGCAATTATGAAGAAAACTAACTTGAAACTTCCAACGGTATGGACAAAGAGACTGAAAGAAAATTAGCTGCAATTTTGCAGAATTCCAGCAAACTAAACAAAAAAACGAAAATTTAGAGGACGAGTTTGCAGAAAATTCTGTGTGCATCAAGAAAATGCACTAGGAAACAAGAAAATTGTAGGGATATGAAAAGTTAGCAACATGTAGAAAAAATTATAAAGGGCAAACATGCTAATTTAAGATCACCACGGGAAAATAAAATATAGAAGGCAAGTCAAGAAATACACATTCGAAGTCATTGTGACAAGAAGACGCCCCTTTGAGAAAACAAAAAGAAGCTCGAGAGGTTACAAGATTTATATTTTGGCATAGATAAGCAGCAGGCTTATCAAGAAAACTGCAAAATGGTTATTATTTTATGGCATTTACATAATCTATATGTATTATTACGTTATATTTAAAACTAATGGGTGGTGTTTTATGGCATAGAGAAAAATTTTGTTGAATAGACCAAGAAATAATCCCTCTCTGTCTATACTTCAACTAGAGTTTCAGTCCTTCGTGAAAATTCAAATGTTATGAAAACACATACATTCTTTTACTTAACTGCCCTCAGGACCCTTAGGTATATCTAGGGTTACATACAATGCCTAAATAATCAAGGAAAAACTAGAGAATAACGTGGAGTATGAAAAATTGCTTATTAAGAAGGTTAGCTCAATATCAACACTACATTCTGTAATGAAATTTTTGGCAAATTACTTTATCCTGTGGAATGTGCCAAAATAGTCAAAATCATAACACAAATTTCATTTAAACATTCGTTTAAAGCTTCCTATTCTGTGTGAATATCTCCTAGACTAGGTAGGCAATTACCAACAACTTAAAAATAGCGAGCATACCTGGGTATACAATTTGATGGGGTCCTATCAACCCAAGTTGCGTAAAGCCGCATCTTAGGAGCAGAAGCGGCCGTGCCAGTTAATGTTCTATTTGGTTTTTCGCCCATCTTATTGTTGTACACACGCTTGCAAAAGAAAACACAGAACTGAGTCACTTTTCGGTGGCGAGATAGTCTCGAAACCAGTTTTCAAACAAAAATTCATTTTTTCAATTTAAGCGATAGTAATGAGGCTAGTCCCCGTATTTCGAAACAGAATAATACCAATACATTACTAAATTTTATCTTCTCCAACCGTTACAAATACCGACAACAACCATTTATGACTGATTGACAGTATTGACAAAATACGAATATTGACAAACATGCACAGATAAAAATTCATTGTGATCCTTCTCTCACGTTGGCAGGATTTAAGCTAAATGCAAAGGCTGAATGATAGTGTGACGTTCCACGGCCCACAGCAAATACAATTTCTATATTTTTAAGCCACCGAAATGCACGAGATTAAACAGATAAAAACTAAAAGTTTTAAATTTGTGTTCTTTATTTCAATGAATCTAATAATAACACAGGGACAGATAGGTAAAAAAATACAAGAAGTTCGTAAAAAAATGTGGGACGTCAAATATAATACACCTAGTTATATACCTCCAACCAGACGAAGTCCAAAGCTAAGCAAAGATAACGCCACGCTGACACCGCATCGAAAGCCCTATTTATTCGATTGTCACATTGTAAAATTGCTCTTAATTATTTCAGCCTTTGTATCGGCTAGTCCGAATAAAACTTTATTTTGCTTTCTGTGTAATAAATGTTGTTAAAAACGCTCTCCCGAATTTTGAACATTTAAGTGGCGCAGTCGGAACAGATTTTCTAAGTGCAGTAGTGGTGGACAATTAACCAGAATCTTCTAAGAGTTTCTGTGAAATCGCCAATCGTGGAAAGTTCGAAACCTTCGCCACGTGGATTTTTAAATCCTTCAGCACACAGAACCAGCAGCAATGGAAACAGAACAACGATCTACAAAGATACAACACGCATGTGACGAGATGAAAAATTGAGCTGGAAAGAAGGGATAGTTTAGGGCTCGCATTGCAAGCGATTAGGTTAAGAAAAAGAGAAAACAAATTGAATCAAATCGATTAATGAGCGATTCTGAAATCGAGAATCTCGAAAAACAATTCAATTCAATTTTAAAGTTAGGTAGTATGAGTAGTGCGGAACCTAGAATTAATTGGAATCATTTTAAATCCAAGGTGGATAACATAAAACCTTACGACGGAAATAGCGATACGATAAATAAGTGTATTGCTAAGTGAATTATTGAATTGAATTGAATTGAATTGAATTAACTAGAACAAGACCGTTCAAAAATGAACATTTGATTGATTAATTTCGGTGCTAGGCTACAACTTTTAAAGAGTAGTGTCATACAGCGAATTAGTAATTGACAAGATTTAAATCAAAATGAAAAACTTTTCCATGTAAATTATTATAACAAAATTGCGCTCAATACATTCATAGCTGGATGCACCAGGACGCTCAAAAACAACATGCGTTTAAAACAACCAGATTCTTTGGAGGAAGCCATTGCTTATGTTTCTGAATTTGAAAATTTCGAAAACCTTTACGGGAATATAAGCAACACAACAAAACAATTCCAAATGCCCAATTTCCAACAAAGCAATTCAAAACAATTCCAAATACCCAACTTCCAACAAAACAATGTAAAACAATTCCAAACACCAAATCATCAACAATTCAACACGAAACAACATTTTCAACAATTTCAAGAATTCCAAAACCAGCGGAATCTAAGTAGATTTTAGCCTGGAATAAATCAAAACACAAATTTCATGCCAAACAATTTTAATAATTTTTGTAACAAATGAACACCTATCTACACACACACATCTATCCGCCCATAAACGAATTAGTCGTCGACCAGAGCGCCTCATTGAAGTAGATACGTACGGTCCCGCTAGAGTGAGCCACAGGGTACCAAATAAAAGTAACAAGACGGGGCCAGTGGGAGATGAGAAGATGGGCGTTGGCTTGCGTTAATACGTGTGACATGTTAAATTACGTTTTGATATTGGTACCCACTTCACTTGAATAGTAAATTGTTTAAGTTCGGTTTCGTGTTTAATTACACTCCCGGATTAACAGTTGCTACATTTTTCAAATCAATTCCAAAAACCACAATTTCCATCTCAACCAATAAATATTCAACCGAGGCAAATACCTCAAAGACGATTTCCAACAAATCAGGAAGTTTTTGGACCCCCACGAAATGTCTTCAGACCCAATCAAATATCAGTCAACCAACTTCAAAAGCTGACACCAATGTCAGGTATCTCCAGATAAACAAACAATTCATTTACAAGACGACCGACAAGACAAAATTACTTTACCAACAACAATCAACCCCTGAATTTTATAGCGGAAAAATTATTTAACCAAGAATGCGATGAAAACTTTGATTATTCTGTTAATCAAAACGAGTATAATGATTATAACGAATTTGAGGAAAATTATGAACAAAATGAGTATGAAAATACATCGCATATCGATCAAAACGTCGAAACGCAAAATCCAAATGACGAAAATTTTCACGAAACGCCGAACAAACAACCAACCTCAGTAGAAATTAATATTTCTTCTAACAACGCTTAACCGTCTATCCAAATACGCAACCCAAGTATTAAACTACTAATAGACCCGGAATTGCATTTATCATAAAAATAATGAAATAAAGACAGCTATAGGAAGTCAAAATACTAGATTTCAAGCTAGCATACAAGCATTTTCTGAATTTAACATCGATTATCGAATCGAGTTTATCATATTCGAGTTTCATGACTTTTTTGACGGAGTAATAGGTTTAACTGATTTAAACTGTGAATCCCCGTGAAACATCTTTCAAGAAAATACTAGTAAGTGAAATCGAAGGCGATATTTTTATAAAAAATCAAAAACTACAAAATCTAGAAATACCATCTGCTATTTCATGTGCAAAAAATAATTTCGCTTTAATTGAAATCCAAAAGCCCACGGACGAGATAATCAGTTACGTTACGTTAGCACAACATTTACTATTTTACAATTGTAACATTATATCTGACAATGTAAATATACGTACGAAATCTCAAAATAAGGACATAAAAGGTGTAATCCGTACCCAACATATGAACTCGGAAGAAAAAACTCTGATCACAACATTGTGTCAAGAACTCTCGGATATTTTCTATAATCCAGGAGATAAGTTCTAATTTACCTCGAAAATCAAGCACTAGATTAGAACAACGGATGAAATACCCGTGCGTGCGAAGTCATATAGATATCCATCCGTCCACAAAGAAGAAGTAATACGACAAGTAGATGATATGCTCGAAAAAGGAATAATAAGGAAATGAAACAGCCCATTAGACTCATCAAGAACATAAAAATGGAGAATAGTCGTTGACTATAACGGATATTCTAGATAAATTGGGACGTGCAGAGTATTTTTCTACACTGGACCTTGCCAGCGGTTTTCGTTAGATTGAAATGAAATAGGACTCTATCGAAAAGACAGCTTTTAGCGTAGAAAACGGACATTTTGAATACACAAGAATGCCATTCGGACTTGCACCATCAAGCTTCCAACATGTCTTGAATGAAATTTTGAAAAACGTCCAAATTAAAATATGTATGGTCTTTATGGATGACGTAATCGTTATAAGTACAGGACTAATAGAACATATCCAGAATCTGAGATTAATATTCCAAAAATTACGAGAAGCTAATCAATCCAAAGATACAAGCGGACAAGTGCGAAATTTTACAAGAAGTGGAATTCCTTGGACTGTAGTTACCCCAAATGGTATAAAACCAAATCAAAAGAAGATTGAAGCAATAAAAAAATATCCTTTGCCAAAAACACAACGAGACATTAAATCATTCTTAGGTTTAATCGGATATTATCGCATATTAATAAAAAATTACACGAAGGTAACTAAACCATTGACACAATGCTTAAAAAAGTAAATCAAAGTCGGCCAGTATTATCTTATCCGGACTTTACAAAGAAGTTTGAATTTACAACCGACGCGACGCATTAAAATATGCCATATGTCGGGAATTGTATCCCAAGACGGACACCCAATATGCTACGCATCAAAAACGCCGAACCCGGCAGAGGTAAACTACTCAATTGAAACGAAACTCAGCAATTGTTTGGAGCTGTAAATATTATAGACCTTATTTATTCGGACAAAAATCCATTATTTACACGGATCATAAACCCCTACAGTGGCTAATGTCATTAAAAGAGCCAAATTCAAGATTCGTTAGATGGAGACTTAAACTCGAGGAGTATGAGTACGAAATTTAAAAATAAATTAAGCAGCGGACCCTTTATCATGATATCCAATATGAACGCTATTGAAACTGACTCGAAATTTAACAACTTAGGAGACGCGGATGAAATTATAGATGACTTTTTATTACATGATAACGACGAATTGCCAAATCTAGACGACCTAATGTTAGATGCAATTTTGTTTAAACCGGAAGAACAAAAAATTAAAATTTTATCGGACATTCAAATTAAACACCCATTTAATAAACGGGAAAATTTAAAAGAATTAAATGAAAATGATATAGTACATTCCTCAGCGGAAAATCTAAATCATTTTAAAAATTAAATAATATTAACAACAGGAGATGTAGGAATATTCCTAATAAAAAAAGAAAATGTGTTTAATAATAATCGATTTTACATCACAATTCCGGAAAATTCCCGATGTCAAATATTATACAAATCATGAAGGAATACTTTAAACCAAAAACTACTGATGCAATTTACTTTCAAGCGGAAAATTTAATTAGAATTTTCGCTGTAACATTACAAAACACTTTAAAAAATTCAGCATTTAAAATAATTCATTGTAACGCAGTTCTCGAGGACATCGAAAGGCAAGATGACCTACAAGAAAAACTTAGTCTATACCATACGACAAAAACGTGCCATCTTGGAATAAATGAAATGAAGAAAGAAGAAAATATTATTGACCAAAAATGTGTGACGACATAGAAAATTATGTTAACAATTGTGACATATGACAAAACAATAAGTGTGATCGAAAACCACCAGTGATAAAATTTAACTTAACCCCAACAGCATCAAAACCATTCGAATATATTCATGTTGATACCTTTAGGATAAACCATGAAGCTTACGTTACAATAATTGACGCATTTTTACCCTATGGACAAGCGTATCCATTAAAAAGCATAACAGGAACCGAGGTAGTTGAAAATCTTTTTAATTTTACAATGCATCATGGATTACGATTGAAAATAACCTCCGATCACGAAACAGAATTTAAAAACAAAGACCTCGAAGGCTTTTGTAAGTTATACCGAATAGAATTAAATTTTACGACACCACAAAATAGTAATTCAAACTCCCCTGTGGAGAGATTTCATTCAAGTATTATTGAAAGTTATAGATGCCTTAAAGAAGAAAATAAAGAGCTAAGTACAGATCAACTCATAAAGAGAGCAGTAATGACATACAACAACTCTATATGTTCAATCGCGTAAAGAAAACTCAAGTAAATTGTACGAACAAACAAAGGAATTAAATGAAAAAATGAAAGAAGCCATTATTTCAAAAAGAAACGAAAATCGTGAAGAACCACCATTTTAGTGATCAAAAATATGCTTTCATTAAAACAAAATTTAGAAGCAAAGAACTTCCTAAATTTAAAAAGATACCGTTAATAAACCAAACGGAAAATAAGTTAATAACACCAAAGACAAGCTATCATAAAAGTAGTGCAAGGAGACCAAAGGCTAATAAAAATCTATTCTTTCAGGAAACCGATGAAGATCAAAATGTTGGCTCTTCTATTCGTAGCAGTTCTAACCGAACCAATAGTAACAACAGACGTACAAGTTACCAAACTCGTAAATTCTATACTTCCTATCCAGATACGTAAGGCAAAGTTGATTTTTAATAATATAATATTATGTAGATTCAAGCCAAATAATTAATCACGTAGAAAGCATAGAGAATGCATCCAAAATAATTAAAGATAAGTTTAATGTTAAAAATATAACTAATATTATTTCTTATTATGGACTTGCCGAAAATTGTTTAAGAACTGAATATTTGATACAATAACGGTGGAAAAACTTGAAAATTTACATCCACATGTTCGTAAAGAACGAGGCCTAGTTAACGCGGTTGGTAAAATAAATAAATGGCTATTTGGAACTCTCGACGCTGACGATGGAAATTATTATAAAGCAGCAAAAACCAAAATTATTTAGCTAAAAAATTCGGACTACAAGCATCTTTATCAAAGGGCATAACTAATAACTATAATAAAACTATTTTGAAATTGAATGAAAACCAACGTAAACTAAAAACTGGTTTAAAAACATTTCAAAATGTAGTATTAATGACGATAAATTCTTTACTAGACTATCCTAGTTTTTACGGGATCATAACGCAATTAAACTTAGATTGCCAAAATATTATAATGTTTCTAGATAACCTAGAAGACGCTATTATGTTTTCAAAAGTTAATGCGCTTCATAATAGTATTTTACCGATTTCGGAGCTGAACAAAATGCTTAAATATCTAGCATCAATTTATAAAGACAATCAAATCCCACAATTTAAAAACATTTTATCTTCTTATCAAATTTTGGAAACTCAGATAAATTTTGTTGACTCGAAAGTGATCTTTGCAGTCCATGCACCAATTTTAAGATTCAAAATATTTTCCTTTTACCATATATTTCTAATAATCCAAAACCAATCAATTTTTATACCCCAATACCCTTATATGGCACAAGCGGAGAAGAAGAGACAATTCACCGCAGAAACAAGTCATTCATTGAAGGAATTTACTTTTGTAAAGAAGAAACTCACCCCCGAGATGTATGCGTGGAGAACTTATTTGACGATATGGGAATGGAAAACAAGAAGCAATTATAGAACAAATCACTCAAAATTTAGTTCTTGTTCAGCAACAGAAGCCTGAGAAATTGCTAATCAACACGGATCGGTATATGTAAATCGAAGTAACAGTACTGATTAAGATACCAGTAAACTGTCAAATAGATATTAATGAAGAAAAATTCTTCAACCAGCGAAAGAAGAAACAAATACGTTCCAAATAATTGTTATTGTGTTTGGAATGATCATGGTTCTAATTTTAGTTTTCATCATTAAGAAGCTCTTCTTGGAAAAGGTACGAGAATTGAAGAAAATCGCATCCAAAGAGGAAACCTGCCAAGAAAATTTTGAAGCTTTTTCGAAAAAACGTTCCGTTATTTCGAAAGTTAAGGAGGGAGGAGTTATATGCCCCAAACTGCAGACGAAGCCCAAAGCTAGGCGAAGATAACGCCTTGCCGATACTGCATCGAAAGCCCTATTTATTCGATTGTCACATTGTAAAATTGCTCTTAATTATTCCAGCCTTTGTATCGGCTAGTCCGAATAAAACTTTATTTTGCTTTCTGTGTAATAAATCTTTTTAAAAACGCTCTCCCAAATTTTTAACATTTAAGTACCTCCTTATTTTCATTACTTCTTTGAGCATTTTGCTAACAATCCTGTAGAAACTATGCTTGATACAAAGTGGCATTTAAAAAAAATAGTTATGACACTCCGTATCCTACAAAGAAAGGTGAAATAAGATAGGCTGCATTATTTTAGGTAAGTTCATTCTAGTTAGTAAGTCAAAGGAGTTGGTAGACTCTAGAACTGACTATTTAGATTCCTTAATTTGATTTTCACGTCTGTGGAGTTGAAAATTTTGCTTGATGTATATGACAAAACATCAGCGCCCTTTCACCATTTTTAACAACAATGGCAATAAACAATTTCACGATTTATTAAAAAACTAACAAAAATTTTGTTTTTAAAATCTTACACGCTGTATATTATCTTATGCACAATAATTCTCCATTCATGAAGTTCTTCCTAAGATTTGTGTTTGAACTTTGAAAAAATATTAGATTTCTTCCACATCTACACAATGAAATAATAAAATCTGTACATTTTTGAAATAAATAAAAAAGATATGCGGAATAAAACACAGATTTTCAATAATATTTTATATATAATTTAGTACACCATCAGAGAAGTAGGTAAACACCGTTTTACAACATTTATAAACCATAAAAATGGTTGATAATGATCAGGGTGCTGATAAATAAAACCATTTGGCACAATACCACTTTTGGTTTTAATTCAAACAATTCCAAATTAGATTTACCGATTGGGCATGTATTTATAACAATAATAAACTGAAGTTTATTATTTAAAAAAAAAAAATGTGTTTTTTACATAGAATGAAAGATATGCAAACTGGCTCGCAATTATTTTCAGTAAATGTAAAGTAAAATTATTAACAACCATAAAATAATAAATCTGTGTAAAAGAAAGTAACAATATATGCTGGTCAATCATAAATAAACAATTTTATTGGTTTCAACCTTATCTCTCTCTGACAATCACCCAGATATTTTGCTACCTTAGTGCTAACACAGACCTTTGCAATATAGTCGATACATTTCAAAACAATTCGTTTATTGTATTTGTTTAATGATATGCCAGTGTTCGATTGTGACAAAATGGACAATTAAATTCAGAACATAAAAGTTATTGGTTCGCCCACAATATGTTGAACAATAAATTACCAGTTACAGTTGTTTGATATTATTTCTATTAGTTAACCTTGTTAGTTATATTATCGAAGGAATTATGGATCAAACTCTTATTATTGCTGTTTACTGAAAACAAATAGGAATTCAAAATTGAGCTCAATATCTCCTCTCCTTCCCCAAGCCAATTTAAGAGATGTTTCAAGAAGCAGCTTGAAACTACAGATTGCCATCAAATTTTTAATAAATAAATACACCACACCGCAATACAATCATTAAGTGAGAGTGCATAGTTTTTTTCAATTTTTACAATTCTGGTGACACTACCACAGAGAGAAAGGTTTTTATTTACTCTCCTATCTGTTTAAATAATCTGTTCTCCGTCGATTTTTGGTTTAACTTGATTAATTACTAAGGTGACCAGACGTCCCGCTTTTGGCGGGGCAGTCTCGATTTTTCACAATTTGTCAGGCGACGTTTTTCAATTTTATATTTATGAAAATCATTGTTTTGCGTTCTAAGAATCCTAAGGGCTACAACGACTAACCTATTGTTTTTGCTTCCCAGTTATATTGTATTTGTCTCTCACATGATACAATTCGTGTTCGTACTGCGTGCTAACAAGCTAATTAAACTAATAAATATTACAAATCTGCTATATACCATAGAAAATTGATATTTCATAAATACATAAACTTTCTTAAACTTAGAGAGGTTAGAAAATAATTTTCTACCGTTAACTATCCGCAATATTATAAACCAGCTGGCAGAGCAACGTGCAATAAATCGTCAAAATACCATGAACCATGTCAAAAAGATTGCAAAGATTATTTGGAAGAGATTTTCGTTGAGTTAAATTAAAACCAGAACTTAATTGGAACGACGTGCAAAAATCATTTCATTATATTTCTCAAAAATGTCCAAATAGTTATATTTCCGAAAATGATCTTTTTAATGAAGTGTCATCAGTAAAAAAATATATTAACAATTATGCATCAGAGAAAATCACAATAGAAAACAAATGGTTAGAAATATTTCATCATTTGGAAACAAACTATGTTCCATACAATAATATATTAAAAATTGTGGAATATGCACCATCTTTACCTGGAACTAACGCTACTACTGAACGCGTTTTTTTTACCGTAAATCAAGTGTGGACATCAGAAAAAATCAAAATTAAAGTGTAGACACTTGTAAACCCATTTTACATGTCCAATATAATTTGACAAATTCTTGTGAAAATTTTTTCTATTTTAAAAAATGACAACAATCTACTGAAACAAATTTACTCAAATAAAAAAATGTCAAAGAATAAAACATACATTTTTTTATATTTATAAATTATACTTATGTTAACAATAACAATAACCCTTCTTTCAGAGTTGTCCCGCTTTGCCCATCTCAAAATCTGGTCACCTTATTAATTACAGCAAAACATTTGAAGAGATCGAAAAAGCTTGACTCATAGCTTATAAACGACACAAAGTAACATGTGCCTAAATGAGATAATTTAATATCGTATAATAAGAAATCTAGCTATTGTAATAATATAATTGATAATACTGAATTGATTTTCATCATATATAAATAAATTTCCTGCTGTGAGACTATATCCACGATTGATAGTAAAACTGACATTAACAAATTTTCATGAAAATGTTTTGGTTAAATTAAGAATACAGACGCATTTAGCGTTCTACTATTTTGGCCATCTATTTGCTGCTACATTGTACACACTAGAATATCTAATTGTACAAAAATGATAAGAAATATACAGGAAATATCTGGAAATTGATTTAAATATATAGAAAAATAAGTTGTGTAACAAACAATAATTTTTTGAGTTTTAACGGTGCAACATTTTTCTTCCTTTGCTACATGACAAACCGACTTCTCTTATTTCCAGACTCCCACTTTTTGGATTGCATTCTTGTACTAAAAGAAGGTATCTATTTTTATTGATAGCATCAATTAAAACTATCGAACAATAATTTAGGCTTTATAACCTTAATCGACTATTTTTTTAATAGAAACGATTGAGATATATCGACTATTGTGATAAGAGATCTAAACATTCGCTAAAATTAGCTGGGTTAATTTTTTGTTATCTACTCTAAGCTTCACATTAATAAATATCTAAACATTATATAATTCAATATGTACTTTTTCAACAACACATTTTCTCGAAACTATTTTTAGAATGTTTCTATATTCTTCTTCTAAATAATGGCAGAATATAATTCTAAGTAACCATTACTTTGTTATTTATTTATAATACATTCGTTGCGATTTTTTCCATATCAATATGCATGCAAAAATCCGCAGCGAAAGAATGACCGCATTCGCTGGGCTGAGATGCATTTAAAGAATTCTAAATTTCTACAAGTGAACCAAAACCAGTTCTCAGTAACTCTAAAACTAAATCCTTCAAATGCATGGTTATGCGTTTGCCTCATTTGAATTAGTTACCTAATTATTACATAAACTATATATATTATAAACATATACACATATAGTTAAATAAATTAAAATCTTTGGTAAATTGAAAACAACTTGGCTAAGCTTTGTTTCAAATAATGCACATTGCCCTAGGGTTGCAACATGTAAGTCGTCTAACCGAAATGGACATTATCACAATGTATCCAATATTATAATTTTTCTAATTTCAATTTCAAACCATCTTAACATGAACGGCAAACAGCTACATACAATATTCACATAAAAAATATATGCTAAAAAAGCACAAAATTCTAACATACCAAAAATATGATTTTATACCATATTAGATAAGAAGCAAGAAAACGGTTATATGTAGATTTATTTATTGTATTTATTATGTTGAATCAGACTTCTGCATATTCTGATATTGAACACATTCATCATATATACTTTATCGAAAAAGAAGCAACTTGTAAGGAGTTTACCGATTTTTATGAAAGAAATTGCATACAATTTTGAGATATAATTTTCATTTGATTCGATGTATAATTTTATGTTCAGGTACTCTATCATGGACAGATTAATTAATCTAATTGTATTTTTCAGAGCGCGAGAGAAGATTCATGTCAAGATGGTTATTAGGCAATATTTTAATACCACAATAAAACAAAAATAGCAACATATGCGAACCAACTGATTAAATTGAAATATACTGTGAACTGATAAAGTCACCTATGTAAAATTTGCTTCATACCAACTTGCTTCTACATGCATAAAACAGTCGCGACTAGCTCTTGTTAAAATTCTAAAATGAAACTCACTAAAATTAACACATATTTAAATCACCAGAAAATAGAATGTGGAACGATCCAGCAAAAAATGAAACAATTTTTTGGTGATGTTAATAACGACTCACATTTTTAAAATATTTACATAGGCCATAAAATGACTAGACATAACGGAGATTAAGCCAAAATAAGTCAAAATTCAGGCAAGGGGATATCCAAGTTGTACCCGTATTTAGTTTATACAAATCTGGGTAGCTTCGAAGTAATAATTAATTGTAGAAACAGCGTGAAAATAGTATTTGTACTCTTTGAAGCAGTTGGGTTCAATGATAAAATACCCAACAAAATACCCATTTGTTATACCCAACGGAAATTGAGGTAAAATGTGTTTCAAATCAATTATTTAATCCTCTATCACATGGATTAGTGTAAAACAAGCGTGATTGACTCATATCAAATTGAAGTTTACTAATATTAAAAAACAACACTGTTTCTTATCACTTTCATAACTCTACAAAGAACATATTGGTTTACTTTTAAGCTAGCCGTCATCATATAACAACTCAAACATAAAGAAGAATCGCAATCTAATGCTCAAAAGGTTATGGGTAGTAGGTATATAAATCACAGCTTCGCGGCCGGAAAACAAAAGATTAATGGAACCACAGTACTATCATAGCTCACTTTCACAACTTTTTTGTGCGAATTTTTGTTAAGCATTAGATTAAAATCTAAGGACACCAAGCTAACTACGGAGATGTGAAAATGAGCCAATTATAATTCGAGACACATCAGATCATTTTTGCAGTCAAAAAAGTAGAAAACTGTCGAATTTTTTTTTCCTTACTACGATGACTCAAAGCGAATTGCTAGTGAAGGTTTTGACTCAATAAAAGACACTCTTTTTTTGAACTGATTAAGGCGCAAAAGCTACTTACATGCAATACAATATCCGTAAAAACCAAAACCTAATAAATGTAACAAAAATTGGTTGTCAGGTTGCAAAAATTATTGAGCAGGTATTTGAAAATACGGTAAGCGAGCCAATAAAAATATCATTACTCTTCTTAAATAAGAGACTATCGCTGAATTGAATAATATACGTAAGGAAATGAATTAAGCTTGAAACTTAAAATGAGAACAATGGACTTTCCATTGTTCGAAACATAACCGTTTTGCTATAAATGTCATTTTACTGTGTCGAACGGCACTAAGCACACACAGATGGACTCCATAGATCATACTTTAGGGTGTGCCGACTTTTTTAAAAGAAAATGAAATGTCAGTCAGCACTTAACTTCACCATTATGTGTTTAGATTTCGTGGTTTTATAAACAAAAAATTTAAGAAATAAAAAAACTCTCCGAATGCTCTCAGTTTCGCTCTGAATTTCATAAATATAATAATAATCAATAATTAAACATACAAAATGTACCTAGAAAAGTAGAAAAATAGGATAATCACCTATTTTTTAAAATTGATCTAATTAAGACTCGAACTTAACTATAGTATATTTCAAAACGTCACACCTTAGACATTAATAATTAAATAACATCAAACTAAGTTCTTCAGACTGATTCTTTTATAACTTTTTGCCTGCTCAAAAATTTTTGTGTAAAAAATCTTTACCCAAGTTCCAATCTGCATTTTAAATGCTGTTTATATATATATAGATGATATCTTTGTTCTTTATTACTAAAACCAACATAACATACACCATAAACTCTTTCAACAATAATTTCTGCAACACAATTACATAATATAAATAAACTCTCTTTATATATGTAACATATATCTTGGACAAGGTCAGTGTCTCTATGCTTAACAAAATACTAATGAAAAACTAATGCTCTAGTTTGTGCTTTAGACTCATGGGTCAATATTTGCGACGCGCTAGATTTAGTTCAAAACCAAGGACGATGAACTCTAAGTTAAAGCGACGAGAAAGAGACTGACGCGATTACATAATGTTAACTTGGTTACTACTCACACACAAATCGAGATGGATTAAAGTCTCTGTTTAGGATTGAAAAACCACGGAATTCTTCTTGATTTATAGATTGTAGCACCTCATTACTTACTGGAGTCAAGACAGGCTCTTCTCTTGTGAATTCGGCGTCAAAGTTGGCTACATCTTTTCTACTTCTCTGAAAAACAAAACAAATCCGTCAGCGTTGAATTGCTACGATCCTAGAAATAAATAATACATACAATTCTAGGTCTAAATGGAGGTTTAATCTTTCTCTGCTCAAGGGCAGTCCAATCAATGTCCTTAAAAAAGGGGTGCACTAAAATGGCCGCTTCACATCCCTGATTCACGACACAACCCAAGCGTCGGCTTGGATTCTTCGTCATAAAACCTTTTAATATACTAACCTGAGAAAGATGTTTGAATTTAGGTACAAGAAATGTATTTTTTAGGCTGAAGTTAGAGATTTTTACAATATTATCTGGTAACATGTCATTTACATGCTTCATTTATTTTTGACAAAATACTAATTTTATTAAATAAGTTAACTAATACTTAGTCAAAATTGTTCATGACCATTATTATTTCGCAGATTTCTGTCGTCTTGAAACTTATGACTAGTATTGGGACTGGTCAATTGTTACTTCTTAATTGACCGACAATTCGCTACTTCTTAATTGACTAGCCAAATTCGATCCAAATGTTATCTATCATTATTTTATAATAAATTTATACAAAATTTCGTAGTGCTTACCGCTTCCTTGCTTAACCACACCGGATACAAAACGTCGTCATGCAAAATAGATTCAAAAAGATCGTCTTCATTATCGGCTTCAAACGGGGGTTGACCAGCCATCATTTCATACATAAGGACCCCCAGAGCCCACCAATCAACGCTGGCACCGTATTCCAATTCCTGCGAAATAACAGTTTTATTGAAATTGCAAAAAATTCCAGTAGGAAAAATCTTACCTGTAGGATTTCTGGAGCTATGTAGTCCGGAGTTCCGCAAAATGTCGACGTGGTAACCCCATCAAAAACGCCTTCCTTGCACATTCCAAAGTCTGCGAGTTTACAGTGACCTTCAGCGTCCAATAAAATGTTATCCAGTTTAAGGTCTCTATATACAACACCGTTCCTATGTAAAAACTGTAGAGCTAAAGTCACTTCGGCGGCATAAAATCTGCAAAACAACAATTTTTGTCAAAGATTAATTGCCATTTGTACTATTACGGGAATTGCCACAAACCTTGCACGTGGCTCGTCAAATTTCTTGGCGCGCTGAATTTGGAACATGAGATCACCCCCGTTAACGTATTCCATAACAAAGAATAAACGATCCCTAGTCTGGAAACAAGAGTGTATTGCTGTCAAGAATGGATGTTTAGCAGCTAATGTTAGGATCCGTTTCTCAGTCATAGTGCAATCGACATCATCATCTTGGATGATCACGTCTTTCTTTAGTACTTTTATGGCATACACCTCGTCTGTATTCTTCTTTTCCGCGAGCATTACTTTGCCAAAACTGCCCTTGCCTAATACCTTAATAAAAGAGAAATCATTCAGTCCTATTAAGTGTTTGCTTCGCTCTTGATTTTCACCATCTGAAAACAAAATTGAAATAAAAAAAAAAGAAAATCAAAACACATTTAGCGGTCGTTTACCGCTATTTTGCATTTTTTCTTCCACCATTTTGGATAGGCTTTCATCGGTATTTGAATAATTTCCACTTGAATTTTCGCCAGTTTCAGCTGGGGCTCCGTTACCCGATCCAGGAAGCAACTTACTCTTTCTAATGGGCGTCTTGCTATCGGGGGAAACGCCTAAAAAACAACAATTTTAATGTAAAAAACTGGTATTCCTATTTGTATTTTATCAACAATTGTATTTTCAATTTTAAATGGATGGATAAAACAGTGTGAAAGGAGTTCCTTCTTCTTACTTGTACCTTTCCATAATTTTGGTAATATTTTTTGTTTTACCTTCTTTCTAAATATTTGATTGCTAAATCCCATTTGAATAAGTTTCTGATTGACAATGCAACAGAAGAATATAGAGACTACCATTGGCAAATACACAGGCAAAATTAGTAATTTTTGGATTTAAGATTTTTTTGTGATGGCATTATGTACGTGTGATGTACGTTATATCTCAGATTAAATGGATTAAAATTGCACAATCATACGATCAATCAAAAACAACCATAAAACATAAATTGCAACACAGAGCAAGAGAATCAGTACACATAAAATTTGATGGTATACGAGTATCCAAGGAGATCAACATTACAGACAGTAAACAAAAAATTAACATAAAACCTATAGAGGATCAGCGAAAATTAAAATAAAATTAAAAATAAAACATACCAAGCAAAACTAAACGAGGCGGATTATCGGGAGGTTTACCTATAGCCGTGAGGATTTCGGCCATTTGTTTTGTATTGATTCCACAATTGTTGGCTACATTTTTCTGACATCGTTTGTGCACGTTCAAGGAACACTCGCCACACTGCAATCCCTGCCTCGTCAAGCCATAAAGCAACGACCCACAATGGTCGCAGAATGTGAACCTTTTGTAGTTGTGTACCACAAAACGATGGGGCACATTGACATTAAATCCGGTGCTCTGGAGAGTTGTCTGCCGATCAAATGGTGCTTTCAGTAATACAGAATGATGATAATAGTAAACCACATTTGATGATCCAATTACAAATAGAAAACCAAAATTTCCATAAATTGTGGCAAGATAACTTGTATTTTAATTCAGATCAAAGGAGCAATAAACTGCTATTGAAACATTTATAATTACACCATTATGGGTGAATTAGAAAGAGATATTTATTTATTACTATCATTATATCCATTTTTGAGGAGTAAAAATAACATTCTATTAATAACCTTTTATAAAATATGACGTATACAAATAATAACTCTACAGCCATTTTTTCTTATTTTTTATGCTTCAGATACTGTCAGACTACTTTAATAATCACAAACTATAACTTAAACCCACAGACAACTGGAACCGAAAGCATTTTTTTCTCTTCAATCAGGTAAATTATGCCTCAAGTCATTCCAAGCTTTTTTCTTGACGATCAGTATGGTCTACTACAGAAATAGGCACTGAACATCAAGAAGAGCTACTTTCTGATGGCGCTCGTAATATTACTGGTTTCTCCAAAAGAAAAAAAAGCAGAAACATACTTTATCGTTTTATTTTAATGATTTTTATTAGCGCAGTTGCGTGTTCCAAAAAGTTTTGTGTTACAATCGGTCTTACATTTCAGAAGTTTTTGATAAAAAGCTCCGTATAACCAACTTACCAACGTACCTGCTTATATATTGTTTGGGGGGGGCGGGGGGGCGGAGCTTAATGAGGGGCATGGTCTCGGATGACTGATTCTCATAAAGTTGCTTATAGATTTCTATTGACTCTCGTATTTTTCGTTGGTACAAGAATTTTAAGAATTTTAGTTTTATCGAATAAAATTTTGACGTTATATTTCTTTAGAACTTTTGATATGTGGTTAGTGATGTTTTGAATGTAAGGAAGGACAACATTGGCAAATGTGGGATTGCTTTCAGTCTCATTGCTATTGGAAGGTTGTGGTGAACTGTATTTTGTGAGGGAACGCTTAATATCTTTAATGTAGAAATTATTAGAGAGAAGAGCAGACTCGGACTGAGAGAGTTTTACGACTCTGTAAACAGGAAAGTTGATAACTGATTATTTTTGGGCAGGATGGTGATGTGACAATGCATTAAGGTATTGGTTTGTGTGCGTAGGTTTTCTGTAAACACAATGACGCAATGTTAGGTCTTATTTTCAATTGATAAGAATATCTAAGAAGGGGAGGTTATTATTGGTTTCTAATTCGATGGTAAAACGTATGTTAGGGTGTATAGAGTTTAAATGTCTAAGAAAATCTACTAGGAAAAGTATCATAGATGTAGCGTTCCTATAATTTTGGTTTTAGGTGGAAGGTGTTGAGAGCTTTCTTCCCAAAAATAAATATATTCGTAATGACTGGTGATAGTGGAGAACCCATAGCTGTTCCCGAAGTTTGTTTAAAAATTTGACTGTTATAGGAAAAATATGTTCCAGACAAGCATTTTTCAATTAAGGTGAGAAGGTTTGGTTCCAGATTTTCGGATTTTAATATATCTGAAATGATGTTAAGAGTAATAGGGACTTTTTTCCCTGTAAAAGGTTTTAATAAAGAAGGTAGATATTTTGGTTGAGAATATATTGGAGAACCAATGGCGCTAACAATAGGTCAAAGGGGTAATCCTGGTATGCGAATCTTTGGGAGTTCATAGAGACGTAGGAATTTTAGAGTCATGAGGGGTGACAGACCATAGATAGAACCCAACCTTAAATATGTTATTAAGGCTTCTTCTGTATCAGACTCTGTTATTTGGCCTCATGGTTAAGAATCCCTAGCAGATTTTCTTAGACATTTAAACTCTATACATCCTAACATACGTTTTACCATTGAATTAGAAACTAATAATAACCTCCCCTTCTTAGATATTCCTATCAATAGAAAATCAGACCTAACATTTACAGAAAACCTACTCACACTGACCGATACCTTAATGCCTTGTCAAATCACCATCCGGCCCAAAAATCATCGGTTATCAACTGTCTTGTTTAGAGAGCCGTAAAACTATCTCAGCCCGAGTCACTGAACCCAGAATTAAAATACCTCTGGTATCTTCTCTCTAATAATTTCCATATTAAAGATATTAAGCGATCCATTACACCACACTTGCCACTGTTGTCCTTCCTTACATTCAAAACATCACTGACCAAATATCAAAAGTTCTAAAGAAAAACCAGATTTACCCCTTGTCCATAAATCTCTCAACAACTTCGATCCGCCATACGCGGCAAGGAATACATTGGAGAGATAGGACGAAAAATATCAACTAGGCTCAAAGAACATGAAAGAGCCTTAAGTCTAAGAAAAATAAACTAAGCAATCACGAAACCAGACATAAATTTTTTTTGAAAAAACATGCATGTAATCAATTCTTCTACCAACTAAAAATCCGAGAATCAATGGAAATCTATAACCAACCTGATCATCTTAACCTCGACTCAGGTCTTTACTGGTCACCAATATGGGAATCCGCCCCCTCAAACAATATAGAAACAGGTACAGAAAAAAATGCCAGTTTCAGTTAAACTTTGAAGAAGGCAACAGGATGATTGGCAAAACGTTAGCAAGTTGACTGAACAAAAAACGACGCAGGAGGAATTCAGAAGGTATGTAAAAAGTAATCCACTAGCCTGTCGAAGTTTCTTAGACAAATTGATTGATAATGATATCACGATTACAACTTCAGCTGCAACTTTTGATCTTACTTATTGGTATGTAAAGTAAGTAAGCCCGCGCGAAATCCCCTAAGGGAAAATTGGGAGAGAGTCAATGGTGGCTTGAATAAGGCATCATTAAATAGCCGAGGTCTCCTATTTTAAATTATATTATTATATATATAATAATAATAAACCCTATTTGAAAGTATGAGCCAAGTTTATAACATTCCCGATAGCCAATGTTAGTTTATATAAATCCCGATTAAAACCTGGCACCAAGATGTCAAAAACAAATTCCATGCATGAATTACTTCGTCAAAAGTCGAATTAGTTGAACTGTGTATAAAAAATCCATCAAAATATTTCAAAGTGACAAACGTCCATTCAATAATAAACATGGATGATTTGGAAACTGAACAAGCAGGAGAAGCGGAGGACGAGCAAAGGTATCCCTATGGAGAATATGAAGGCAAAAGAGATGAGCAGATGGACAGACATGGTTATGGAGTTGCCTTACTACCAAATGGTGACATTTACAAAGGAGAATATTATCATGGAAAACGTCATGGAAAAGGTAAATTTCATAATACACTTTTTCGAAAATATCTGCAGGTTGTACATTTGGTTGATTCATGAAATTTGAGGAATTTACTGCTTCAAAAACGGTGCCCGCTACAATGGTCTTTGGCGAAAAGGTCTTAAGCATGGTAGTGGTGAATTCATCTATCCAGATGGGTCCCGATACATTGGAGAATGGAGAAGAGATTTTAAACATGGACAGGGCATCTATCACTATGCAAATGGTGACGTATATGAAGGATTGTGGAATAAAGGGCATCGGAATGGCTTAGGCACATATACCTACAAAAATCTTAATGTATCTCAATATGGAATTTGGAAAAATGGACAGATGGAAGGGCCAGGAATCACAAATTATCCTTATTTTAGGTAACTTATATGAAAAAAGGAACAACAATAATGAATATAATGTTGTCTCCTAGCAGAATAAATGTTACCAGGCTATGATTGCATTGCACTTCACTTACATAAAAATGTTTTATTTAATTAACTTAAATTGCTATGTATCAGAATTTTTTTTATCAAAAAGGAAAACAAGATAGATTTTTGTCACTCGTTCTAAATATTAACGACAAATATCAACAAAATATAATTGGACATTGGAAGATTGTGTGGGTTAATATAATCTTAACTTCAACTTCAAATTCCACTGTCCAATACGAAAGAAGTTTTGTTAACATTTATGTTAATAAATTGAAATAGAGAATATAAACCTACCTTTTTTTGCTACAACATAATAATAATATGTGGCGTTAGTTTTTTTTGTTACTTTCTTACATTTTATTATTTTCTGTTGAAAATATCAATGACTCCTGCGCATCAATTTTTACCGTCCTTACGCTACTATATTCTCTATAGCTATATAATCGAAATAAATGTGATTTTCTTTATTAATTTTCAATAAAAAACAATCAAATGATACTAATAGAAAAGTTATGGTATGAAATCCCGGCCAGATCACAAAAATTAATACTCCATTGTAAGTGTAATCAGAGTTTGCCCTGTGACGCGTAGACTAAGGACCATCCAGTGTTTAAGAAATCAAAATAAATGGTTAAGCCACACTGTTGTGGTTTTTTAGATTTCATGGTTCATTTGAAAAGAATCTTCCTAAAGGAAAAGGCTGTTTCACTTTTGATGAAAAATATATGCAACATGGTTATTACATTAATGTGAAAGATACCTCTCTTAATTCTGTTGGAAAAGAAGAACTGCAAAGTGATGAAAGCAATCCTACCAATATAAGTATAATTAAATCCATTAATAAAAAGCTTGACCTATATAACTTTATGAATTAGTACCAATATGGAGGGCAGAAAGTATCAGCAAATACAAACCAGAGCTTCTTCCACCAGAACCCTCACCAATTATAGTCCAAGAGTCAGAGGAATCTATGGTAGATATTATTGAGTACCTTCAGAAGCAATACAAGGAAGAAACTCACATTGATGAAGAACTTGGGACAGTTGCCTCACCTCTCAATGGCAATTTAATGGTGGATATTCCAGACATAGATTTAGATGATTAATACATAACAATTTCATTATATACTATACACTATTACTGATTTTTCAATGGATAATCAAATGTAGCTACAATTTATATTAGACTACTACAATTTATATTAAACTTACCTCTTCTTGCATTCCCGGACATTTTGTAAGCACTAGACGATGACATCTTTTATGGACAACACAAGTACAAACTGAAAAAATATATTTTCAAAACCAGTTTAAAGTACAACATTTGCTTTGGCCAGGGTTTTAAACTTAAGTATATACAATGAACTTCAAAGTTATTTACATCAAGCATTTGTTGTGAAAATAAGCGGAAAATTAGTAGTCATGGTGAAATGAAATAAAGTAAAAAATAAACTTACGAAAAAAAGCTATAAAATCAGCCATGCCAGTGCAATGGTGCTGCAAATAAAAATATACAATTAGAGAAAATTAGATTCTCTAAACCAAAAACCATCATGCACATAAAAGGTCCACAATCAAATTTTATATCTAAAATAACATTAATTATATTGTTTTTAAGTATTCCAGCTAATACACCATAAAAACGCCCTCATTATAAACCAACTCTTTTTTGGTAATTGTGATACACTGATAAACAGTTTTCTTCCTATGAATTGATTCTAAAATATTTGTGACCAAAACTATGGATACTTAAAAAATTAAAAAGAGTATCTAAAAGATAGTGTTGAACATTATGTTAAAGCTTCTTTAAAAACCCCAATAAAGACTTGGGATTTGTTTAATTTGTGATTCTTGGATCCTCAAAAATAAATACATACATATTTAATTTGAACAAGATTCTCACGAAATAGTAAGTGTTTTGGTACATTTAGCATAAATCATAAAGCTTAAGCGCTGTGTAAGGTTAAAATTCATGCAATCATACCTTGACATTGATAGCCTTGTTTGCCTAAACCCCTGAAAAACAAAACCACCATGTTAGGGCTACCCTTTGTGCAAATCTAACTGACAATGTTGACAAACCGTAGCGTCACGCAAGTGTTACGCGTTAATCTATTGATAGTTCAATAATTACAATTGTTACCTAGTTTCATTAGGCTTAATTTAAAGACCAAGTTCCAGTTGTAAATTGAAGTTCCTGGTGGGAAGCTGAATTAATAAATGCAGTTTGCTGTTTGCACAAAATCAAGTTAATGTGTGAAAGAACAAAATAAATGTGAACCTATATCAACAAATTTTAGGTGTTATGTGATCATTTGTTTTTTATTTTTAAAATTTCCAGCCAGCGAAAAAGTTTATTAACACATAAAATAAATATAATAATATAGGAGAATTATTGGCAAACAGCAAAGTGATTTCATCATTTTCCGCGCGAAAAATGTTTGTATGCATTAAAACAGAAGTAATTACAGGGGGACTAAGAGATATAAACAATGTTTTTGCAACAATGACGTCACTTCACTCTTTTCTAATAAACTCTACCTTGAACTGAGAAAAGAAGGCGAATATAAGTTATCGTTATTTATTGCCTGCCTGAGAACTTCAGAAAAATGGACAAATAATGGAGAAATAGAAAATAACCACTTAATTCCTATAAATGCTTCTTTGTAAAATTTTAAGAAAATTGGTTTAAAATAGTGCCAGAAAGCGTGCCATAAATAAATAATGTTTATGTTAGATTACCTATATTACTCCAATACAAAAATTAAAAGTAAACAAATAAAGCGAATCCCAATTTCCCCTAATTAAAATGCACTTTCTATAAGCAAACTCACCATATGAACTCCTTGCAGTGTGAACAAAATGTAGGTTGCCTTAAAAATGTTGCCATGAATTTGTGACCATTAACTTGGTGAACCCTCCTACGCATGGCACCTCGTCTCCTGTTAAAACCCTGACGCTCCTTAAATTCCCTCGGTTTAGAGCCATATTCTATTAAAAATGATATGCCATGAAAAACAAAGCCCCATTACCCCATATGCATACATTTTTAATTTTACAGTCCTTCAACCACCTTTCAATGCCCAAACCCATCAGGGGCATCTCTAAATTATAAAACATGATTTTTTCAATACAAGTTTTAAAAACAACAAAACTTCTAAGCAATCATGTGAATTACTTGACAAAAATTGTACCTAATATCTAACAGTGAAGCAAAAATAGAATCAAAATATCTTGGAAAGAATTATTGCAAAATTTACTTATTATTGCTTATTATATCGTTGGCAAAACATTTATCATAATTAGAAACATATTGTGTGGTTCATATTTGTCCACCAGCGCAAGAAGTAACTTACCATTTTTTAAGTCTATTTTAACCCGAAGTCGCCCCTTTGGTTCCAAATTAACCTGTGCAGAAAATGTGTTTAATAAATATCCAGAATTGACTTAACCGAATTAACTAAGTTAAGTTGTTGTCCTGTTCTCATTTGAATTAGGCACCAAATAATTTTTGACAGTGTTCGGTTATTTTCATTATTATTTATTCTACACCATATCGCATAGGATTTGTGTATATTTGTTGGATATATAGTGTTTTGTATATAGTAAGTAAGAAGGCTTAAAAATCTCATTTACAATATAAATGGAAATATGTACAGTGTCTTACCAAAATTGTACAGAACAAATATGACGAATTTTTTTCAAGTTTGTCAATAAATGTGGTCTATTGGGTATTTATTATATTCATTTCCATTTTGCTTTGCTCTACATATTTACAATTTCTGATATATTACATTACTTATGGTCTAGCTGATGGTATTCACAAAAAATATAAAAAAAAGTCTAGACTTGGGACCACAATACTACCTGGTCAAGAAAGTGTGTAGTGAGGTTTGTACTTATATTTTCGGTTCGGAACAGTGGTATACCTAAAGCATTGTAGAGAATCAAAATATGTAAAGTCTGTTTATAGATACAAGAAAGTGACTAACTGATACGAATTAAGGAAAGACCCGGGCAAGCTGTAAGAATGAAATATGGCCGAACAGGTCCGTACTTTGCTTAGAGCTTAATTATTTGGGGTTTTGTTAGGAAAGATACTAAACAATATTTATTTATTTATGTATGTACCTACTTAAATTACTTAAAATTCTAATTATTATTTGTTCTATATTATTTGCAATATGGATAGACGATTGTTTTGCTTTTTCTATATGTTTAACAGAATTTGCCCAACTTTGTGGAGCGATGTTAAAAACTTCGGTTTCTATAAGTTTAAGGACATTGGAGTTAACACGGGGAAAAACATTGTTACGACGAATCGCAGATTTCACTTGGTGCCAAACATGTTCAATGGGATTAAATATACAGTGGTAAGGTGGAAGCCTTAAAACTATATGCCCTAAATTTTTTGCATAATTATCACAGACATATTCCTTTTGTAGGTTCAAGATTTGTAGAACCTCAATTAATTGCTTTTTGGTATAATCTTCGTGAAAATAAATGTCGTTATTATACATGTAGTTTTGGATTGTTGCTTTTGTGTCACATGAGGAAGGGGTTTTAGTCAACTATCTACTATGATAACTTGCACTGTCCATTACAGTTACTCTATTAGGAGGAATGTTTGGAACTAGTTTGTTTTTAAACCAACTTTCAAATAAATCAGCGGTGGTGTCTTCATGGTAATCCAGAGAAGAATCTTTAGAGCCAGCATGCAAAATAGTTATTCTTTTACTTCTTTTTGATGGCGCGTTTGTTTTACACTTATCAGTTGGGTTAACTCAACCCTTTTCCGAGGTATCATAAGTAGGTTTCATCCAAATAAATAATTGGCCTATGTTATTCTCTGTAAATCCAAATTTTTTCTAGATATTCCAGTCGCCATTTCCGAATTCTAAAAGATTCCATTAAAACTTGCCTTTTGTCAATTTTTTTAAATCTAAAACCCATGTGTTGAATACACTTCCATAAGGTAGTTCTGCCACATTTAACACCGATTTCATCTTTTTCAAGCCTCCTAATTAAGATATCTAGGCACGCTTTGTTCCTCGTATAACTGGTAAATTTTACGCCATATTATATTTTGATCACTTTTTTTCCTCGCTGAAATGGGATTATTCACAATTTCCCATACAGTTGATCAGTTGATATTGGAATTTTCGTCAATGTGGCCGGTTCTTCCAAAGATGCTTGCTTGCTGGCACATATTTTGCATAATTCTAATACATAATTACTAATAAACTTAAACTAAGTAATATACCAAACTAAAGAATATTAAATACAGGTAGGTATAAAATTATTTTCTATTACGGACCACAATTTTACCTGAATTTAAATTCCGAAACTTTAGGTCATAATCTTGTTGCATTGTATGTTAATGACCACCCTTGGATAATCCCATTCAAAAGCAATTGGTCACTTTCTTATATCTATGAACAGACTATATCAACAAAATGACCGTTTCTACGGCTCGATCGGATGATTTTTAAATAATTGACTGCGCCATTTGTTTTGTTGTAGCGGTGTGTGGTTTGATTTTAACGAATTTGAATTAAAAAAAAAACTTTTAAAGTCCAGTTAATGTACATTCTTTATCCAACTAAATTTTAATGATCAGTGGTAACTTTAGATTTCTTTTGCTCTTAAGCATAGAAGATGCCAGAAATGTTTTTTGAAGGACAAATTGAAATTCAAAAAAATTGTTAAAACACCTATTTGGTTAATATATTTAAGTTTTTTAACTAAAGAAACCTTCAACTTCAAAAATTTTTCAAATAAGTTTGAAGTAATTAAAAGATGTGCACCCTGCAGCTGCAGCAGCAAAATTTGGACCCATTAGTTAGTAGCGGATATTATCTACATTTGAACAGGGGCTTTAACCTGTACTTTCCAACTTCAAAGCTCTTGTCAAATTAACGCCAACCTCTGCTTTCAAAGACAGATGCTTAAAATTTGCCTACTTCTAGTCTACGATATAATTAACCTGAGTACATGCACTATTAAAAATTTTAAGAACCGTTAAGAAGTATTTGACCAATGAAACCGGAAAACATCTTGCTAAATGAGAGAATGTTGAGAGGCTCTCATTTACCTCACCTGAGCATTATGTTTTACCAGTTGAGCTACCAGTGTTTTTATCAGGTGATGATTGGGTTAAATATAATATACCATTTTTGTTTTTATTATTTATTTAAATGTTATGGGTTAAACAATAACTATTGTTATGATTTATTAGGTATGTATAAGAATAAGAGAATTTTAACAGAACTAGATATTGGTGTGTGCAAAAAGTAAACTTGTTTTGAAGCAGGACAACAAGCGAAAATTGTGAACATATATTTTACAGAACAAAATATTTGACTAAGCTTTTAATGGAGCCTTCAATACATAGGCATGTCAAAACTGTAAACCTTAAAAATAGAATTCACTCACCCAAAAATCGGCTTCTTCCTTATCTCTCGTCAAAATTTCCTCAAATGGAATACTGCAATTTGCTACGAAAGTATCAGGAGGAATAGCTGCATCGTGAAAAACGGTGAGGCTGAGCGTCTTTGCGTTTTCGACATTGTGCTCAAAAAGCTCATTCCATACGGGGTCAGACGTCTTTTGCTTCGTGGTGGACTGTGCAAATTGGGCATCGTCGACGTCGACGGTAACGTAAGGGTCTAGCAATTGCTCGTCTGCTTTACCGAATGCGTGCCGTTTGGAACAATCCGTCGGCCTTAAGCCTTGTGCCTCGCATATTTTCACTCGTACCGTCCCAGTGAACATGGCCCCGGTGCACTACACCTGGTCTTCGCGATGATATCCACCACACCCGCACTCGAAGGTACAAAACAATAACAATTTAAAAGCTACATAGGTATATAGAGCGAGAAACAAATCCTAAAAGTAGATCAGCTAGATTGACAAGCATGAAGGTCGCTTGACTCTGCTGCTCCCGGTTCCCTTCCCCGTTTGTTTTACCACCACCAAAAACTTTTTACAGCCCTGCGTACTGCGCGTTATGCAGGATGGGAGCTAACATGGGTTTAGGAATTTCAAATATAGGGGTCACCACTTTACTATTGAGAAATTAGCAAATCTAATTTGCCTGAAATTTCTCCGTAAGCCGACATGTGGCACTAGTGTGGTGTTCTATGTTGCCGTTTCATCTTTAAAACTATTTTCTATGATTGCATCTTATTTCAAGTGTAAGTTGTATTTGTGGTCATGTCATGATTTGCTATACCCATTTACCACTTATATTTACTACCCACGAAGCCACAGTCTTACCGTATTTTTACAGCTGGAGTAGAAATCGAGATGATGAAACTATTATTGAAATGTTGGAAAGAAATTACAGTTATTGAACTTTCGAAAGTTGTTATTTGTTTATAACAACCGCTGTACTGAATGTTAGAAAATAAAAATTTAATTTTCAATTCTATTTGGAGAAAAAACATTTCATCCAATAAGTTCTTTACTTCAAGTTTACTGACTTTGAATTCATCAAATATAACTTCAAACAAATATCTGCACACAAAACAAAAATTTCACCATTTAAATTGAAGGTTTAACTTTTTTTTTACAATTATGGTTCTGTCTCAGTTTTACTTATTTCAAAATTGATTTTCTTATTTTACCACCAATTAAGAAAAAAATGGTCAATATAAATTACGTATAGGTATATCAAATAAACAGAACCGGAAAATTTATAAACTTGACAACGTTGTAAGATTTCACTGCGATGACGCATTTTCAATGATTATTTTGGGTGGGGAGGAGTAGTGGAGTGGAAGAAGTTTGTGACTACCGGTTCGCACGGGCTGCAATTTTCTTGACGTTTGATGTCAATGTTTACTTGTTATGTGATTTAATAGTTATTTTAAGCAATATTGGTGTTTTCGTAAGTTTACGATATAGGAGATACTTGGACCTGATTGGTTTCAGGACTTTAAACAATGTGAGTATGTACTTAACGTTGTAGAATTAATTCTAGTCAATGTCAAATACGGTTTTTGTTAGTTTGCAAGAAAAATCTAGCAAAACGTTTTTTGTTAGATGATTCATTTTCTCTACGAGCATGACCACGAATATGGTTTTACATCTTGTAACAATTGGAACTGCTATAATAGATTCGCTCGCTCATGGTACGCGCCCGATTTTAGTGCAAAGTTATTGATTTTTGACTGTGTTCCTTTTATCCGAATCTTCTGCGAAATGCCACCATGTTTCGGATAATTTGGCACTAAAATTGATATTATTTTTAAATTGGTTGAAAATCGCACATATTTTTGTTTAGAAAAATGCCGGCCCCCGCAGCGGAAAATGGAGCTCCAAGATCAGAACTTCAAGAACTTCAGTTTAAAGCCCAACAAGTTACAGATGAGGTAAGCAGACTAAATAGTTTTTTTTCTTTATATTTACTGTATAAGGCACTGATACTAAACATTCATCCTTTGATTTTTTTTTATTGTAATACCCCAAAATCTATTCTCTCTCTCTATTCTGAGAGCATATGAAAATATTTTTAGAAATTAGTAGTACAATTTTCTGTACTTTTTTACAGTCCTTGGAGAGCACCAGGCGGATGTTGGCACTCTGCGAGGAGGTAATTGTCTTCTTTTATTCAATATTAAGTGTTTCTATACCTTAAAACATAAATTCTTCATATGAGTGATTATTGCATTTGAATTTCAGACAATCACAATAAAAAAATAATTTGAACTTTTCGATTTATAAAAATTTGCTATTGTCCATTAACCTTTGTACAATATTAATTTTCTTAAATTTAAATTATGATCTCCCAGTGTCTAACTAGTAACAACTTGTCAACATGTCGAATATGAAAAAGATTCATGAGGTGAATTTTATTATTAACAGAACTATAATGTTTAATTAATTAGAAGCATATATTGCGAAAGGTTTCTTAAGTTATTAACAAAATCCATTTTTTAGTTCTTTAAATTGTCATAATTTTTAAAACTGGTAATTATATAAACATATTTCTGTAGAATAGATACTTCTCCTAAAGATTTTTAAATAAAAGTCATGAGAATAAACTGTAGAAATAATTCTCTCTTTTCTAAAAACATTTTGTACAAAGGTTTATTATTGATGTTGCATGCCTATACTTATCTATCTTTACTGTCCTGTCACTCAATATATGCAGGGCAGGACTACCGTTGATTTCTCCTCTGCCCACAGAGGATTCTTGGAGATCAAACACATGCTATTATTAAACAGTTCCAAATATTCAAGTCAATTCAAAAGACAGTGTTGTGTTTGAGGTCTCAGTCCAATCAATACATTTCCATTGTTTGTGGTGTCTAGGATGTAGCAAATTGGGAGCTTTTAATTTGGGTGGTTTCACTTTTAGAGTAGTGCCATTGTTAACAAAATAGCACAACTGTGCATTTTTTTACCTAAGAATTGACCACATTGCTAAAAAGTTTATGAAACTCTGATTGTATATGTGGGAGTATATATTTATTGATTGCATGAACGTAATCGTAACGTTATTAAACACAAAGAAATATTTATTGCTGTCAAATTAACACAATAACAAAATAGTTCCATTATCATATAAAAATTCTGTCAAACTCAATATGCTACTATGCAGCTTTAGTTATATCATTTCGAGATTTTTACAGTTCGGTATTCATAATTTGCCATTAATATCTTAATCTCACTATTGTTAAAAATTTTTGAGAAAAACAAACACCCTAAATGGTTTCTTCAAATATCCAATTATACTTGAAATGAACTATGAACTAGAAACTATAATTTTTATTAAGGTAGTAAGTAAGCAATTGTTGAATCGAATTTATAAATTTCTTTTTCCCTCTGTTTTGGATTCATATTATGTGTGACGATTCCTTTATTGCTATTCTCGCTCTGTTGATATGTTGATTAATTGCCCATGCCAATCTCAATTTCGGTGGAGTCGGTGGTCAAGGTCATTTCTAACATGGTAGAGGTTTTACCACGATTCTTGTTCTTGTTGGGAAACTATCCACAATTTAGTATTGCTTGATTACTGTAACATTTCTTGAATTTTAAAATCGCAACTACTCCACTTTTTGGAAAATCTTTTAAAGACTTGCCGTAATCTGGCAATCTGCTAAGACATAATCTCTTTCTTGACACTAGTCGCAGGTGATCTGTTTCTTTTCATTGGAAAAATTTGCAATTTGCTTTTGCAGGTTTAGTATAATACTGACAAACACCAAAACATCAAAAGATTTAGTTATTTGACTGTACCAACCATGTTTTATATATACGAGTATTTCCGACGTATAATACAATTTCACCTTAACAGCTCTTAGAAGTACATAGTAGCGGTAAAAATTTATTCTATAGTATAATGTTTACCTATTTTTTTTATATTACTTATTTCAATCTCGAAATAATATGACATTACGTATTGGGAAGCTTGGACGCAGAAGTCAAAGGATATAAAAATAAAAATTGTGTGCAAATTTTTTGTGCATCAGTTTATCTTAAGACTTCTAATTTTAACGCTGGACCTAATTTCAGGCTAGCGTTAATTGTTAAGTACCTAATTAAACAAATACAATCTGGAAAACCGGTGCTTTCAGTATCAAATATTAATTTGAAAACAAAAACTTCAACTTCTTTCTGCCTTTCTAGTATGAATCTTTTCTTTGACATGTATAGTGCCAAAATTTTTTATTTTCGTTTCTCAGACGTGTCCGCACTTAAACTTATATATATATATATATATATATATATATATATATATATATATATATATATATATATATATATATATATAATATGCGAACTTGTCCCCCAATTAATTGGTCATTCTTTTTTATTTTATATCTTTTATCTCTAATCTGTTTCTAATTATTTGCCAAAAATAGACAATGACATAAATATAGCTGGCTAATTAACAATTAAACGAAAGTTTAAAACCGAATAAATTGTGTGAAGAATTCAACTACTTTCTCTTTTTTACTCAACTCTACTTTTGTTTTTATCATAGTGTATTGGACATTGCACATCAAGTCTTTGTTTGATACTATTTTGAAACTTATCTTTCCTTATGGTTTTAGGCTATTTATTTTTTATTTTCATTTTAACGGTAAAACCGTATTTTCACAAATTTCACCTTTTTTTTGACCCATCGTATATACAATTTTTAAAATGACAATATCACATTTATAGAACATAATACCCAATTTCTGAAAAAAAATGTGTATCATGAAAATTGGTACAACTATAAAAAATCGATCGAAAAAATATAGTGTCTCGTTTAACACCCACATTCAAAATACAGTACAAAAAAGTCAATGCAAAACTCGCCAATAGCGGATAACATGTATTTTGCACAAATAAATTGGCACAAAAAAATTTGACCGGTCAATTCCGTAACCCTAAATATAATACTAGTAGTTGTTAATTTTGGCACTACTAATTGTAACATTAACATTCATCATCAGATAAGATATTTATCGTTGTGTACGATATATTTTGTTGTATTTTTTTTTTGTTGGAATGGTTCTGGGAGTGTTAAATGCATGGCCCTTTTCTATCGTGCCTATATCTTTTTTTAATATCTAATTTTGTACCGATTAATTGTTGATGTTTTATTTGTTTCGTCCTGATTGTATGTTTAGTGGTGGTATAGAACATTAAATATATTCTTTCTTTTTTAGGTGCAATCAAAGATCTATTTCTAAAGGCTTATATTTTTGTTGGGTCCATTTATATTAAATCTAGAATTGTTAGTTAAGTGCATTAAAAAAATATCGGTTGTGGAATACTGAATATAAAGGGACTCAATGCTCTATGTACTTTGCGAGTGCATTTTCAGAACCATTTCTGATTGTAATTGCGTACAAAAACTAATTCAGAAATCCCATTAAAGCTTAAAGGTTGCTCCAGTTGAACTAAAAATTGTGACACGATTTCCATTACATAAATTGACCAATTCATGGACAGCTGGACATAAATGTTGTGGTAGCGGTAGCCCTGCAAGTGTGGCTGTGTTTGTGCTGTGTTTTCGTGTACAGTTCATGATATATATATTATATATTAATATTATACTTCTCACACACATGCACTATTGCACACACACACTAGCAGACTGCAAATAACTACCCAACAGAAAACTAGCCACTACCATGACATAAAAACAACTGCTTAGCTTTTATATATTTATCATCATTGGATTTAAATTTAAGATACATGGTCCGTAATTATTACAGTCATGGACAGGAATAAAATTGCTTATACCGGTTCGAGCTCTAAACAAATAAAATTGAAATACCTGGATTACTTATCATTAAAACTGCTGTTGCGTTTGATATTCAAGCATTTAGCGAGAGTTAATGAAATATCTTCATGCTTTAATAAATACGCAGGTATTTTTTTTTGGCAACCATGTGTGTGTCAAAACATTGAAATATTATTGAAAAAAAATTACGTGTAATATAATGCTTTAACAATAAAAAATTCAAAACATACCATATAATCTACTACGATCTATCCAAAAGATTCACTCGTAAAACTACTACTCAGACTGAAGTTACATTTATCAAAGATGGTTTTGCGGGCGTGCTCACTCGAACCATTTCCAAACTAACATACAGTTTAACACTTGTTTTGTGCTGCCACGTAGAGCAAGGAGGCTGGCATCCGCACCTTGGTCGCTTTAGATGACCAGGGAGGTGAGTCTCTCGAGTTCATACGTTATAATCATTTTGTTACAACCCCATTTGATCCTGATTCGTCATGTTTTACTCTATTCGCAAAGCCTTAATATTGTTACTGGTAAACCGTATTTGATGGTAACTAATTAGATTCAATCGTTTTTTTTTTTAAAAATGTATCTAGTGCAGTGTTGAAGTTCAATATAAATATGGTTTATCAGTATGCATCATTAAGCCCAAACATTTGAATGAATTTTACTGTTTACTTATATAAATATCGATACTATATACTTGAATATACATTGTTTACATACAAACCAAAAACATGGGACACATATTTAGCATATTTTGAACACACCTAGAACACAAGTTTTGCGATGTGCATGCCTTTTCGCAGCTTAGCTTGGTTGGTAGGCGGAGCCTTTTCGAAAAGCTAACAGCTAAAAACATTTTTCATTTCTCCTTGTCTGGCTAGTTCAAATTTTTAAACTTTTGGATTTTCAACAACTTATTTCCGTTTTTAAATGACCACTATGATATTGGCGAAGGCTTTGTCGTTTTTATTAAATTTTATCAATTTGTGTTTGTGTGTTTTAATTGTCCTGCCCCCAAAATCTAAAAGCGTGGTTTTCCATTTTTAACTTTAATGATTACGCAATATTAAGCCAATATCACAATTACTTTTTCTCATGCTCTTATTGTGAATGAAACATAAGATCTTTCAGTGTGTATATAATATATTACACCACACATATTATAGCCAGATGTACCTATATTTGTGTATGGACCGTAGTTGCTTTGTTGTGTTGTTTTTTTGTCCCTCTGTATGCTACCAGCACTGTGCTGTTTATAGAGTACCGATGCGGGAACCAAGACTATGGATATGCTCCACCACCAAGGGGGTAAGATATTTCAAGAAGAGTTGTTCAATTAACTCTTTGATGGTTTTGGTGTTGTGGGGCAGCTGTTTTATACTATACCTCTTTTAACTGTTGTAGTCTTTGTTTTATTGCATATTTACCTATTTATCAAGTTTCGAGGTCTTACTTCATAAAGATTACATAATACACAACATTTTACAAAGTAGTTTATAATAGCGTTTGCAATTTGAAAACATTTTATTTTCATGTCGAAAATAACATGTTTTCACAGTTATGTAGCTGAGTTCTCAATCTACACAAGACTACAACAAAGGTTCATTTATTAACAACTGGTGCGGAATTTAACTAGCAATTAGGCCGCCGATGATTAACGCATTGATCTGAGGTTGGCTCTCATGTGCACCGGGGAATGTAGGAGCCTCTTACAACATTATTTATGGACGAGATGCCATTTTAATTGCACTTTAAACTGTATTAACTCTACTGGGGAAATGAACACCACCGTTCGGGGGTTCGCATTGCTGACATTCTTCCATGTTTGTAGAGCCACGAGGTGGGGATGAAAACCCTGGTCATGCTGGATGAACAGGGCGGTAAGCATTCTCATTTTGTCATACTATAATGCCAGTGATTATGGCAAAAAGAATTCACGCATTTAAATTGCAAGTCAAGCCGCTTGTAGTCATTTTATGCTTATTCGTCAAAAAAGTGAATTCTTTTATCATAATATCATAAAGCACCCGCCACTTTCGATTTCATAGTTTCTCATCTGAAAAACATATCACACATTGAATTGAAAATCGCCAGATTAATTCCCTTGTTGCTCTTTATGGAGTAAAAATAAACAATATTTAATATACAGCGAAGTCTTTTGATGAGGTATTTTGTTCAAGTATGTGTCATTTCGATGAATTTGGAGATGGTCGTAAGTTCGATGTGATATATCACTTGGTTGTAAATATGCAATAAGATACTTGACCATTTTTGTTATCGGTGTGCTCAAACTCTTTTAATTCGGTAATGGAGAATATAATCGATGTAGCTCATTGGCGTAGAAGTGCTGTTCTCCATTTTCGATGTCTCTGCTCACACATTCTTAACAAAATGATACATAGTTGTTAAAAATAGACAGTATTTTATTAAAAAGTTTTAAAAAATAAAGAGATCACCATTTACTCACACCAATTATATACTAAATGCTGTTTAAACATTTTCAGTTGCATAAATTTCGCTTGTTCAGACATCGAGCCGATCTTTAGATGTTGTCACTTTGTTTAAATTTCAATTTTCGACCATAACATTTTCTTCAAACATATCGTTGTTTATTTCTATTCTAAGCCAGTGGCGTAGCATAAAGGAGTTTTTTAGGGTTGGTGAGTTCGAAGTCGGTTAATGTGACGGGGTAGATTAAATTAGAAAAAAGTTTCCTTATGATTACAAAAATTTTGATGCCATTGGATATAATTGTTGAACAAATTTTTAAGATTGTTTAAAAACACAACCAAAAAAAGAAAAAATTAAACAATTTTAAAATATTTTTTTAGCTACCCGGAAATCAGACATTTCCTATTTAACTTGTACCATAGCTCTTCTCGTTTCCGAAATCACTATGCTGTATGCTGTTATTTTGAATTTTGTGATTCGTTCTGTCGTTAATTATAGGTTATTGTTGCCCATATCGTTCTCGCCTCTAAACTGGCAGTTAAGGAATAAGTATTATTTCCCCATTAGGTGTCAATGTTCTGCTAGCACTAGCAGAAATTTGTAGACGGTTTTTGTTTTTATCGAACCAACAATTCGTCCTGTATTCTTCGAACCTTCTGTTTTTCTTGTATGTAATATAACCTCTGATCTTCATCTTCAACTTAAGGGCCTCCAGTGGGTTAAAAAAACTCATTAATTACAAGGTGACAACAGCGTTATTCTAAACTTCGCGTAGTGTTTAGGACCAAGAAAAATTTAAACTATATCCCTTTGCAATAAACCATAATGCACGTCATCTGTTAACGCATCAGAATACTTACATCAGTAACTAAATCTGTAATGAAATATGCATCAAAAGACCCCCACTTTACATGAAGGACATTACACTTCAAAAGTAAGTTAACATCTCCCACTATATTTTGAACACTTTAAAAATTTCTTTGTATTCTGCGATTGCAAATAAATCTAGCATGACCTTTCCTTAACATAGATATCTGCTTTTTTCTTAATCCGAAGTATATAGAACCGCCATAAAATTGGTTTTGAAACGTATTTTTTATTAAGGTAGTTTATGTAGTGTCTGAGAATGTTTTTTTGCTCTTTTTATTTTCCATATACTTGGAACCGAAAAGCGTCTTTTGCAGTGCGAACGCACCCTATGCCGAATATAACATTAATTTACCTAAGCGTATAACAAATTAAGGAGCAAAAGAAATATTCTTTCTTGTATTTGGATTAGAAAACTGGGGAACTTACAGATATTGTTCTGGCAACGCAAACGAGTTAATTATAAGATTTTTAAAATGTTGTTTCACAGTTTTCGTATGCAAAAAGTAAATACTGTTTTTTAAACACCACTGTAATTTTTGGCGGTTATTAGTTTTCGGCATGAGCATGTCGGTGGTACTAAACCAATTATGGACACTGATATACACACAGTCTACTAACATACCTAGAATTTATGTCATAAAGACATGTTGGAGGTATCAGAGAATAACTTATAAGTAATATTATTCAGAGCAACTGGATAGGATCGAAGATGGCATGGATCAAATCAATACCGACATGAGAGAAGCCGAGAAAAATCTGACTGGAATGGAAAAATGCTGCGGATTGTGCGTTTTGCCATGTCAGAAGTAAGAGTTACTTACCACCTATTCAACTTTCTTTCGCTTACTGTGTTGTTGTGACATTAACCTATGAAACTTCCTTATAAAGCACGACGGCACACCGTTCAATTTTTTTTGTATGTGCAGGGGATCATCTTTCAAAGAGGATGAGGGAACATGGAAGGGAAATGATGATGGTAAGGTTGTGAACAACCAGCCCCAGAGGATGATGGATGATCGTAATGGCATGGGACCTCAAGGCGGCTACATTGGGCGTATCACAAACGATGCACGCGAAGACGAAATGGAAGAGAATGTCGGTCAGGTAAGCAATTCTGAATTTTGAGTAGATCGATGTATTATAATGTATATCAATTGCTTCTTGTCAAATAAAGATTTTAAAACTCAAAAATCCAATATTATGTTTTTAACCTGGCAGAAAGTGTGAACAGCAATTAACGGTTAAGTGGTGGTTAGTTTAAAATTACATTGTTTTTCTAAATTAAATGTAACATAACTTTTCCATAATACTTACTAGGTCACTTGTGTAAATTAATGTATTATTATTATAAACTCATTAGGTGAACACAATGATTGGCAACTTAAGAAATATGGCCATAGATATGGGTTCTGAACTGGAGAATCAGAATCGGCAATTGGAACGTATTAATCTTAAGGTAAGATTGTTATTTTATTGTTCCCTTGCATGTAGACGTGAAAAATTGTTTCAATCTTAAAATATTTTTTTTTATCCTAAATTTAGTATCAACCAAAATATTTCTGAAATTATGTTAAATTCAGTCAAACTTGTTTGTAAGTGAAGATGAATAACAAGTATCGATTATAACATTGATTAATCTCTCTTGATGCTTTGTGTTTGTCTATGCAAAATTTTTTGTAAATATCTTTTGTTCTCTTTTTTCGTACTTTGTCTTACTATTATTCATTATAAGCAAATATGAAGAAAAAATGTATTTTTTTATGCATATATAAACTGGCCTTGTACGATTCTGCACTAAAACTGATTTTGGTGAAACTGGTAGTTTTAGTTTTCTATAGGATCCTAATAGCATGATGTCTTAATATATAAATAACATTCTTTATTATTAATCTTGATGTTGTTTGTTTACATTGCTACCTCCTTCACTCCACGACACAACATCATCTACAACTTGTACACTGACGCCCTTATTACATGGTACTGTGGGACAAAAGGGTGACTCCAATGCAGCGAGGATAGAGGTGGCAAACCAGCGTGCTCACCAGCTTCTCAAGTAGACACTTAACACAAAGACACCAATATTTTACTTTAGTTTCGTGTCCAGATTTATCCAGTCGGATTAAATGCCATTTTATTTCCATATTTAGCAAACATTGAGATGGATATTAGGTTGTCGTCAGCTTGAACGAAGATATATGAGTTTTTAACCAAATGAATGTGTCTTGAGAAAATTTGGTCTATATTTTTTCATTCAAGCTGACATCTACCACCATTGTTTAAGCTTTACTAAATGGAAATTAATATATTTAATAACCTTTTTTTATTTCAAAAATATGTAATTTTTTTCTAAAATTATACTGTTAGATACTACCTGTTCAGATAATACATATATAAAACGGATTGTAAAGCATTACTAAACTAACCAAAAAATACTGTATTCTACTGGATGACTGAGTAGTGGTAGCAAGGTATTACATTTCAGGAACTAATTAGTGCTAGGAGTCTCGAAACAGTAACTATGAAATTGGCACAGGGAAATGGCTGAGAGTTAATATTTAAAAAATGTAAATGTCATTTTTTAAAACGACGTTTCTTATTCATTTAATATTGTTATGTAATATTTCCAACAGTTTCTCTTGTTTAATATATTTAACAGGTTTCTTTCCCGTTATACGATTGTTAGTTCCTAAATTGCTACCGTGCCACCAACAGTGAATTGTCCTATCACACTATCGCACTGATTTAATGCAACTGGATAACTTTAGCTTGTTCCCATCTTTGGTTACAAAGGACCTTGATTTAACATTTGCTGCTGGCTAACAAAGCATTACTCTATTTATGACAATAATCTTTAAAGTTTCCAAAACCCTACCATCCCACAACAACTGGCTTGTAAATGAACCATAATTTGACCATGGGAACGAGCTACACCTATTTTGTTTTAAATGACTTTTGGCGCCCTGGTTTACATGTTTGTTGGTTAGGGCGAAAGCAACGAAACACGAATTGCGGTGGCAAACCAGCGTGCTAACAAACTCCTCAAGTCCTAAGGCGATAGGGGATAACAAGTCGTCTTTTATATTCTTCTGTCACTTCTTGATGTTTGTGGCTTAGCGTTATCTAGTTTACTAGTTGAAGTATTAATAAACTTATGTAATAGTTTAAAAAAAATTCGCCTGTTCAGTATATTTTGTAAATAGTAGTTGATGAAGTCTGCTGCACATATCACAATTAATGACATTATTTTTTGCTGTCTCAGATCAAGTGGTCCAACGTTGGTGGGTTATTTTCTAGCGGATTATTGGGTAGGATTTTTAATCTCGTAATTTAAGATAAAAGGCAAAGCAGAACTCATAGTTAAGCAGCATTCATGTTAATTCAAGGCAGTTTTTTTAACGGCAGTATTTTTTTTATTTAAAATTGAAAGTCAGCACCTGCAAAACAATTTTTGATGTTATGAGATTACTTAAACTTTTCATTGCATCACCAATAGGAAAAAGATGTCAAGGATATTTTCATTTGTTTATTATGTTGAATGTGAATAACTTTTTTTTAACACAGGTAAATAAAAGGGAATTGAGTATAGGATATTGAGTGTATTATCTTCAATCTCAGAAGAGACGCAAAAATTGTCGCATTGATTTTAGTTGTTCTTCATATTTTTATTTTACACTATTGATATGTAACCTCATGAGCCTGTATTCCGATTAAAAGAAAAACATGCACCTGAATTCTGATAAGATCCTATTGTTTAGATAAGCAGATAAGATTTTTTCAAGGAAATTATGGTTTATTCTCTTATATTTTTCACTGTTACGACATAACGATGAACTTTCAATTAATATATTTTGTGTTTAGTCAGTTTTCATTATTGAAGGAATTACCCTTAACTAAAACATATATTATTAGTATATTAAATTTACATTTTGCGGTTAACATGTGGAGAAGCACAGTTCATGCACACATTAGGGTTTATTTATTTGGGCAATTTAGTTTCTGTTCACTTTAGTGCGTCTTTTGGACCGTGTTCCCGTCTCTAGCCATTATTGATGATTAATGAATGCCTTTGCATTTTTATAAGCTTTAAATTTGTTATACATAATTTAACTGTTACAAAATTTGGATTGTTATGAGTGCATTGTAAATAAGGTGTATTTCACCCAAGGTTGTATATAATTAATGTTTTACATACGAGGATTCTAAGAGGTTGATTTGGAATATGTATATGTTCATTTTTAAGACATAATTATGAGATTGATTTTCTCCTGGAATATTTGCTAATTATCAATCTCATATCGAATGGTTTTGATATGTTGGTTTTAATTTCCATGTGATTATTAACAACTGTCTATATTTAATAAATTATATAATAATTTTAGCTTTTTATGTTGTATTTAAAAAATTCTTCCATTAATATTTGCAAACTTTGCTTTAAATTCTAGAGACACATATATAATTCTTAAGACTTATCCCGCCGCATATAAAAATATTATTATACTAATCATTTTTGCAATTATATTTTGGATATGCCTATTAAAAAATTTAGTATTAAGAGATTGAGTGATATTTAAATACTTAAGGTTTGGAGGCTGTTGTATCTCAAAATACAAGGAAGTATTTTGATTTTTTTATTGTAATTGTAGTTTGAACCAGCTTTTAAAAAATAGGTACTATATGATACATAGGCCACCACAGTGGTTTTTATTTACAATATATTATAATTTATACAACATATTCTATTGTGTAGCTATTTCAGATCATTAAATAAAATATTATTGAGAAAGTGTATTATTAAAATCTCCTATGTTTTTTTATTATTTTTTGCCTACATTTAATTTTTAAATGCGAATTTCAACTCTTTTTCGCAGTGTTTCAATAATTCTTCGCCAGATTTAGTAAAGGAAGGATCAAACATTTTACCTTCTGGATTTTCTTTAAATAGAAACTCGGCTAAATAATCTATGGGATCAGTGGGTTTAATCTTGACTACTTCGGTAAGTCCTAAAAATAATTTTAAAAGTTGCTGTCTTGGATTTCACAAAGTATGAAGATACAATCCAGAAAAATACATACAATGTGAAATGTGAAGCTTCCAAATAAAAACCGATTATGTCAGAAAGAGCTCACCTTTTGCTAATGTTGGAAGTATATATTTCATCAAATAAAATCGGATAGGCTCACTTTCTGCAGTTACTATCTTATCCTCTTCTATCTTCAGTTTTTCTAAAGTTTCGGCCCATTTTTCCATTTTTTCTTCATATTCTTTTTTCATTTTTTCCTCGTTAATCTAAATAGTGAATGAATGAAAATGGGACATAAATAGAAAAATGTGCTCATTATTAGAGTGTGTAAAAAAGATTTTTTTTGTGGATCTGATATACAAAAACTAGTTGCTAGTTACTTTTCTAGAAGGTACTTATCACGTATTAGCTCTTAATATTAATGGGAGGATTATCGTCATTACATTTTTGTATTTTCGGTTTAGTCATATTTAAATAATAATATCTTATCACCAATAGATCATTAAGCCAATTTTATTAATAATTTTTATAGGAAATCAACCTTATACAAAAATAGTCTCATTTTCGGTAAATCAAACCATTTCAAAGATATTCGAGTTCAAAATTGAAGAATTTAAAGAAAAATAACTTTTTGTTCTAAATTTTGTTATTGGCTGAAAAATAGTTATCGCGAAATGTTGAATTTTTATAGGAAATTTAATGCTGTACAAAAAAGGTCTCTTGTAGTTTATCGATTACTCGGATCATGATGAAGATATTCGCAATTGGAATCCCAATGGGTACTTATATTCATCGTTTTTAATAAATATTTACAATTTATTTATTGAATTAGTAGATTTTGAGATTAGTTATTATCTATTTCAGAAAAAAAGTTCATTTAATAGAAAAGGAATTCTTTTCCATAATATGAAATGTTATACCTTAATAATACTTTAGTTATACAAATCGAAACGTCAGCAAGTTCGATTCAGCAAAAACCGACGCAGGAGGAATTTAGAAGTTTTGTAAAAAGTACTTATTATACTTCCCTGTTTCTGAAGTAAATATGCTTGCTCTTCTAATTTGTCCTGTTCTAATTCCAACTTTCTTAATTCTTGTTCTTCTTCTAAAGACAATCCAAAACCAGGGATGGGCGGACCAAAAATTTTGTAAAGGTAATTTACAATACTTTCAATATCACTTGTTTCATCACAGACGCCCATTATTATTGGATGAATCCCAATATCGTTAAAGAAATTCAATACGGTATTTTCGGGATCATTATTTATCCTAAACTCGTTCAGCTTACGAATCATGTGCTGCTCGTCGTATTTACCCTAAAAATCTACTCTACTACTAAGATTCCTTCCGCGTGGTTTTTACCTTTATTTGATTTTCCGGTAAGTTCATCGCTCGTTCGAATAAAAACTCGTCCGTAGCTTGAAGACTTATTACAAAATCCGGCAATATATTCACACTTGCGTTTCCTATCACGGTACCTATTTTAACAATGTTCCTATCATCTTCTCCAAATATTTCCATTACACCTTCATCTAATAACCGCCTTTCAGATTCTGCGATTTGTCCAAATATTTCTCTTGCCTAAGGTAATTAAAATGCATACAGGAGTGATTCACGTTTTCACTGTTAAACATTATGGGGAATGATGAAAGCCCTTTCCGAAATCAATGGTGTATCAAATGTGTATATTGAAGGAAGAAAGTATTTTTAACTTTTCTAAAAATTATATTTGCGGTATTACGATGGTTGTATACCCACTTTGGGAAAGGTTCCCTAGTTACCAATTTACTGTGCAGGAAAACTATAATTAAGAAAAATGAAAATTTGGTGTGATACAAAAGTCGGTGTGGGACATATTCGTTTTATTGCAAAAAATCAAGAAATAAATCAATTTTTTTTCGCTGTTTTTGCTAAAAGTTATTAGATCGATGGAACATTCTGGTAAGGGAAACTGGCCTAAAATGGCATAGTTGACTAAAATGGTACTTTGAGACGCATGAGACAAGAATTTTCAACGCAGTAGAATAAATTTCAGAACTAGTCCATCTTGCAAAGTGGAGTAATAAAATACATACTAATTAGTGTGGATGAGAACAAGGTTATTTTCTCTTGAAGTGCATAAAAGACCGATAATAATAAGTTTTTGTTTGCATCGGATTACAGTTCTTTACAGCAGATACATTTTAAATATAATAATCCGACAGTCTTAAACTGTCCATTGTAATAGTTAACTTAGATTTGTTTCAACAACTGCGTTGGTAATAGAAAATAGCATTTTAGACACATATGTAATTAAAGTATCCTATACAGGGTTATTCACCCGAAGCGGTATGCATATTGTGGCCAAAATACGAGGTTTTCAAAAAGTTGAATTTTTGAAATGTAGAAAATCAGCCCTGTTATGGTAACTTTTTAAAATTACTTTCATACTATACAGGTCGTCTAAATAGCGTTAAAAGTATAAAGGTTGTATTTTTTTAAATGTAAGCCCCTGTATATTATAGCATTTTTGAATTCTACGATTTAAATGTAAGTACGTTTATGATACCTAATTATTTTAATGGTTTTTTTTAATAATATGAGTTTTCTCAAAATGTAATGTAATTTTAATTTCTTAAATACATAAGTTAGAGTAGACGGTAATAATAGACTACATTTTATATTCCAACTATATAAAAAGAAACTTCCTATCTGCTTAAGCCGCTAATCTAATAACAACTCTAAGTGGCTGTAATTTTATTAATTCTAATTAAATATCGACTGGTGTTAAAGTGTTCTATATAGCTAACTTTTTGTGTTTGTAAATAAAAGTTTTTTTGCAGCTAGTTGTCAATGGTATTTAGCACTTTTCCACATCAGTTTCATTTCGCACGGATCCGAGCCACTTTGGACATTTCCGGGATTTTACCGTACGGGTTTGGGAGCAATCGGATGTTTTTTTTGGAAGATATTTAATACGCTTTGAATTTTGACGTTTGTCAATTCTGACAGTCATGTCAGTGAATTTATTCTTGTTAATTTGCGAAAATGTACCCAAAAACTAACGGTCGTAAAAAAAGTATAGTAAGCAACACGTTCGGTAACTTAAGTCACTCGTTTATTAAACACTCGCTCCGCTTGTGTCAAATAAACTCGTGAGTCAAATGCCGTTTACAGCATTTGTTGCATAATATACTCTAGACTGTCAGCTTTCATTTTACTATTACTTTTTATAGTTATTGAAATTCGAGTATTGTTGTTGGGTTGCTTAATCCTAATGAAGATTTACTCAACAGAAAAGCATAGTAATACGCTTTAAATGCTTGAAAATGTAATCAAACTGCAGTTGCTTGTTCAGTTTCATGTTATCTTTATAGTTAGTTGCTGTTATAGCCTGGATAAAAAATTGCTTTTAGAGTTTTATAATTTTTTTAAAACAGCAAAATCAGATAAAATTAACTATCTCAATTCTTTATCTGTCGATTCTAAACACAATATATTACTACTGGATGCAATAAAACATTTATTTAGAAAAAACCAAAAACCAGAAATTCGCGTACTCTGCGAAACCGGGAAGAGTTAGCTATAGGACACCTTAAACCATTCGATAAGTAATAAAAAGTTACATTCCCTGGTAAGTTAAAAAATATGTCATTCCATTGAAATTAATTTATAATAATTATAGCCACTTAAATTTCTTATTAAATTAGAATATATTTTTGGGCCACCCTGTATAAAAGCCACATTAACCACATTAAAAGCTTTAATGTGGTTGAAGTTAGATTTGGATTTAGATTCGGATTTGCGAATATTACAGTTGGCCAGTTCATCATTTACCTTAATTAAAAAATGTATTCCTGTGGAAATGCCGGGAAAGTAAGCACGGAAATATTGTAAGGGAACAACCAAAAACCATATCCAATGTTGCTATACACAAAATAACCCCCTTTTCCCTTGGTATTACCCCAAAAAATAAATTAATTTAATTACTATTTTGCAATCTCGAAAAAATCTAACGTTGTCCCAGACATTCAACCAGACAATTGAAGTCATTTACGAGAGCTTCAAAATGATGTATTACCAACCACCTTGCAAAACCACCCCCAGTAATGAAATACCCAAGAATTCTTTGTTTTTATTTCGAAATCTCAAAGAAATCTGACGTTATCCCAGAGATTCAATTAGACAATTATCTTCCCGACCTTTTCAAGGTCGTTGAGTAGTACTTCATTTTGAAGCTCTCCTAAGTGGTTCTTCAATGGTCAAATTCAATATCTGGGACAGGTTTCTTTGAGATTGCGAAATAAATAAAACGAATTTTTGGTTATTTCATTATTGGGGATTGGGGGTAGTTTTATATTTTCCCGACCGTTTCAAGGTGGTTGAGTAGTACTTCATTCCCAAGCTCTCAGAAGTAACTCCTGAATGGTCATTTTGAACACTTGGGACCTCAGATCTTTTTGAGATTGCGAAATAGTAATAGTAAATAGCGAACGGAAAAGGGATTATTTTATGTATAGCAGCATTGAATATGGTTTTTGGGAGTTCCCTAACAATATGTCCGTGCTTACTTTCCCGGCATTTCCACAGGCATGCGTTTTTTTTTTATTAAGGTAGTTAACGAATTGAGCTACTGTAATATTCGCAAATCCGAATCCAAATCCAAATCTTACTTCAGGCTTCAAGCTTTAGATATCATAAACGTTATTGGAACGTTCGCTTATTTTATTGGTAGAATCCAAAAATGCTATAATGTCTGTTTTAAATACAACATTGTACTTTACACACTATTAGATAAACAATATCCACTAAATTCAAAGATTTTTCATTCACAATTTACAATTGATTATCAATACGGAAATCTGGTACTTACAATATTTATGAACAAAAAGCATTGTATTTTCATGACTTTAATGTCAATATAACAAGGCATCTTTATTAAAAACTTTCCCTTTACTGATTCGATCATCCTGTTTCATTTCATTTCATTTCACTTTTTTTTTCCTTTTTACTCTAGATATACATAAGACTACAGTTAATGTTCCCATGAAAGATATATTCGCACCAGCAGTTCTCTTATAAAAAATAAAAAATATGAATGACCTGTTGATAAGTTTTTGGAAATGCATCCAAAACATAACCATGACTTTGGCAACGACCTTTTGCAAGGAATTCGCTCATTAGTCTCACAACATAATCATCAGGTAACATCTCATTGTCACTCATATTCATGATACTGTTAATATCGCGAATTTTTTCTTCCCATTGCTCAATATCTGCTTGGTTTCCTCCCCATTCCTCATCCATATCATCATCCTCTTCATCTGAGTCTATAATCTCTTTCGACTTACTAATTTCGTTAACTAAACGAGCTCGGCTTTTCGCATAGGCAATATGTTTCCACTGATAAAGGTTTAGTTTGTACTTGTAGAACGCAAATAAAAATTTCTTACCAATTCATTGAGCGTTTCCTCAATCATACTTTTTACCGAGACATAATGTGCACCGTATCGGGCAGATATTCTTTTTGCAATTACAGTCTTTCCAGACAGGGGTGGGCCATGGATGATGGCCTTTAACGGTTTCAATTCTCTTTCAAATCCTGGCATTCGCCTTTTAGGACTGTCGACAAAAATGCTCATTTCAATGTAATATAAGTATAATTTGCAATCATGACATTGACAGTAATATTTTGGTGCCTAGAAACAAAAAAATTATCAACCATGAACTAGTTGTTTTGCTCATGGTTTTTGCCTTCTGCTTAATATTTATTGGACGATATCCTTAACTGCTTCCAATTCATAATTTTTACACATAAATAAAGGTGGTCCATGAATTGCCATGGACTCAGAGTTCAATTTAGTTTGATTTATAGACCTGCAACTCCACACGCTAATAAGGAAATCACTGATTTTTTAGTAAAAATGTCAATTATTAAATTACTTTAAATAAAACAAATTTGCAAATTATTGTTTTAAATAGGAACTGTCATAAATATTTTATATTTTATATTAATAAAATAGCTCACAAATGAAAGAAGTCATAATTTTGAAATTTTTATTAAACAATTATCAATATATGCCTATTTGTTAATTCGTTGGACTTTCTTGCCTTTTGCCTTCCTTTTCTTGGCTTTCTTAGAGCATCTAATCTTACGAGGATGGAGCCACACAGGATATGCACCATTCTTGTTGCGAAGGGTTCTAGTGTTAAACTCGTTTTTAATTTCATCTATATCCATATGCTCCTTGGAGGGTTCCGGCAAGTGGGTCTCATTGTCAACATCTGTGTTGGAAACATCTTTCAAGTTTGTAACAGCCATAGCTTCATTTTCATTCTGATATTCGTTTCCCAAAGTTTTTTTTAATATCTCAAGTTCTTTCTGTCCATAACGGATCCTTTTAATAGCACGGCACTTTCTTTTCCATTTGCTTCTAATGCTTTTTGCCATCGTAAATCGTCTAACTCCTGGCAAATAATGAAATTAACCAAAACCTATTTCTTCGTTTTTACGTCTCTTGGTCATACCAAAAACCTTCTTCTTTACTTTTTGTAAGCGACTATACTAAGACCATTCGGCTAACTAATGACTTTTTTTCTTTTTTTTTGTTGATCTATTTGCTTGTATTGCGAGGGTCATATTATTTACTAAAAAATAAAACATTTTCTCTCGAAATGATTATTTCCTTAATTTGTAATCGTATCCTTATTTCTTAAAATGTAATCTTAAGTAGTTGTTGTTTTAGCGACTTTAAAACATGCAAATGCGCATGCGTAAATATTTCAAATTTTAGATAATTTTGATTGTTATAGGTTGATAAATGATATATGATAAATGCAATACAAGTTTTGTGGAAACTCGAAGTTTAAAGGTAAATAACTGGGAAATACTTATACAATTTAAAGCTTTTTAAGAGAGAGGAATTTGCTACGCTTTTTAAAATTATTTTATTATGTAAATCCAGATACGGGTATATTATAGAATTCACACAGATGATACCTGGCTACCTGTTAACTTGTATGCGTAATTATTACAACTTTTTATTCGCGACCTTGAACGAAAGTCCTTCAGTTTTATAGGACGACTATCGATACTGTGTTAATAGAATCGATTTGGGAATAATCGATACTTAGAAGCAAGTCTAAAAAATAAAACGTAATAGTAATCATGTTTTGTTGATACGCCTTTGCTACGTGTGAGTTGTGGTTTGTGTAATCTTTATCTTTCAGGAATTCAAGTTAATGAAATTTGCCATATTGTTTCCGTTCCACCTCTAAAGTTTATGTTTTACAATGTCTAGTCCGAGAACTGAAAGTTTGCTGAAAGCAGGGCACCCCCCTGCAGGTAACTGTTGAATACCAAAACTGCTAGCGTATTTGAATTGGAAATTTTATAGTGAAAGCTGGCGGGATGCGTATAACGCAACATAAAACGAGGCGAGATTCTGGAGGGCTTGCGGAGGATACCACTGGAATAACAGTATCTGGAAGTCCTCCGAAAACCACTACTGTATCTGGAGCTGTGGTGAGGGGAAATGCAGATTTTCCTGCTGAGGCTGTACAAAGTTTCCATAAAGAAAAACCTCCAGCTGTTCATTCCAATAAACCTGCTATTCATATTCAGCAGCCAAGAAAATAGTTCAAGTTCAATATTTTCTACTTGATATATATTCTAATTTGATAAACATTTTATTAATAACAATGGGTGATGGTGGAATAAAAATGTTTGTTTTTAAATTGTTTAATAAATGTTTTTTACTATATATCTCTTTTTCACAATGCTTTGTTCCAGGAATTTTGCTTCGGAGTTCTTATGTCATCTTTACTTAATGATTTTAAGTGTGCTGCATCCACAATGTTCCTTAAATTCAAAATTACTTATTATATTGGTTGAATTAGGTAAAACTATGACAAAGTGAAAAATTTGAAAAATTAATTCTTCTGCAGTATATTAATGTAGCATTTTTAGGAGGGCAGTCATTTACTAAAACAAATATTTTAAGTGTTCTCACCGAAATTCGTCGTATGTTTTTGAGCTAACTACAGCCCTGATTTTGGCATCATTTCTCAACCAATACTGCTTATCTGAATCCAAATTGGATTTTAATTCCTTAAATAAATTATTTAACTCATCTTTTGGATAGGACATGGCGGTATATTTTCTGTCACTTTGTTAAATCAATGTTGGGGTTGTCATGGTTCAGTCCCTTCAATAACAAAGAAAAGCAGCAAGTTTTAGTCAAACATATTTTAATAAGTTTATGAACTTATGAATTAATTAATTGATTAACACAATTATTTCAAATTTATTCCAAATACACAAAAATTTTGGTGATCAAATACACTTTTCATATAAAACATTCTACACTGAACATCATCTAATTGTCACTCCTAACTGATTCCTAATATTTTTTTCAATTTCTTTATGCACAATGTTCACTTCTTTCTGGGTTAAAGTTTTCTCCATATGTCTATAGATGATGCGATAGCAGTGACTAACTTTTTTTGATTTCGGGTGAACAAATTTATCTACTAATTTGACTTGCTCAATTAAATCACCTCCCACATTTCGTACCAAATCATAAAAATCATTGGAGGAAAATTCTTTGGATTCTGGTAACCAAAAGCTGATATCATTTTTACATTGGGGAAATTGACTTACTGCCTTATAAGTTATGTTGCTGTTAATATTATCCAAATCAAACTGATTCAAAAAGCCGCTGTCTTTAGACCAAAATAATCTAATATCGGGTATTTTGTAAAGACACATGGAAATACGTTCTAAACCTAGACCAAAGGCCCAGCCAATTTTATCAGTTACCCCAGCACTTGTAAGGATTGATTGTTTCATAATTCCACAACCTAGAGTCTCTAACCATTGACCATTATGCAATATCTCTAGCTCCCATGATGGTTGTGTAAAAGGGAAATGAGTATCTACCCACTGAAACTCTATTTTTTCTCCAAATAAAGACTTTGCTAGTCCTTCCAGAGTACTTTTTAATTCTTCTTCCATTATTTTCACAGCTTCTATTGTGTGGCAAGGCTGTTTCTCTTGTCCACGAATGCTTTCTGCATCATCAGATGCTTCAAAAATTTGGAAATGATCATTGTCTGGAAAAAAATCTTTACTGTCTTTTAATCTTACTGCATCAATTTGATGGAATACAGGATAGTGGGTTTTATCTATTTCATCCCTCCTATACACATCTCCGATAATCAAGAAATTATTTAAACCAGTTTTTAAAATATCCATTTGATGGGCTGTCATATGGGCTCTTAAAAGATAATTTCGGTTGATGTAATAACAATCACTTTTATTACGGGAGGGGTGATTTGTTGGAACTAACAATGAGTCAAAATTTTGATCAACTGTAACTATTGGAGGCAGCTGATCATATACTGAAAAGACAGGGTTATTCCTAATCACAAATGTTTTATTAAAGTAATTTACTATCCTCTGTCGTACTATACTCAAAGGGTGATTGTTTTTTAAATGAAGATTTTTGTTCATATGGTACATCACTCTGTCTGTAATATTTGTGTAGTCATCTTTTTTGAACCTGTTGAAAATATTATGTTGAACACCTAGTTCTGCACAATAATTTCTTAGACTGGATTTTGGCAATTTCTTTAAATAATGAATTGGTAACTTTAACATAATATTAGCTGTGATTTTTCATTTAACTTTTAAAAACGTTTATAGTTTCAAACATTGTAGCATAACCTTCATTCAATCGTTCTTCTTCTTTTTTATGTTACTGGGAAAATTAGTAAGGATCATTCGTCCTCTTTACTAACTAATCAAATGACCTTTCATGCAAAAATCTACCAACCTGCTGTGTTCGATTTGACAATTTCGTGCATTTCATTTTGAACTAGTTTCAAAAAATTTCAACTAACGAAAACCTTTTTTTGAAATGACTCTCTTTAATTTGAAATTCAAATAATATCTTCTATTTTTAGAATTGCGCACTTAGGGGTACTCACGACATTCGTCAAAACTGAAGTTCAAAGTTTCTTTAAAAAATGAAAGAAAATATCTTTTTACTATTTTGCATTAGTATTCTAGCAGTTTAAAACTTACCAATTTGTATTGCTTGGACGTGACAGGTCACATCATATATGCAGATGACAGTTCTGTGGTTATAACCAACAAAGATGTTTTTATATTTTGCGCCATATGCTTAAACTAGAGAACTTTATAAAACATGGTTCTTTTAGAAAATGAAGCAGTAAGTGTAGGGGGTCAGTTCGTTAAAAAATTTAAAATAATTTGATTTTTGTAGTTTCTATCGGAACTTTCAAAATTATTTCAAAAAGCTAGATCAAATGGATCTGTGACAATGACATTTAAGCGTTGTAAGCATCATTTATATTTAGCTTTTTCCACGATTAATATATTTATGTCTTTAGATGACGGTAGAAATCGTCCACAACCAAGATGTGGCAATCCTCCACTGCCAGAACCAATGGAACATCTTTGTTTGCTCCGTGCTAAATTTAGGTCCAAGAAAATTGCAACTGTAATTCATCAAAAGGATATTAATAAGTTTCAAGTAGCATACAGTAGTTTACTCAAAGGCAATCTCGATGGTTTAAAGAAATTGAAAAAACCAAAAACAAAAACCAAAATGGAATAAAATAGTTTTTTAGTGCTCATAACTGATCATTTTGATACAAACAATTTTATTATGAACTTTTTCAACCGGTAATATGTTGTTGATAATGTTTATCAGCACTATTAATTATTATTCTATCATGTTAATTTAGTTATACTTGATTTAGCACATGAAAATTTCAAAAGTTATTTTTGCATTATTTGATAAAATGCCAATAAGCCTCTAAGCTCTAATTAACATTTTTTTCACTATCTTTCAGGGACTTGGCTGACTGTTCTACCCTTTATCAGCATTAGTTTATCATAATATATTTTGTAAAAATATTTTTATTAGTTTTATTTATCTATAAATACAAAAAAGTGTAAAGTTTCCCTGATACACATTTAATGACATGAAATTAGAAAACAGTTGTCTGATACGATTCGAAGTAAATAATTTTTCATTGTCAACCCCAACCAGTAATAATAATTTTTAGAAATGCATGCATAAACATCACTTGGGTCAGTCTTTTGATGTTCCTGTAAATGTGTTTGCTGGCGCAGGCACCCCCCAAGAGGGTGGGAGACCAAGCAAATTTATTTTATTTTGGTACATGTACCCCGAAAAATCTTGTTTATATAATATGATAAATATGTTATAGTTTAGAAAGAGTGATAAAGTTCGCCAATGATATTTTTGCAACCTTTTATGGTTTTGACTTCGGAATGAGGTTAAGATACGCCTGTTGTAAAGCAGAAGGGACCCTTCTTTTCAGCACATGTACCACAAGGCAGCCCCGTATTTAAGATGTTAGCCGACAAAAACTGTGCCATGCGGACCGTTGTATTTTAAGAATAGGGAAATTTTCTTTGATTAAACTGTTATATTAATTCATATTAGTGTGCTTTTTATAAATCTTCCTAAAACAGCTTAAAGTGATTTCCAATTTAAGGGTTTAAAATAATAACTCTAAAATATTCGTCTAGGGGACGAGTCCAGTAACGATGGTAATTATTTTTATGTAGAATAACTTTTTTTTATAAATATTCCAACATTGTTTTATAGCTGAATTTACTCCTTTATTTATATTTATATTAAACATTTTAAAGTAAGAATGGATTTTTCATTACATGGACTAATAATAATAATCTAGGAATCTCACCGATGAAACCCTATGTAAATCCATCAGCTTTCAGCATTTGTAGGCACGAAGTACCGAAGTACGGTTCTAGAACGCCATTGTGAAATTGCGAATATATTTATTGGCGGCTACAAAGAGAAACGGTATTTGAGTATCCCGATTTTTTTTTAAATCACTGTATCTATAATAAATGAGTCTCAATTTAAAAGACAACAGCGCGTTAAATAAACATGTATATGGACTCGCATTAAGTAGCTGACTATTGTGCTTTTAATACTATATATTTTGTAATTGATTACTGATTAACGGTAGCCAAGTTCTAATGCCGCCTGGACGTTAAATAATGGGTTGTTTGTTTCGATGCCCATTCAACACTCGTTCACAATATTGAATCCATTAAAACGTGTCTCCGAATAATAAAAGTTTTTGATAAAGTAAAGACACCCTGCAGATCTGCATGACTTACACAGATATAGCATCAGATCACGTTGGCCATTTTACAATTCAATAAGACCTCCGGCGGAACAAAAAAAAACTAATTCTTAACATTAGAAACGGTTGTCTTGTTTTCATATGAGTTTCATGATTGCGTTTTCAAGTTTACCGAATTCCAACCCAAACACAATAAAATGAGCTGTGTACGGATGTCGCTCAAGAAACATTTTGATGTAAAAAAATTATTCTTTAAAACTACCTACGCATACTTTGGAAGAAATGCAGCAACATAAAAAAACACACTTTACGGAAATTGTTAATAGAATTACAAATAATTCTTTATTGTCGTTTATTCAGGTAGAATGAACTGACTAATGGAGCAAAGGTAAAACTGTAACGTCACCGTCGGAGAATAAATTCGCGAATACTCCTAGGTGATCATTAACAATCCCGCTACTAATTCCAAAATTTAATTTGTAGAAATATATACCTATTAAGACAAAAATTACATAAAAAATATGAGATAATTATGCGTAATAATTTTATTGTACTAGGTAGGATGCAAACGTCTTAAATTGCAAAACATTTGATCATTAGCTTAAAATATTCGCGACAACGCAAAACAATCCTCGAATTTCTAGTGTGAAGATATCAGAGGAACATTAATCAGAATACAAACATCAAACTATCCACTAAACTATTTCAACAAATGGGGAGTCATCAAACAATGGGCAAACGATCTTCCAGGGGCGGCGCATTTCACCGGCCGTTATCAAGCAGTCATTGGCGCAGTTTAAGAGACTCGAACCCTTGAAGCAGCTGTCGCACTTTAGAATGCACTGGTCGATGGTGTCCAATAATGGAGCTTGATGTGACAAGTTAGCGGCCATCACCAAAACGATGATGGTCAATTCGGCGGTGATCAATCTATAAACTGCGTTAAGGTATTAGTTTATTTGTTTACTTACTGTAACAAATGAACACCCTCAACACCATCTATCCGCCCATAAACAAATTAGTCATCGACCAGAGCTCCTCATTGAAGTCGATACTTATGGTCCTGCTAGGAGTTAGCCACAGGGTACCAAATTAAAGTAACAAGGGGGTGCTGGTCGAAAACAAAAAGATGGCCGTTGGGCGAGTGTTTATACGCGTGAAATGTTATTTTACGTTTTTTGATATTGGTACCCACTTCTTTTGAATAGTAAATTGTTAAAGTTCGGTTTCGTCTTTAATTACACTCCTGGATTTAACAGTTGCTATATAACTCATTAAGCTAGATGTATTATTCGAATTAGAACATTGCGATTTTCCCAGTTTTAACGTTAAAAATTTAAAAATTATCAGCCAAAACTATCTAGTTGCCTTTAAGTACGGATGCTATACAAAATTGAAAAATTCTGCATTATAAAATTGCTGCTAATGATTAGAAGGCATGTGTCAATTTTTTTAACCCCGCGAAGCTCAAAAGTTAAGAACTTAGGATGTAGTTTTATTTGGAGTGGAAATTACATTACTTTCAGACTCTTAACGATTCTCATCTTGTCTTAAAACTGATATAGAAAATATTAAATGGCATACACATAAAGTAGAATAAAATTTATGTATTCTAAAGCCGGAATGAGGTGTTTTATTTTCTAAACTTGTCTTTTTCAATGTTAAAAGTTGACAAAGTGCTTTTTTTTATCAATGTAACGTAATTCATTAAAAATAATTACTTTTTTTACTCCATTCTGCAAAATACCTAATTATACACCGATCTAGTGTACAGAAAGTGTCACTTTACCACGGATCCGAGCCACTTCGGATATTTCCGGGATTTTGCTTCACGGCTTGAACTTTGATGTTTGTCAACTCTGACGGTCATGTCAGTAAATGTATTCGTGTTGTTTTGCAAAAATGTACCCAAAAATGAACGGTAGTAGAAAAAGTATAGCATGCAACACGTTTTTTAAACGAGTTGTGACAGATTTTGATCCTTAGGATCAATTTATGAAAGTTTTTACCTTTCCCTTTACTTGTGAAAATTGATATTTTTAATTAAAGGGTGTTATAATTTTTCTAAAAGCAAGAATGTTATTAGAAATAATGGCATTTGACTCACGAGTTAATTATAAAAAATAGGACAAAGATGAATTTTTTCCAGCTCAACTATTTTTTCATGAAAAAATTTGAAGGAATCTTTCTATAATGATATTTGAGAAGAACGAGTTGAGAAGCAGACAGAAATAAAAGAACAAATTGCAATATTAATAATAAAAACGAATAAATAAAAATAAATATCAAGATAAAAGAAATGGCTCGTACTCACCCATTCTCGTAATTTTTGTTAGGAGATAGATTGCCGCGTATTGTCGGAGCACCTGACTGAATTCTCGTCCTAAATCACTGATATGTGATATCAGACGAAGTCAACGATTCTTTTATATGTAATGAATTGCCACCCCCACACTCAACCGAATAAAAGATAATAAATAACACAATAAAATTGCTTTTATGCCCGTACTATGTTTCATTAATTAATATCAGGGGGACGGTTTTTCCTGATTGTTCGGGATGTCAAATAATAGCGTATAAGCTAGCCTACGAATAATCTGAACAATTTTTTTGTATAGAGTTAGCTAGCAACTCATGTTAAAATAGGTAAAACATCACAAAATGTCTTCCTGCCTGTTCTTAGACAAATATTTCTAGTTATCCCTTGATTACTCACTTGGGTAACCTACCACGACTTAGCTTAGGTTGTATCATATAATAATTATCAGATAATGTGGGAGCCGTGAATAATCCAAAATTGATACAACTCAGGCGGCTATAACATTGTCCTACAGAATAGAAGGGATCTTCCATGTATTAAGTGTTGTTATATGCATGTTTGTTTCTGTCGATTATTACAAATTTAGTTTTATTTATATTAACACTAGTGTTAATATTTCATATAAATTCTTCACTTGTCAAGCTTAGTGGATTACATATCTTATCAAGTTCTCCTACATTGTTGGCAACCAATAAAGTATCTGTATATCTGATACTGATACTCACACACCATTTAAACAATTTGGTTAACTCATATAGAGTTAAGGAATTTGACGTTAAGGTTTTGGTTTTCTTTTGCATAAGGGCCAATGCCAAAAAGTTCTTGTTTAGATGCATTTATTAAAAAATTTGAAGAATCTAGTTTTAACAGGCATATTCTCAATATTTTACAAACACTGAACCGATTTTAGTACAAACTATAATAAGTTCATTCTTCCCTAACTTAACATAAACATCTATTTTTGTAATACAATTTTTCTTACTGCAGGTTGCATAGTGTATGGGTCATTTGATAGAGAAAGTTATTAATCATTATTCATAATCCCACAATGATACCAGCGAATTAGTTAAACGTTTGGTGTTCAATATTTTGATATTCACCATTAAAGTGCTGATTTTTTTTGCCTGGATTGATAAGCTCTTCCTTAAGACGATGGTTGGGTTTATTTTTACTGTTCTGTCGAGTTTATGGCCTCCTCACTGATTAAAATGGACTGTATATTGTTCACACTTATTTATTTTACTTTTTAATTACAAAAGAAACAGAGCACAAAAATAATACGTTCTTCGACTTGGACACGTCTCTCGTCTCGTCTGCCCCGCACAGCTAAGATCAATCGGTAGCGCTCCGTAGAAATAGATGTGGAACGGTGACCTAACGACTTGGCTTTAAATCTATTTAGTAACTTAAGAAAGTAATGCCCAACATGGCGCAAATATCTTAAACATACCGCCGCCCACCTTGAAAACTCGCGATTTTCAACAAAAAAAAAACGAAGTATTACATTGTAATTGTTGCCTACGATCGCCATAAACAACAAAGGAGCTGCTAAAAACTAAGTTACATGGCCGGTTAGGCAAAGAAAAACATATTTCTCTTAGAACAGAAAACAATAATCAAAAACCAGTGTTGAAAGAGTTATTTTGACTCTCAGCCGTAACTCATAGCCAAATACATGGGGACGCAATATTCATTCGTGTCAATAGGTAGTTGTCGCACTTTATTAACAGATCTTTTCATAACAGTACCCTGAATTTTCACTTCGATAACACGCACAATGCTGTCAGACCCTGGAAAAACTTGAATAATCCATTCCAGCTAGGTGTTTTCTTCTACCAGGAGAACCAAAGTTCTAACTTTGAGGTTTTCTCCACTTTGGACCCATTTATTTGTATTTGCAGTTCGTTGAGGTACTCTTTACGAGTTCTTCCAACGAGTTCAGAATTGTTGTACCATAGTTGCTATGCGTTGGTATTTGTTCAGTTTATTTTCTGGTATTTCCACTAAATTTGATTGGGGTAGAGCAGGCAAGCCACGCCCAATTAAAAAATGTACAGGAGTAAGAGGGTTAAGATCAAGTGGATCATTGGAAAGTGGAGACAAGGGACGAGAATTTAAAATACTCTCGATCTCCACCAACAGAGTCGAAAAATGTTCATATGTTAATGAATTATTATTACCCTGAATTACCCGCATTAAATGAGATTTCGCTCTTATAATGGCTGCCTCCCACAGCCATCTCCGAAGGTCGGTGACCTGGCTGGAATAAAGTTCCATTTTATCCTCTCCTTAGCAAGATAGCGTACAATATTTTCGGCCTTTTTCGCAAGGAAATTGTACAAAGAATTTAACTTTGCGCAAGCAAAAATAAAAAAATTTCCATTATTTAAGGTGCTGAAAAAGGCAGCAGTAGTCACTGCTTCTAAATGACAAGCCTTTGTTGACATACAAATAAAAAGACACAAGTAGGCCCTTATCAGGTTATGACCTCTAGTTACGTGCCTATTTCGAATAAGAAATGGGCCTCCGTAATCAATTGCTACATTTGAGAACGGATTACTCGGTTGTACTCTCTCAGAAGGTAGCTCACGCATTAAATATTCTACACGGTCGTAGCTTGAAACACGTTAAGCAACCTTTGATTATTTTTTGTAAGTATTTTTTACTGCAATAGGGCAAAATTTTTTCCTCAATGATGAAATTAATTGTTACATACCGCAGTGCAACAGTCTCTCATGTTTATTTGATTATTAGTTCAGTTAATTTATCCTTTTTGGGTAAAATAATCTGGTGTATTTTATCGAAATTTAAAGCAGAATTTTTTAACCTTCCGCCTACTCGTATTAACGATTGGGTTGAGTTTTAAAATATTAGAATTTTTTTGAATTGGTTTCTTTTCGCCTAAAAGTCTGTATTTAGTTTCAAAGTTTTTTATCTGAATAATTTTAATCAAGAATAAAAATGCATTTTCAAGCTCATGTGGTTGTAAAATTTATGGAAATTTTATCATTTTCTGATAGCTCAATATATTTATTATATTGTGGCTGATTTGACAAAATTTGGAGTGATCTTAATATCCAACCAAAAAACTGTAATTAATTTATTCAATTTTGAAAAAGATTTGGTAAACATTCTAACACTCCTTCACTAATGACAAAGCAAGTACCAATGATTTTTATGTCTGGTATGTCTATGTCTCGAAAATAAAGATTAAAATTTATTTGGCTCCATGAACAATCGCTCTCAACTAACCTCAGTCATGCCACCTCAAACCATAAATTGCTTTAAAGTAAAACTTGTGGACTACACCCTCTCGATGCCAAATCCTCAGGGTTGCTGTCAGTTTTGGGTAGTTGCCATTGCCATGATGCCAATCTGTTATATTTGTTAAAGAAAAAATTTCACTAACGCGATTGGCCACAAAGTTTTGTAGGTAGAAATGCTAAAGCTACAGACAAATCTGTCCAAAAATATTATTTAGCAAAATTTATTTCAAGTGCTTCCAGTGTTTTTTGCCAAGTTAGCTAACAAAACACAAGCAGAGAGCTCAAGTATGGGTAGACTGATAGTATTTATACGTGCGGCTCTTGTTTTGGAGCAAAGCAAACTTGTAAAATTCTTGTTTTGCACATTTTAGCACCTGCAAAACCGTGAAGTTCGATATGAATGTAGTCAGCAAGACAAGCATGTCGCGGAATTTTTAAAGTATTTACTATTTTAAGATTAGTTTGAAATTGCATCCGATTTTGGAAAATCTCCTCTGGTACCTTCTCGTCCCACGAGATTTCTAAACTCCAAAGTTTTTGCATAATCAATTTTGCCTGAACAATAACTGGGCTTAGTAACCCTAAAGGGTGGTGGACATTTACGAGTAATACTTTAAATCTGACGCTTGGATATTTCAGTGATGTCATTTTTAAAATCGGAAATTGAATATTGCAATGTGTCGCTCGAAGTATTCCAAAAAGCACCTACTGTTTTGTTATGTTCATTTTCACCTATGCTTGTCGGCGTTTTGTCATTTAATTTAAACCTTTTTAATAATTCAGAATCATTGCATAGCCATTTTCTTCATTCAAATTTTGCGGACGTTAAAATATTCAAAATTTGGCTTTGTAATTCCCGTAATTTTTTTGGACAGTTGTGATCCGTAATTAAGTCATCTATATAAACATTTCCGTAAGTAAGCTAACTGTATAGTACAACGAACGGGCAAATATGGAGCCGAAACATATCCATATGTAATCGTGTTTAATTCGTAAAGCTTTAGTGTTTGGTTTCGTTGCGGTCTCCAAAATATTTTTTGATAATGACGCTAACTTATATTTATTAAAGTCTGTACATTTTTATAATATCAGCACACATTACGTATTTGAATTGCCGAAAATTGATTAAAATTGAAAATATTTCATTTTGAAGAGTCGGTCCTGTAAACTGGAATTCATTTAATGAAGGTGCTAATCCCTGATTTGTTTTTGCCGATGCATCGAATTCTATTTTGCATTTAGTAGTTAAACTAGTATTTTTCACAACCGTACGATGAGTTAAAAAATATCTGCAATTTAGATTTTCTTCAGTTTGTTCGATCTCCGACATATAACCTAAGGTTTCATACTCCTTCTAAAATCCTATGTAGTCCGGGCTCAGATGACCATTCTTTTGTAATTTATTTCCTAAGACCTTAAACCGTTTTAGTGCAATTTCACGAGCTTCTCCCAATTTTGACAACGAATCTTTAAACTGAATTGTCACGTTAAATCGTCCATCACTCTCGCGTTTTGTAGTTCTAGACTGGGGTAAAAATTGTTGCCTTTCATCTGCTACGATATCGGAATCAATTATTGCTATAAAGGTCTCCTTCCAACCCGACCACTCTTCGTATTTTCCGGAAAATTTGTGAATACCTATTTTCGGCAAGGAATTGAAAATTATTTGAGACGAAGGGGCACCCTGTACCTGCGTGGTACTTCTCTAAGCAGTATCAATATTTAACGCCTGCCCAAAATGACTAACGAAGCTTTGTGCATTTGCTAAAATTGAGTAATATTTTTGCTGAAAGCGAGCTTCCTCTACCTCATGGGCGTTCGTCTCATCTGGTAGAGGTTTCAAAAGCTCTAGATGCAGTTGGTCATACTCATCAAGACAAGGCTAAAAATTTTTTATTCTTTGTTCAATTTGCAAAGTGTCAACTTTGGTGATATTATCTTTGTCCAAATTATGCAGATATTTTGCAAATAAAGGGGCTTTTCTTTTTAACTGACATCTTAATTGTTTCAGAGTATGTCCGTCAGTCATTTTTCTTCAAAAATTATTTCAAAAGTCATTATTAAATATTTTAATGTTAATTGTTTTTACAAATATTTACCCTGTTAGCAAACACTATTTAAAACACTGCATAGGTTTTTATTAAGAAACGCGCAAGTACCTATGCTATTAAAAATGCTTTTATTGCTTATTTAAAAAAGCTTTTATAGACGCGACAATATTTGAATTGACGCAGGCATTTTTATTAACGTAAAAAGCCTTATTTGTTTTTTATTTATTTATTTGTTGAGAACACGTTCCGACTCTGCCGGCGAAAATCCCGAAGAATACTTCAAAAACAATCTGGACGAATCCCGCTGAACTTTCCAAACGTCTCGTCTGTTCTGCACAAGTGAAATCAATCGGTAGCGCTCGGTGGAACACAGAAGTAGACGTGGAACGGGTGGCCTAGCCACTTGGCGTTAAATCTATTTAGTAACTTAAGAAAATAATGCCCAATATGGCGAAAATATCTTAACGATATAGCTCATATTATGGTATCAAACAATAAACAGAATTCGTTGCCTTCGGAACAGTAATTTATTCTGACAAAGTTCCAGTCATAATCGTTGTGTATGTGTACGCCAATTTGAACCTCTGCAAAAAAAATATGTTACATATTTCCGTAATATTTGCGGCCTTCGTAATGAAAATAATAAAGTACCACAGAGTATGCTATAATTAACAGCACGTGGGAAAATTGCAGTTTCCCTACAATTTGGTTTAGTTTAACATTTGCAACAAGTTTGATAAGCGCAATTTAGTCACACATCATTTGCTATTTTAAGATATTAAGTAGAAAAATGACGATTTTTCAAAATAGGCTCTGGTAATACACAGATATCATAAAAAATATGATCAAAATATTAGTTTAAAATCAAAACGTAAAAATTTAGTTTTCTCTTTGTATTTATGTCGCAGAGAACTGCAAAAATCATTTAAACAATTTATTTAAATCACTGTCAGGGATGACATAAAAATATAAATGGTCACTAAGGAATGTGGGTTGCATGACTAAAATTTTGAACTTTTGAACTTGTTATAATTTTTTTAGCATGCATGGGATACACGAGGACTTTTGGCATTTTATTCTAGAGGTGTGCCCAAGGTTGCCAGCTCTGCCTCTCTGTTTTTTTTATTTGGTGTGTGTTTTCGCCGCACTAATATATACAATATATAATAGCCTGTGTACAGGTGTATAAATGGAAGGAATTGTGGGTGAGCAGATCATCGGGCATATTTGTTTTCACTAAGTTTAAAAGGGGACAGACATTTCTGAGCGTTGCAGTATGTGACCCTGAATTATGGGAGTCCTACATGATGGCGTTCCTATATAGTGTAAATTCTTGGCTTTTTTGTCTTCGAGAGTATATTTTTTTGATAAGTTAGATTCATATTCCTGAAATTTAATACTTACTGATGCTGCTACATCTACAGTTAATGGACCAAATGGACCAACCGATAAAGTCAACGGCTTTTGGCACCTTATGATCATAATTTCAATGAAAGCGATTGTTCTCTTAGTCTGATCAAACCATTTGCTTTCGTATAGGGCAGTAGCTAACTCCAAGCTCTAAAAATTTTCGTAATTACGTGTTCTTAGAGTGTTTAGGAATGGACTGACCTGGGCTAAAATTTCATCAGAATTCCAGGCCAGTACAATTATCTGTCCGCTGCACATTAGAACGTATATGCAACTGAAAATCACATCCTTTCCCTAAAATTCACGTTGGCATTAAAAAAATGCTGAAATGTACATTTATGGTGCAAGACATGCATTACATATAAATGAATGTGCTTTTTAAAAGGTGGTACTCTACCAAAGAATTTTACCAAATTGTGGAACTAAAAACTATGTTTTCTTTTTTTTTACATCCAAAGTACACATAGCCATTTTTTAAAAAGTTACAATAGTATATTTTCCAAAATTTTGAATATCACTCATCACTCATTTTCTCATAAAAGCTTTGCTGGTATGTAATGAACTAAAATTTCATTATAATATGTTATATATAAGGTGCAGGTAAGTACAAAAATCAAAAGAAGAAACTAAAATTCACAACTTTTGTGCTGAAATGCTTGAAGGGGTTACGGGACTAATAAAATTGGATTTTACCAAATAAAAATTTTAGAATTGACCAAGATACAAAACTTTGCAAAAGACGATAATATTACCTAACCTCTAGAAGCGATTTTCCTCCATAAATGAGTACTCGCGTTTAATGAAAAGTGTTTTCACACGTATTCTCAGATTACCGACATTAGTGTCGTCAGCAACGCATTGCATGTTGGCCTTAATCATAGTTACGTCGTTTTTGAAGAAAATTCATCATTAAGGGTAGAGAAATAGTCATTTACCGCAAATATTTGGAAGAGCGACGCTGCCAGCATTACTGACGCAATGCTGAACTCTAGCAACATAACGTATCGCAGAGAATTATTAAAACTGTCTACGTACCTAAAAAAATAAATCAAAGTCAAAAATTAAAAATAAAATTAAAGTTTAAATAATTAACAGTTTTTTCGCAAATTGTATTGCAGCTTACTGGATTAGATTCTGATGTTTTATACACAACCGCTTCAGACTCATGCCAGCACTTTCTCTGTTTACTTTGTCGAAATTTCTAAAATTATTTTGGAGCATTATAAGTTGAGCTCGCAGAAATATTATTGTGGTGTTTATAAACGTGTTCACTGCCGAACTGCATATAACTGAATACAGTATGGTCATAGTTTCATCTGCAATTGTCCAAACGCAATATCGGTTTATATCAAACGGATACCAAAATTGAAGCATTACGGGCCTTTTCAGTGTACTGTTTAAATGCTTGGGTGAGTAGTAGAAGTCGAAAATAGCCACGTATCCTAAAGAAAATACCAAATGCAGTAATATTTAACAATTTATCAATAAATAAAAAAATCGCAATTTTGGGGAACGACAAAGTAAATAATTTTTTGCTTAAATTTTGAAAGGTATAAAATTTTACATCGTACTTTTCGTCATTTTAATACATTTCAAATTGCTTCAATTAATGCCATAAGACAATGTGTGACAGAACAGAAAATCCTGTTATCTGACTTTGATTCCTTTTTCTTTTAATTCAATTTTCGTTAAATTGCTTTTAGCTTTTTTAACTAGCCAAGTAACTAATTTTTTTTACATTTCAGGTATGTGGACATCGTCAAAAAAGTTTTTAATAAAGACATAGATTTACACAATTACCCTGAAAAGATAACAGTTATATAAAATAATGATTTAGAACACATGCACAAATGTAATATTCTAAAAACATGTTAATACTACAAGAACATTTTTAATGTAAAAAATGTTTCAAAGTTTTCTTCAAACAACAAAGAAAGTTTTGATATGCTGGGTCGATTTTTTGCAATTAAAAATTGGTTTTGGTTTCTTGTATTATAATTATGATAAGAATTATTTTTCATAAAAGAGCCACAATCATTAAACACATAAATAATTTTATAAATTACTATACAATTTTGTAATAAAAGATGCCAACAAGGTTCAGAGGAATTAAAAAAAGGCTTGTTCTATATTTAATAAGAAAATTGATAATTTTATCCGGAAATTTAACGGCCCACTCTGTACGATATACTTTAAAACCATCCCGAAGAGTCTTATCGGTGTACTACTCGTCCAGGAATTTACCTCCTTGTCCAGTGAAATGGTTGTCAATGGTGGCAATTTTTCCTGTTGACTTTAAAATGCGTCTTTGTGGCGTTCAAATTGGCGAAGAAAATAATCGCTCTTATCACTTACCCGTCACCAACATGTATCCGCCGGCGGTACCAACAGATACCACGAGGAACAACGTGAACTTGTTACACAAACTCATGTGCCTTCTATAGATTTTTAACTTTATTGATTTTTTGTCAAGGCAAATGAATTCCTCTTCTTTCAACGCTGCGGATAGCAAATGCACTATCTTCTTTTTTTGGCACATTGTCGCTTTGATCGCCACAATTAAGGAGAATATTATCTTAGAAATTGTATCCATGGCTGTTAAAAAAAAATCGTTAATTGGTAGGTTTTAAGGAAAAATGTATTTAAGTCTTATAGCTGTAAAATTACGCCTTCATTGTTGTCATTAATCTCGGGTAAGAAATTTCGTTCAGTTAATTTTGGAATCATAAATAAAAAGATTTTCGATTTAAGAAGAATTTGTGAAAAGTTTCTATATACTTGTGTGAAAACTTTCATGTGTGGCATCTTTATGAAAATTACTTATTTACCTGTATTTAGATCCTTACGAATTAGCGTCGGAACATTGATTAATAACAAAAATATGGTAAGAATGTACCTTGCCTGGATACTGATTGAGTAAATCTTGTACAACTTTCTGGCAAACGTCGGTAAACCAGCAGTCTCTAGTTTCCATAAACCAGCCAAAATCATAATAAATTTTGCTCGATCGAAAAGTCCATGTTTCGACATTTTTTATTCGAGTTCAGGACAAGAAGATGTAAGTATATGTAAGTTGCAGGGACTTATATAACTTTTTCATATCCATATTGAAGAAATAGTTGGGTTTAATGCGTGTTTTGTCCAGCGCCGTAGGACACAATTTAAAAAGCTTTAGAAGTAAATACTTTTGAAAGATGCCTTTTTAATTTTATTTAGCGATTCGGAAGAAATCTCTATTATACAGTGCGAGTCTTTCACCAGGAATATATTCAATGAATCGATTATCTTCTTTTTTCAAAAAATTAGTGCACACGAAAATTCCTAATCCTGTGCTAATCAAGAGGACGTCATATTTATCTTTTTATAATTGTTTATTCTAGAATTACCACATTTTTTATATACGGCATGGTAAATTACTGTTATTGGTTACGTAAGACAATTTTGGGGGAAAAGTCATTTGAAGTAATACCTGTGGAAGGTTTAAAAAGAATTTATTAATTAATTGATTGATTGATTAATTGAGTATTGCAAGATTGTCAACGGTTAGGATAACTTTTTCCTTTCTAAACCATCTCTCTCGTGGTGTAACAAAAACTTGTCGTTTCTATTAAAAAATCATGTCTTATATTTTGCTTAACGCCCATATTTTTTTCCATAAGATAAAGACTACAACCGAAAAAGCTAATTGGGTGTTTTACTGAATTTGTACCATGTTGCAGACTTCCCGCAAAGTTATTTTTAATTAAATTATACCGTCAAGGAATTATTTTTAACAGTACGCCAATGCTCACTGTTTCCACACTTCAAAGTTTGGAATAATTACATATCTAAAAAAGGCAATTCCACATATTGGAAAAATCAATATCTCCACTATGATTTGGCTATACCTTTGCGGTTATAGGATTTTAAATATTTAAAGTCCGCGTGTCTTGGAAACAAAGATTCAGTGTAAAGAAAATGTTGTTCGTGCTAATAGAGGCATTTAACAAGGGCGGCTTCAAGGATACGCAAAATAGTGAGTTAGTAATGATTATGTATAAACTTAATCATATTATATATTGTCCAGAACTCTTCATATGTTAATCTGTTTCCGCGCATTCTATTCTGAACAAGAAAATTTTTTTTCAAAGAGAACAAAAAAAGTAACATTAAGAGACTTAGGAATCGGTCAAGAGGAAACGATTTTTATTAAATTAAATTTAAAAAAGGGCCAATCATGCTTAAAAATCGAGAAAATGCAAGCACTGTTCATAATGAAAATATCAAGGATTTAAAAAAAAAAGCATCCGAAATAAAGTTGATGATATAACAGTTCTAAAATATCGACATTTTCTATAATGGTCGAAACATGTTTGTACAAGGAAGAAGTGCATTATTATAATTTATCTGGATACAGGGCCACACATACATGTTGAGATTCAAGATGCGGCGGTTGTGCAATCTACGTGAAGATCACTACGGTGAAGACCACAGGAGTTGTTTGTGTCAGACAGTGATTCTGTGTCGATCAGGTTATGTCAAAGTATAAATTTAATCATTTGATTATGGGGGATATGATTATAAATTTATTCGATGGCGGTAAGATGGACGTTGGAGACTATAAGACCGTAGTTCAGGTAAATAACTTCAAGCTTTTAAGAACAATGCAACACGAGTAACAAATACATCTATCACAATAATTGATAATAATTTTATTAGGTAATATTATACATAAAGTCTGCGAGTACGATTTGGTCAGCATATACCTTGCCGGTCATAAAAAATAATATAATAAGACCCATCAAAAAGCAAAAAATTTTGGAAGAGAGGTTGGTGGCTAAACAAATTGAAGTTACTACAAGATTTTAGTAAACAAATTGTGCTGACTCCTGGTCATTCATTTGTACAGCTGATTGATTTATATAAAGAATGTCAAGTTAGATATGCACATAAGCTACAAATTAAGCATAACTTAGGTAATGATTGGGTTACTTCCGAATTAGTGTAATTAAATAATTAAAGAACGTGACAAATAGTACGTAAAAAAGATAGGAGTGATACAACTATTTGTGTTAAATTTAAACCATTTAAAAAACAGGTTAACAATCCAATTGCTATCCTAAAAAAACTCACACTTCAAGAACCAATGGAATAAAGCTAACAATGTCAGAAAACAATGTTGTATTCTGAATGACTTTGTAAAAGGAAACTTTAACAGAAATAGTACAAATGACTCAGTTGAATTGAATGTTAATAATTAAGGGGTTGACTTTTGGGTACATTTTAAAAAGAAAACTTCAAATGAACATATGTCCTAAACATCTCAATTTTCGAAAATAAAATCTATTTCTTTTTAATAGTTGTAATATCACTTTAGGTATTTTAATAAAATTTGGCACATATGTACTATGTATTACGAGACAATATTTAATGTACCACATTATTTTAAAAAAGAATGGTCGACTTTACCAATAAGGAGTTAGCAGATATGCATTTAACGTATGGTTTGGCTGATGTATATGCACCGGAAGCTAGGCGAACATTTTAAAATGTACATAGAAGGTTGACTGGTACTTTGAAGGCAAATAATCATTTAAATGGGGCCTATCGGACTGTAAGAACTCCAGAAATTGAAGAAGCAGTTTTAAATTCTATTGATGAAAATCCTGAACTTAGTACTAGAAAAATTGGAAATAATCTGAATATCTTGCGCGTCTTCGCTTAAAAAAAATAAAAACCTCTTCTCTGCATGGTCATATCAATATCGTTATTACGACAACATGCAGAGAAATAAGATTTTAATTTTAGGTTAAAATCGTGCGACGGACTAAAAAAAAAATTAAGAGATCATATCTGTTCATAAATGAATGCAAATATCATTTTTTTTTTAAGGAAATTAGTGGCGTTCCATTTATTGTCTACGAACAAATAATATTTTGGTGAATTAGGTCGCTACTGCACTGGTTAAATCGAGAATTATTATAGGATACGCGCTTCAGCTCTTTTCCTCATATTGCCGAGCACTCTTTGAAGTATACCTCCAGTGTTTCTTATTAAATCGTAGGAAGCTCTTGTACGATCCTTTAGTTATTTTACAGCGTTTTCTGGAGTTTTAAGATGCCCCCATAAGAAAAGCTCCCAACTATTTACATCTGAGGATCTGGGGGGGCTTGGTTGAGGTCCGCCGCGATATAACCATCGGTTATTAAATTCTCCTAATGCAACACTAAAGTGAGCAGGCGCGCCGTCATGCCGTCTGTTCTGTCTGTCTGACACTTCTAGCAATATTGGCAAATCCTCTCCTGAAAACCGGCAATAATTCTGGCCATTTAATCTTTCTGGCAGCAAAACCTGTCCGATTATGTATTTTCAACAATTTCAGTCCAAATATTTACCGAAAACTGTTCTTGATATTTAAATTCTACAACTGCGGGAGACCACATACGGTTATTGGGGAAATTTGTAATTTCGTTTCTATTAGCTTCGTTTTAAATAGTATTTCTTGGTCAAACAAGAGATAATGCTCAATTTTGTCTCTGTAACGCTTGGGCTCGTTTTTTTTTAAGCATGACGTGCAAGATATTCAGATTATTTGCAATTTTCCTAGTACTAGTTCAGTTCAGGATTTTCATTAATAGAACTTAAAACCGCCCCTTCAGTTTTTGGAGTTCTTACAGTCCGATGGGCCCCATTTAAATAATTATTTGCCTTCATTCACATTTTGAAATATTCGCCTAGCTTCCGTTGCATTTACATCAGCCAAACCATAAGTTAAATGCATATCTGCTAACTCCTTATTGGTAAAGTCGACCATTCTTTTTAAAATTAACAATGCTCGGATATTTTAAACACCAAAAAATATACCTCAGAGTTTACGTACTTCGTATTCGTACTTCGATTTTTAGAACACATGTTCAAATGAAGTTTTCTTTTTAAAATGGACCCAAAATCATCCCCTTAATTATTGATGTTCAATTAGAAAATACGCTGTATATAACAAGACAGAGATGGTGGATTATTTGTACAACTACTTTGTTGCTATAGGCAGCAACATTGTTTCAGAGTTAAATCATCGAATCTTGCGACATCCAATAGGTTATGAGTTCGAAGAAATATATCGCGCAAATACGGTTGTGGCCCAGCACACCGATTGCACTGAAGTAAATAATATTATCTCTAATCTGAAAATTGGATCAGTTGCTAGATTTGATTGTGTTTTAGTTAGGTGTGTGATTAATTTAAAAGATGTTCTTATTCCTGTTCTGGTTAATCTAATAAACAATGTTCAATATTTTGCGTTTTTTCCGGGCGAACTAAAATTATGCAAGGTAATACCCATTTACAAATTCGCCAGTAAAAACAGTATAAATAACTACAGACCAATTACTTTAACCAGTGTTTTTTCAAATATTTTAGAATTGTTAATTAAAAGTAGACTGAAAGATTTTCTTAATAAGTGTGACAATTTCCAATATAGATTCACTGAGAAAAATACAGACAAAAATAATATTTATTGCCGTTTTCGTTTTTCGTCTATCTTAACTTTTTTTTGAGTAAAAGAAAACAATTTGTTGGTCGGTCAGAGAGTTGAACAAAAGAAATAAATAAAATAGTGCGGCAGATTTCCATTTGGGCACCTTTGCTAATAATTAATGTCAAGCAGACTAGCTTTATGGTTTTCAGTTAAAAAAAAAAGCTGTCCGTCTTATTGAATTGGAAATAAATAACGACGCTATCACTAAAGTCTCTCAAGTCAAATACCTGGGTTTGGTTATTGACGACATGATCAGCTGGATTGAACATATAGAAAAAATCATTTAAAAAAATGTACCCATGATAGGCGCAGCCATGAAGTGTAGAAACCATCTGACTAATAAAATAAAATACAGTATCTATCGCCTTTAAAAAAATTGTAGTTCTTCAGAATAAGGTTCTTAAAATTCTATTCAACTCTGATTAATTTACACCGATGGACACACTATATGCAGAGTTAAGGTCCAATAGTGACACTTTTGTTACGGAGAGAACAATGTAAACTAATATACAAAACAATCCATAAGCTTCCTAAAAGTAATACTAGTTTTATTAGTAATTAGTACATCACGTACCACTGAATAATATTGAGGGAAGGATGTTAGGGGGCTTGTTTACATAGAACAATTAGAATACAGTTTTTCTTGAACAGCAAAATCTTCGCAGTCAAGTAAAACAATTACCTACTGAATTAATGTACTACACTGGTACCAGTGGTTTATCATTGCTTTGGGGTTGCTATATTCAGTGTAGAAATATTTCATATATGGAGTCACTTTCTAATATTCCAAAGCCTGAACTCATTGCTCTAGAATGTCTAGAATCTAACCCCGACATTGTAATTGTGAAACCAGATAAAGGTCATGAACACAAATAATTATCAGGAACAAACTCAAGATAATCTTAGAGACGGATCCTATCGTCAACTGAAAAAACAACGAAATCTTAAATCTGTTATTAAGGCTTCTTCTCTATCAGAATCCGTTAAAGTCTGTTACCCTTCATAGCTCTAAATTTTCTCGTCTCCACGGACTCCCTAAAATTCACAAACCAGGATCACCCCTTCGACCTATTGTTTGTACAACTGGTTCTCCAACGTATTACTATAAATATCTAGCTTCTATATTAAAACCTGTTACAGAGAAAACTGACAGTTTCGTACTTAATTCCTTTCACTTCATTGAACAATTAAAAGCAATTACATTAGATACAAACGATATTCTGGATAATTTTGGTTGGTTGATTAGAATCAGGAACCAAACCTTTTCATCTTAAATAAAAAATCCATGTGTGGAACATATTTTTCTTGTAACGGTAAAATGTATGAACAAACGTCGGCAACAGCTATGGGTTCTCCATTAGGACGGGTTATGGTGAATATATTTCTTTTGCCTTTGAGAAAAAAGCCCTAGACCAAAATTATAGAAACGCTACGTTGATGATACTTCTGGGTACTCATGGTCCAGAATCCCTCCAAGATTTTCTTAGCCATTTATACCCTATACAATCGAACATAAGTTCTAAAATTGAATTAGAAACTAATAATAATCTCCCGTTCTTATCACTGCATTTGATAACGGGTAGTGATACATCGGCCCGAAACGTTGTGTAAAGAAAAATGAAAAACAATGGAAGTTCGTACATCTGTCTGCTCTCTGTTGAACCCTGTTTCGCATATATAGATTGCAGCCTCTTCTCGCGATGGGTGTCGATTCTTTCAGTTGCTTTGGAAACACTTAAAATAGGTGAAATAATGAAAGGAGTTGTTTATTAATTTTGTATTTGGAATTTTAATTTAAATGTGGAAATGCATTATGTAATAAGCCTATACAATTATTTGTGGCAGAATTTGTACAACATAAGCAGTTTTGGAAATCCACGAGAACCAGGGTAGTTCAACATTTCAAGCTCAGCAATTATTCACTTGCTCAATTTCTTGGACTGACGCTCTAGCCATAAAATAAAGCAGAATCCTTTGTCTTTCGGATGAAGATTTACTCCGACAAAGTTCCAGTCATAACCGTTGTATATGTGTACGCCAATTTGAACCTCTGTAAAAAAAATTGTTACATATTCTAATAACCCCTGCGAGTAACATATTGAAAACGATAACTTTCAATTTGTTACGGGTTAACTTCTAAGGTCCATTGGAACAAAGAAATTTATTTTGAAAAATTTTCATTTTGAATTACCAACTGCCTCCTTGTTTACCGACAAGTCATATTCTACACGGCATGGATATTTTAGGAGTCATATTTCGCATGAAGAGGAACCCCAAGTCATAACAACAGATTGCTATTAACCTGCGAGATTCTGGTGTCCTTGGAGCATGTTTCTCTGAACATAAGGCTGGTTGTTTGTTATGCGATTTTTTAAATGAAAACCAGATTGGACACAAGGCGTATCTCTGCTTAAGTTTACACAATTTTAATTGTTCTATTTGTGTTTGCTGGTTTAAAGAGATTGGAACTGATTTCACCTTTCCGTCCCTTTTTATTGATGAAATAAGCAATATGCACACCAAAACAAAGAAAAATGTATCTAAATCCCCTTTTAACCACTGGCCAATACCCAGTGAGCACCATAACCCATGGGCGCTCCGCCTATATCAAAAACAGAAAATGGAACAAAAACAGGAACAAGGATATTGACGTCGTCGTAGTTACTAGAAAACGAAAAGCTTCGTCGGTCATGATGAAAACTTTATTTGGCTCGTCCAAGGACTATCAACTACCAAGTGATCACAAGCGCTTATGGGAAGTAACCACTACTACTATTATAAGCGGTGTCGGCCGCAATATGTGACTTATTACGTCTCCCTAAAGGTTAGTTTATAAATCGCCGATGTAATCCTTGGGTCCAGACTATACCGCTTCGATCTAGCTTGTGAAAACGCAAGTAATGTTTTCGAAATAACATACTTACCGATGCTGCTACATCTACTGTCAGTGGACCAAATGGACCAACCGATAAAGTTAACGGCTTTTGGCATCTTAGAAGCATAATTTGAATCACCGCTATTACTCTCTTGGTTTGATCAAACCATTTGCTTTCGTATAGAGCAGTACCTAATTCCAAGCTCTAAAACATCTTCGTATAGATAGGTTCTGCTTGCGTGAATATGAAGAGAGTAACCTGAGTTAAAATTTCATCCGAACTCCAGGCCAATACAATTATCTGTCCGCTACACATTAAAACGTATATGCAACTAAAAACCACGTCCTTTCCCTACAATTTTGGTAATGCTTCAGTCTACATTCACGATTCAAAACAATTAATTGCATCACTTTAAATATTTTAGCAGAGAGTTTTAATAATTTTAAATAAACTAATAAAATATGTTTTGCTCTCTTCCTTTATGGGATTGAGTTTCCAGACACTTCGTATGGAAATCCGAAATCGCATATATAAAGTATTTTATTAACAAGGAAGTTTAACAAAGTCAAATTTCTCCGTAACTAACTATGACAAAATGGCAAAATATTTATCAATTAATTTTTAGAAAATACTATGACTTATTTCAGGAAGCTGAACACTGTATATTTTTGGATCATTTCAAAGAACAGGGCTGGGCTTTGTTCTTTCGGTTCGGTCGTCACAATTATTTGGTTTTGAAACAACTTCAGAGACGTTTTAGTTGTAATCAATTGGGCCAAAAAACTTACATTAAATAGGGATATGAAGTTATAAGAAATTTTTCAAGTTAGAAACACAGGCAGGACTGCCAAGAAATAACGTTAGACAAATTTTTGGGGAAAAGGACTAACACAACCCACACTTCGGTCAAACTAGATGATCTTAAACACAAAAATTTAACCAAGTATGTCAATTTTCGTTTGTTTTTTTATTTTAAATTCATTTGAATGTCTAACTAAAGTAAGAATCTTTACAGCCACAATCATAATTTGAAAACTACCAGCATGCATTGGTTTTCAGTATTAAATGTTATTAAAACCCTTATCTTTTCCTACTGTGTCAACAATAAAAAAGACTAATGTTAATTCGTGTAACATTGTCTACAGAAAAGTGCAAAAATAAAGGGGATCTTGAACCAAATTTCAAGGCGAAAAGTAAAGTTATTGAATGGTTGTGTATTTTACTAGCTACTTTTCTGTAATTCGCGGGACATTTCAGTGAATGAATTACTAGTGCATCCTTAAGTGCCTAAGGCAGATTGAAATTATTTGTAATCGATTAATTCCAAAATCTAAAAAAATTAGAAAAGTCCGAGAAAAGGAACATGAAACGTAGTAGTATGGGAGCGAAAATAGACTAGCACATATTTCTCTCCCTTCTTAGTAATTGTGAAAACTATAAACTAAAAGAAGAAAATATTGCTAGTTAAACCATAAATAATGATCCCTGGAGTGGATGTTTTCACGTGCATTTTAAAATTGTCGAATATCGGGTGCGTAAACTCGCCCTTAACATCGTCCGGATGTTTATGTAAATAAAATTGTTTGTTAAAGCAAGAGGAATAGTTGTTACCGCAAATATTTGGAAGAGCGATGCTGCCAGCATTACCGACGCAACGCTAAACTCTAGCAACATGACGAATCTCAAAGACTCATTAAAACTGTCAACGTACCTAAAATAGAAATTAAATTAAAGTTGAAAATTAAAGATAAACTTAACAAATAAGTGTGTTTCAGCTTACTGGATTATATTTTGATGTCTTCTGCATAATCTTCTCAGATTCGAGCCAGGACTGTTTCCTTGACTTAGGTCATCGAAATTTCGAAAATTATTTTGAAGCATTATAAGCTGAGCTCGCAGAAATATCATTGTGGAGTTTATAAACGTATTCACTGCCGAACTGCATATTACTGTGTACAGTATAGCCATAGTTTCATCTGCTATTGTCCAGAGGCAGTGGTGGTTTATGTCAAATGGATACCAAAAATGAAGCATTACTGGCCTTTCCATCGTACTGTTTAAATGATTGGGTGAGTAGTAGAAGTCGAAAATAGCTACGTATCCTAAAATAAATATTAAATTACGTTACATTTTAGAGTTTATTATTATGCCAAAAAAGGCTTGGGATTGCCACAAAGTTATGAAAAATGATTTGAACAAATGATAGACATACTACCGAGTGAAGATGTAACAGAAAAAGATAATGACCATGCTGAAAAAATACCTACAAGTTCATATTGGGCATGAACACAAATTTTAAAAATATTTGTGTGATGAAATGGCAAGAACAATAGGGATATATGTACTCCGGCTTCCTCGTTATTATTGCTAGCCGAATCCAAAGGCACAAGTGGCAGGGGGAGTAGTTAGAAAAAATAAATGTTTTAAACAGTTGAAAGTACATGAACTGTTAAATTAAATTAAATATTAAATGTAAATAAGGGGAAGGTGGAATCTAGTTATTTTTTATGTAGACGAAGAAAGCTCAACGCATAAATATTCGGATTCATTTTGACAATGTAGCAAAATTTTATTACCTGTGTTTTCGTTGTTCTAGTCTGAATTTAACTTTTGTGACCGTATATTTTATTTGTATGTGAAAAGCCTTAATTTTAATTAACTTACAGACCTAGAATATTTTTAATACTCACTTTTGTAATAAAATAATGTTTTTTTGTTAATGCTATGAATCATAAATATTATAATAATTTTTCTGTTGCTACTACATTCTTATCCCCCACCTACATACACATATATGATACTCGTTCAGTTTATTTTGAATCCAGGAAACAGTGCCAATATAATAGTGGATTAGGAAGGATAGTCATAAAACAGAGCGAAGTAATCAGAAACAGGTAAAATTTTATTTAATTTTTCAAATAAACTTCCACAGGCTACTGTAATACTTTTTATAAAACTTCTGGATTTCTCCTGTTTTTGTTGAGTCGAACTAGCTAACGTTTCGCCAGCTTTTTCAGAGCTTGACTAAAACTGTTTCAGTTGCTTTCAAAATATTATTAAGGGTCCGAAATGGGTTTTGTATAAATAATGGGCTGTTATTCTCTGTCTTTAAAAGATTAAACCGGAAATACCTTTTTTCTACTCCCTTCTGTAAAATACCTAATGATACATCGATATAGAGTGTGGGAAGCGTTACTTTATCACATGAGTTTCTTGTCTCACAGATCGGTGCTACTTCGGTATATCTGGGATATTACCGCACCGGTTTGGGAGCAGTCGGATGTTATCGGAGATTTTACCGCATGGCTTGAATTTTAAAGTTTGTCAATTGTTAATTGTGACGGTCGTGTCAGTGAATGTACTCGTGTTGTTTTGCAGAAATGTACCCAAAAACTAACGATCGTAGAAAAAGTATAGTATGCAACACGTTTTTTAAACTTTTCAAGTCACTCGTTTATTAAAAACTCGCTAGTGACTCAAATGCCGTTTATGCATAATATACTATTTTGTACTCCCTTCGGTAAAATACCTAATTATCTACCTTGTGAAAATTTTCGTTTCCCATGGATCCGAGCCACTTCGGACATGTTTGGGAGATTACCACACAGGTTTGGGAGTAATCGGATGTTTGCGGAGATATTATCGCATGGCTCGAATTTTGACGTTTGTCAATTCTGACGGTCATGTCAGGGAATGCATTCGTCTTGTTTTACAAAAATGTTCTCAAAAACTGAGGGTCATACAAAAAGTATAGTATGCCACATGTTTAGTAAACTTTTTAACTCACTCGTGTATTAAGCACTCAAATCCGTTTACCACACTGGTTGCACTATTAGGTGACCCAGTTTTATTTACTTCTTTTTATTAATATTTTTTACAAAAATGATTAGTATAAATCGCTTTTGAATTGTTTTCCATAGTAATCAAATTGTTTAATAAAAACAAAAATTCAACTAGTGATCTCGCAAGAGAAATTGCCAATTACCTACTTTAAATGCTGTTTGTCGTATCAAAAATTCCCAAAGGACATTTGATTTTTGTATGAAATATATCATAAAACTAGGTAAATTTGAATTAAAGCCATGCCTATCAAGTTTTTCCTTTAAAATACTTAAAATGACTTCGCATATACCTACGCTAGCAGTTAATAAATGGTAAACATATGCACTGCAAATGAGGATGTGTGATATACTTTCATAGAAATTTTGATTACTTCAAAAAATTGTATTTTGAAAGTTCTTAAAATAATAATTGATAATTATGCTTAATTTGAAATTGAAATAAAAGTCATATCAGTACTGTCAGTATCCCTTTTATCGCTTACCTGATATTAACAAATATCCGCCAGCTGTACTAACAGATACCATAAGGAACAAAGTCAATTTGCTACATAAACTCATGTGCTGTTCGTAGATCTTTAACCTTACTGATTTCTTGTAAACACAAATGCATTCATCTTCTTTTAACGCCTCGGAGATCAAATTTACGATCTTCTTTTCTTGGCATATTCTGGCTTTAATCGCCACAATTGAAGAGAATATTATCTTGGAAATGGTATCCATAGCTGTTAAATTAAAAAAAAAAAGATTTTAGAACCGATGTTTTTCCATAAATCTTACAACTGCAAAACTATGCTTCGAATTGTTTGATTGTTGTCAGTTTGTAGAATTAAATTTTACAAAACAAAAATCGAGAAAGAAAGTCAGTGGTGACCTGTAACGAGTGAAAGTGCTATTCTAGACGGATGACGTCAATAAAACGAGCCGGAAGGGGTCGGCATTTCTGTGGATGGATCCACTGCATGGCTCAAAGATGCAGATGCTGGGAAACTGGAAGCCGGGGACACAGAGACACCGACAAATGTTATATGTATCAGTCCGGCAATCAAGATATATTTTCTGTACAGGTACAGGACTGCGGAGGTATATATCTATGTATGTATCTATTTATCCTCAACAGAGGATATTCGGACGAGATGGCTGACAAATTGACCTGGGACAAGTTTGCCGTAGGAATAGCAGCTGAAGCATAAGCTGAATAATTCATGCCCCGGGAAGCACTCCCCTCTGCATTGCGAAATTTGGCCGCAATTGCGGTACCTTTTCCAGCCTTGGTCGTGCGCTATTACAAACGCTGGTAGGAATTCCAATAGAACACTGCCATCTAAGACGACGGCACATGTAGACTGTCTAGGGGAGGAGGAAACCTAATTCATTTCCTAACCAGTTGCACACCACTAGGGAGCAGCCAAGTAAGATTAGTAGGAACTCAATTCATTGAGCACAAACTCCCCATTACAGAGGTACTGTACTTCTTCGCTGAAAATATTGCTCTTCTGGGGGGCATTATGTATCGGAAAGTACCAATAGCGCGCCCGGCCGTCAAGGACAGGGACGTACCGCAGATATAAAAGGAATATCTGTTCTATTTACAATTGTCCAAAGAAGGTAGGGTAAAAATATCAATACTAAAATGTGTAGACATAACTAGAGTTACTAATGTTTAACTTTGAACCCTTCTAATTAACGTGCTAGCCTAAAACAAGTGTCGGTATATACGAGGCGTTCTCGTAGAGGTAAATTTTAATTTACATAGAACATGGTAAATGGAACCTGAATTTTATAAAAAATGGCGCTTTCTTCAATTTACCATCCACAAAAATGTAGTGATAATGCAAAAAATAATCATTTATTTCAGAAATAACTATCAAAAGAAATGCTTTGGTGAGATGTGTATCTAAAACAGTTCAAATTATTTTTCTTACCCATTTCAATCTTTTCTTTTTTAAATAGAGTCAGAATAGCTGAACATAAAATCACAACTTAAACATTTTAAAAGCATATTATGAAATCTCGTTGTTTTTAATTGTTTTGAAATAATAAATAAAAGACAGGATGTTCATACTGATCGTTCAATCTCAAAAAAATTGAAATGGCATTATTTAACAATTGTGAAGAATAATAATAAATTTTAGAAAATTAGTTTGCTCAAAACTTTTATTGATCCCCTAATAAAAACGGCTAACGATTTGCCCTAATTTATTTACCTGCGTTTAGGTCCTTACGAATTAAAGTAGGAACGTTAATTATTAACAAAAAAGGGGTAATAATATACCTCGCCTGGATACCGATTGAATAAATCTCGTACAATTTTATGGCGAACGTCGATAAATTAGTACCCTCTAATTTCCATATACCAGCCAACATCATAATAAATTTGGTTCGTTCGAAAAGTCCACGTCTCGACATTTTCATTTCCAGTTCAAAGTGAGATCTACGTAGTTGTAAGTTGCAGGGACTTATATAACTTTTTGCGAATTATTATTTGAGGAAATCGTTTAGTTCAATGCGCGTTTCGTCCAGTGGCGTAGGATACAATTTAAAAAGGTTTGGAATTTAATAAATATGACATCATGCCTCTGAAAATCTGGTCACCACAATTTTTTATTGCAGAACTGGCACACTTATATTTCATATCGCATGGTAAAATAATAACAGTAATACCTGTAACCATATTTACCTAAAATAAACTAAGGCAAATGTGATTGACACTGTTAATAACAGTTGATATACTTTTTCTCCAAAATTTCCTCATTTCCTCAACGGAAGATTTTGCGTAATTTATTAAAATCTATCTATAAAAAATAGCCAACTAACCAAAACGTAAATTTTTAATTTACAAATATAAATAATAATAAAATGTCTGCTTCCAACAGGCTAATATGGATTACCCGGACGAAGTTTAACTTATTGAAATACTTAATTTAGTTTTATCCAAAATTAATTTTCACGTTTTCTAAATATGAAAAATTGCTTAAGCAGTAAGAAATATCTGTTGATCGGGAACCTCGAAATATTAAAGGATTATTTTTAACAGTACGCTAATGCTTTGTCAGCGAGAGTTTCCGCATTTCAAAGCTTGGTATAATTACATACCTAAAAGACGCAATGCCACATATTGCAAACATCAATATCTCCGCTATGATTTGGGGGTTTCGTTGCGGTTATGGGATTTTAAATATTCAAAGTTGCTCGCGTGTCTTGAAAAAATAAATGTATTTTAATCAAAAGGAAGCTCTAAAGGGAAGTCTGATAGTGATATAATCAATTAATTCGTACTGCATATATTTACCATATTTTTTCCATTTTCAGAAATATAAAAAAGTCAGTATCACAAAGAAAGGCGGTGGGATTAAAAACATGTTGGTATCACCAATGAGCAACCAAGTAAGTTAATAACCAAAAGAACTCTTTATAACTGAATTTCGGTTCAGAACGTGTTACGAAACAATTACAATTTGAAACAGTTTTGATACTGTTCAAAGCAAAGTATTTAACGAAAACTATCTCTTACTCTATAATCTAAAGTTCAGTTTAGATTTATCAGATGAATAAAGTAAGAACAATTCTACAATTTTACGAGACATTGAGAAGCTGGATTCGGCAAGTAGAGTATGGGAGAGGGTTCTGTGATTATGGGTGTTTTGGATCCACGATGCAGTTCGTCTCTCTTGCCTTGAGATCATTAAAAAAATTGAGTGTTTCACAAAGAACATGCGAAGAAGATTATGAGAAGGTAATGAAATAAAACAAATGTTACTGCATTAAAGAGATTTTTTTTATTCAGACAATGTTCCAGTTATGACGGAAGTGTATGTGTACGCCAGTTTGAATCTCTGCAAAAATAATGACATTAAATGATTTTACAGATTTTGTAAGTCAGTGTAATTGAAGGGAACTTAAAAAGTAAGAAAATAAAAAAAAAACAAGCGTAGCGAAATTGAATAAAAAATTAATTACAGTTTATAAACAAGAAATTTTCTAAATACATCAATTTATTGTGTGAAATTTTAATCACTAAATCAGCTAGATTTGCTTAAAAATAAATATATGCTTCTTAGAAGGAAAGGAAAGCAAAATGCTATTATGTACAACAAAATGAGGTAATTAAGTAAATCTATCTAAGAAATTGTCATTTTTTTGGGTAATTGCATAACATTATATAACACAAAACAAATTAATCCCTTTATGCTTAATAAAGCTGAGTGAAGAAAACCAAATCTGTTATTCTTGGTCGATGTCGAACTATAAAATGAAAATGCTTACCGAGGCAGCAACATCCAGCGTTAATGGGCCAAGAGGTCCAATCGACATTGTTAAGGGCCTCTGACATCTTAGAAGCATAGTGCGAATTAAAATTTTTGCTTCATTACTCTGATCATACCAGTTACTTTGGTATAAAGCATCCGCGAGATTTGAACTCTGAAATAGTTTGGTTCACACATTATGTCTGGAATTAGATTTGTAAACAACCTGAGTTAAGATTTCATCGGAATTCCACGCTAGCATAATTATTTGACCACTGGACATTATGATAAATGCACAGTTGAAAGCGACATCTATGCCCTACAATTTGAAAAAATTATGTTGTGTTGAAAATTTCTTTCAGATGCATTTAGCGTATTCAGAGCAACATCGCTGAAAAACAATATTTTTACTAAATGTATAAATTTTCAGAAATACGAATAACGCTGAATCTACATCTAGTTTTTGTTAATTTTGTAAATAAAAGAATATATAACCTTACCCTAATCTCTCAAGCGAATGAAGTATTTTTACGCATTTTTATTAATCTAAGACATATAGAGTCAGTTTCAGTCTACGAAAAAGTATTAGTTCAAAGCAACTATATCAAATCACTGCCATTGGAAAATACCCAAGTAAAGATGAATTCTTTAAATTCCTTTTCATTCAAATAAATTTTGTAAAGCATTAATAAAAAAAGAGACTTGCAGATGCATAGAGCTTGTAAGTACACTTCTTTTGGATTTTCCCCGCTTCAGGTATTGATTCTATCCCGCTTAAGTTTTGCCAAACATTCTGCCCTTCTTCGGAGTGCTGTACATTGTGCCAATTAATATTAATAAAGGTTCATTACCGCAAATGTTTGGAAGAGAGAAGTTGCAAGCATTATGGACGCAATACTGAATTCTAGTAGCAAGACGTACTTCAGGGACTCATTGAAACTTTCGACGTACCTAAAATAAATGTACAGCACAGATTGAAGAACGCACAATTATATACGTTATATTCACAGGTGTCCGGAAATAGGAAGCAAAAATTTTATATCAAATATAATCTTCTGTCATTGTGCATTTTGAATGTAGAGTTTTTATACCACTTTCACTAATTCGTCAGTTATCTACATTTTTTTCTTAAAACAATGTCAGTATACACTTAGTATGGAGGCCACCGGTATTTATTCGCGTAATTTATTTATATTTCACAGTGTGATTTCTTAAGTGTTTTATTGTACAATGTTATTATAAACACATGGTCTAAAAGGCTTCGTTTTCATTAATACAGGGCGTCCAAGTTTTATTTTGATTGTTGTTTTTTCTGCATAATTTCGAAAACAACGCATTTAGGACCACGTGCTGATAGAAACTTCTCATCTTCGAATCAAATTTTTCTTCTAAATATGAAATATCCATTAATGGGTTGGAAAAATTCTCTTCTTAAATTGGTTGACCAGCCCGAATTTGACATTAATGGGTTTCTTCTTTTGGAGGCACATAACATGCATAGAACTCCTTGTGATAATGTCGTCAAACTTCGGCAAACAAATACAGTGGCAATGAATCAGTTAATCAACAAAATGGTGGTCATACATCATCAAAATGTTGTCAAGATAAATTGAAAGCATTATTTATTCCTGATCATCAAGCCAAGCGTATCAAGAAGCAGTACATACATATTTATAAACGAAATATTGATTTTGGGGCCAATGACAAAAAAAAAAGTAAATTAAAAAATATATAGAATATATTTAAATTTTAATACAATTTAAATCAAAGAGTCTTTTGAAAAATTGGCCAACTTATTTGGAATGTCAACAAGGTATGAATTTTTCTGAATTTCTCAAATAACTATTGCTAAACATAGTGTTACTGTCACTCTAGAACCTATGGGGCAGAAAGACAGAGACAGTAAAGTTTTGGACGAAGCTTGATCTTTTACATTGTATTTACAATACTTACTGGATTATATCCTGGTGTCTTACGGACAAAGCCTTGAGGGATTTAAAACTTGCTTGTTCAGGACTTTCTTTGTGGAAATGGCTAAATTTATATTGAAGAGTTATGAGTTGAGCTCTTAGAAAAACCATAATGGAATTTATAAACGTATTGACAGCGGTACTCCATATCATTGTATACACTGCAGCCACGGTCTCATCTGCTACTGTCCAAAGGTAATATCTGTTTATGTCAAATGGATACCAGAAGTTAAGTATTATGGGCTTTTCTTCTGTACTATTTTCACTGTTCGGCGACGGCGGGGAAGTGTAGTATTTGAAGATAGCCACATATCCTAAAAGTGAATTATTGCAAGAACAATATGCAGTCGAATTTCCAGTTTTCATCTCTTTGCAACAATGATGATTAGTTTTTCTGTAATTTATTCAATTTTTTGTTGCTAGGTTGCGGTAGTACGCCATTTACGGGTAGCGACAAAATATTTAATGTGCACCTGTTTCAAAGGTTCTCACAAACATAACCGGGACAATGGAGACTATATAATTTAGGCGTTTAAAGTTAAGAAAAGGAATGAGATACTTATTTTAATATACGGAAATGGAATTGGAGAAAAACCAACCAGAAGGTTATATCACGAAACTTCGAACTCCCTTAATTCGCACCCCTGGAAAGAAAAACCATGTACGTGAATGTACCATGAGTTCAATTTATCTTGATAACATTTTAATTGGCTGTAACTTTTTTGTTTTTGGAGATATCAAGGTAAACAAACAAACAAAATGTAGACTTAGTAGCCAAGTGACAAATAAAACAAAACACTAAAAATTTACTGACATATAAGCCTACATCATTTTTTTTAATGGAACACTTATATAAGTGTTTCATAGAATATCTTATTCCGATTACAATGATGTAACACACTTTATATTTTAGACCACTCGTTTTCCACAAATCGGCAAAAATAATAAATGTTTATATAATTATTTACAATAATAATTATTTACAAATTAAAGTAGAACAAAAACACTGAAATGACAACACACACTAAAGTAAAAAATTTCTTAACTATTCGAAACACCACTGTTTCCTGAATACATTTCTCATACACTTTAATTTTATGACATCTTGCATTGATTGCCTCTGTAATCCTTTGCCGAAGTTCTACGACATTATTTCCAGGAGTTCTGTGTACGTGTTTTTTTATATGTCTCAAAAAAAAATCCATTAAAGTTAAGTCAGGGCCGTTGGCTGGCCAATCCCTAACCGTCTTGCTGCCGCATAATAAGCGCTGATAAATCTTGGGGTAAATCTTCTATATATTGTTCTATTTGGTGCTCTAAGAGTTGCAAATAATGATCTCCAGTTAAATTTTGACCTATAAGTATCGGACCCAAAATATGGCCATCTATGACACCACACCATACATTAATTGATTATTACACCTGTTTTTTTTTATTTCTTGTATTTGACTAGGATTATTTAAAGACCAATGTCGCGTATTTTATCTATTACAACCATTTCTTGTAGGTCCATAAAATGTTTTTCATTATGTCTATTTACAAAAACCAAACAAAACTGCGTCATCCTTTTTACATTATTCTGCACTTAGTTTTTGACTTTGACGAAATTTATTATTATATTTATATTCTTTCAAAAATGAGTTTCTTGATCTCGGAGAAATACCTGTCTCTTCATATAGTCTAGTAATAGAGGAAACTGGATGTGCCTTATAGAATCCTAATATGTTTGCGTTATTTTCTTCATATAAAACACTATGTTTCCGGCATATCTTTTTAGCATTTATTATATTATCGTTTTATGCGAATTCTTTTGCCAGCCTTGGAAATATCTGTTTTGAAGGAGCTCGGCGCTCTGGATAAAGTCTAATATACTGACGACGAGCTGCGGTTGCACTTTTATTATTCCGAAAGCATTTTAACGTTGTTACTAATATGTCAAACATAACATATATTTATTTGTCAGGAAGGGCACTCTTTGAAATTATATAAAAATTTTATATTTTTACCGATTTGTTAAAAACGAGTGGTCTAAAATAGGGTGATTCGTTAAAAATATATATATATATATATATATATATATATATATATATATATATATATATATATATATATATATATATATATATATATATATATATATATATATATATATATATATATATATATATATATATATATATATATATATATATATATATATAGGCTTATATTTCAGAAAATTGATAATGTTTTATTTTATACATCACTAACCAAAACTAACCCTACATTTTGTTTTTTTGTTTACGATGATATCTCTAAAAAACAAAAAAGTTTCAGTCAATTAAAATGTTATTAAGATAAATTGAAAGCATGGAAAATTTTGGTGATAGGCAAGTGTACGGCTTGCAGTGAATATAATAATAATAATAATAATTTCTGCATGCTGTTACAATTCAAAAGATTAAAAGTATTTGTGCAGTAAGTATAGCATCCACCTTTTGTTTAAATTTATCTCAATCCTAAGTATGCTTTTAGGCAAAGTTTGATATGCCTCGACCGCCGGATAATATGGACACCTGTTCAAAAAAAGGCTCCGAGTTTGAAAGTAAGAATGCTGGGGAGAACCACAGGCATATGAAATCCGAGACTGGATACAAGTAAAATGGATAGTTCTGTGCTCTCTATATGAAAAGCGACTCTTTAAGCCTTCGAATCCGTACACAAAAACCGTCAATAATCACTTCAATAAATTTAATATATTTGGCTTCTGGGATTGATTTGCCGTTCAACTTATATAGATATAGATCTGATCACACTTTACTTCCCATATTATAGTATATCACTCTGTCTTTTTTTATTTTATCAAGAACAAACTGAAACAAAAAAGAACTGATAAAAAAAGCAACAAACATAACTTTGCAATGATTGTCTATAAAGTCTATAATTTTTAACAGACCGCAGTTAAAATAAAGAAATATGTTATTTTAGACAGGCAACCGTGGTTTTGTCAATCTCTAACTGTACCAAGTTTTTGCAATTTTTATTGACGCTTACCTAACACCAAGACGTATCCCCCCGTGGAAACAATAGACACAACGATAAACAACGCCAACTTGTTGCAAAAATTTGTGTGCCTGGTGTAAGTTTTAAATCCTTTTGAATTTTGGTCACTGCAGATACGTTGTTCTTCTTCCAAAACTGCGGAAATCAGACGCACAATCTTTGTTGTTTGGCACATTCTTGCTTTTATCACCACAATTGACGAAAATATACCTTTGGAAATTGTATTCATTGCTATTAAGAAGAAATAATATAAGAGTTTTCGTACTATTTACAAATCTTCTCGATTCCTGTTGCGTCGGTTGATGATGAACTGAATTTGCTGACGTTTCGCCAATCGTCCTGCTGGCTTCTTCATACCTTAACTAAAATTATTTCCTAGTTGTCGAAACATCAGCAAGTTCAGGTCATGCAAATAGTATTGCAGTAACCTGGGGAAGTTTCGTATTTTAATTACTTTAAATTCACTGACGGGATTAATAAAAGAGTTGTGGTCAAATCGACAGAGACAAGAGTTAATTTTTTCGATAAAAGAAATAAATATATATAATCTGTCTGACAATTTTCACATGTGCTAGATAACTTGTTGATGGTGGTGGAAAAGAACACCAAAAACAACATTTTTTAGAATTGTTTTAATCATTGTTAATTAACTGACGTCTAACGTCTAAGTCGGAGAAAAAATAGAAATTGAAATAAATAACAAAATAAAGACGTAACATGCCAGGTTGGAAGTGGAGGTTTTTTCTACCTGCGTTCAGGTCCTTACGAATCAAAAAAGGAACATTAGCAAACAGCAGTACAGGTGTTATAATGCATTGGGTGTGGACCAGCACTGAATAAATCCCATACAATGTCGAGGAAGTATTACTTTTTAGTTTCCAAATACCACCAAGCATCAGCATCAACTTTGCGCCATCGAAAAGACGATTCTTCACAGACATTTTCGAAGCGTGCAAAAGGCTCTGGAAGTGGTTATACCTTATGCTCTCTATATAACTTTTTCTTGTATCGATTTATCATTGAGCAATGGCGTAGGAGAATAATAAGATTTAAAAAAAAAAAAATGTTTTAATTTCAAGGAAAGGTATGTGTTCAACGTGTTACATTAAGGAAAATAATTTAGGTGGATTTGGTTTGAAGATTATGAATATTACATCTCAGGTAAAACGAAGAGTATAGTTATTAAACCTACACTCATTAAAATGGACATTTTAGCGTTTTCAAATTTAAAATTATTAAAGTGGACGCATATGGTGTGTTGTTTATATTTTGGTCAGATCTATGAACTCACATTAAGAGCTCTTTTATTAGGATAATTAAATAGGCATTTAAAAATCAAAACTGGCAAAAATTTAACATCTAACTGTTAATTTTGATGTTTTGTTGGAAGTGTAATTCTACATCTAAAAACCCTGATGAGGTTATCAGATTTAAAATTTCGTAGTTGGACGCTTATGGTTTCCTGTTGGTATTTATAAATTACCTTCGCGCCCACAAAGTAACCAACTCCACAATAGGAGCCCTTTCATTTAAATAATTGCATATCTAGAGAACAACGCTGGCAAACATCTATTATGGAAAATATTGCGAATATCAATACCTCCCTACAGTTTCATTGCGGTTGAGGGATTTTAAATATTTACAGCACATCTATCTCTTTTATGTTTACTCGTAAGCAAAGTTAGAAACAAAAGTTAGGGTAAGTAAATTCACTAACTCAATTACTATTTTGTTGGATAATAATTAATTTATGTTTCGATCTAATTTAATTTGAATTATTGATTTTTTCTCGTTTTTATGAAATCACTAGCATGAGATTGACGTTGATAGGAATCAATTAAATCATGTCGATTAAGAAAAACTGTTCCACTCAATCTGTTGCACCCAATCAGGTAACTGAAAATTTCTTTTTCATCTCTGTTTTTATTCTGTTATGTTTTTAAAGCTTTGTATAATACGATTTAGACCCACCGTCGCTATGCAATATTTTGGAGTGAAAAAAACAACTTTTACTTATTCTTAAAATATCATTTTGGGAACGTGTGTTTTTATTAGTTTAATTTTAGTATCTTAGTATCGAATAAGACCTCGAGCATGGCATCTTACAATATCCAAGGATTACACAATTGTTAGTTTTTAAATTTCGGAACCCATAGGGTTTAGATCACAAATGTTTAGATAAGTTATACTTTCTGAAGAATTCATTACTTATTGGTGTTCATAAACCTGCTAGTCAAGATTTAGAGGAGGACTTGAAAACTGAGTATCTTTAAGGAGTGAATATAATTGTAGCTACAGAATCCAGAAATTATCCTTTTTTTGTAGGATGTGAAGGAACTTGGTGTCGGTAAGTATGAGAGTGCTCTGTTCCAAATAGTACTTTGGATCAACCATGTCATCGGCATTTCAATTTACAAGGCTATTTATTGGCAGATAGCACCTACAAAAGGGAACGAAAAGGATTAATCTTCTTCTTCTTTAAGTGCCGTCTTCGTTGCGAAGGTTGGCAATCATCAGTGCTATTCGTATTCGTGACACAGCCGACCGAAATAGTTGGTTTGTGGTGCACCCGAACCAGTCACGTAAGTTTCTCATCCATGAGTGACGCCTTCTTCCTACACTTCTCTTTACTTGAATTTTTCCTTGTAATATCAGTTGGAGTAGTTGGTACTTTTCTCCTCTCATGACGTGTCCAAGGTACTGAAGTTTACGCTTTTTTACCGTAATGATAATTTCTTTTTCGTTTTTTATTCTTTTCAGGATTTCCATGTTGGTCACTTTATCGGTCCATTTTACCTTAAGTATTCTACGGTACAACCACATTTCGAACGCCTCCAGTTTCCTTATGTCCAGTTTCTTCAGAGTCCAAGCCCCTACACCATAGTACAGTACCGACAAAACATAGCATCGCACCATTCTGATTTTTAAATCCAAGCTGAGATCGCTGCCACAGAGCACTCTTTTCATTTTCACAAATGTTGTTCTCGCCTGTCCTATTCTAGTTTTGATTTCTTCAGAGCAGTCGTTATTTTTATTTACAATTGTACCTAAGTATTTGTAACTGTCAACTTTTTCTATGGAGTGGTTATTTATATGAATTTGTGAATTGTTTTGTGCTGTTTTTGATATTATCATAAATTTTGTCTTTTTTTCGTTTAGTGACAGTCCGAACTCTTCACTCGATGTATTAACTTTGTCTACTGCAATCTGTAATTCGTTTAGGTTGGTAGCTATCAGGATCGTATCATCCGCATATCTTATATTGTTGATAGGCACTCCGTTAATTTTTAGTCCTTTCGTTTCATCGTCCAATGCTCGTTTCATTATTTCCTCTGAGTAAAGGTTAAATAACATCGGTGATAGCACGCATCCATGCCTAACGCCTCGACGGATTTCTATTTCTTCGGTGTTATTCGCTTCTATTTTTACCACTGCTTTTTGATTAAAATAAAGATTCGTAATAATTTTTATATCTCTGGTGTCTAAGTTCTTCTCTTTCAGAAACTGGATAAGTTGTTCGTGTCGGACCCTATCGAAGGCTTTGTTGTAATCAATGAAACATATATAAAGATCCTGATCCACATCCATACATCGTTGGGCGAGAACGTTCAAGGCAAATATTGCTTCTTTTGTGTCTAAGCCACATCGGAAACCGAATTGAGTCTCGCTGATATCTTGTTCTAATGTTTTGTATATCCTGTGATGTATCAGTTTCAGAAATATTTTTAGCGTATGACTCATTAGACTGATTGTTCGAAAGTCTGTGCATTGCCTTGCATTATGTTTTTTGGGATAGTGACGAACGCTGATAGCAACCATTCCCTGGGTATAATACCTGTTTTGTATATGGTGTCGAACAGATCTGTTAGACTGTGTATGTTTTCCTCTTCTATCAATTTGAGAATTTCAGAGGGTAACTCATCAGGCCCTGCAGCTTTTCCATCTTTTGTGATTTTTATAGCATGGATGACCTCTTCTTTAGTTATTTCCGGTCCACTGTTTTCTTGTTCTGTTACTATTCTGTTTATATCTCTCTCATCATCGAATAATTCTGTTATGTAATTCTTTCATGTTCTTAGTTTTTCTTCCATTGCCATAATAATTTTGCCATTCTGGTCAGTGAGTATTGACGGTTGTCTTTTTTTATGTAACCCTGCCAGTTCTTTTACTTTCTTATGGACATTGAAGCTGTCGTGCTTTTCTTGAAGGGCTTCTATTTCGTCGCATTTTCTTTTGTAGGATACCTCTTTTGCTTCTCTTATCTGTGATCGGATTTCTTTCTGAATATTCTTATATGCTTCGTTGTTGTCTTTTACACCCCGTCGTTCGTTCATCAAATTCAAAATTTCTGGAGTCATCCATTCCTGTTTTTTCCCTATTTTCTATTTTGTCAGAATGGTCTTGCTCGGCTCAATTAGTGCATTTTTTAAATCTTTCCATTGTTTGTCCGTGTCTTCTTCCGCTGTTATTTGATTGTTTTTGAGGGTTCTGAGGTTGTCATTGATCTTATTTTGTAGCCTTTGTCTTGTTTCTTGGATTTTTAGACCCGATACATCTATACAATTTGTTGTTGGTATTACTCGTTGTTTTTTAAGTGTTATTAAAAACCGGGCTATTAGTGGATTATGGTCCGATGACACATCTGCCCCTGGGTAGGTTTTAACTGATTTGATTACATTCCTATATCTGTGGTCTATCAAGATATAGTCAATTTGGATTGATAAACAGTACTACACCCAGATTCAATTCGACGGGGTTGTTGTTATTTTTTTCATTCAGTATCTCTACAGGCGATCGACATAATCTATTGAAGGCATAATTTATAGCAGTGTATTTACCGCGTTTTGGGTGTTGGAAAAACTGTGTAGGATAATAGCTATGTAGAAAAAATAGTATATTATGCAACAAGTGCGGTAAACCGCATTTGAGTCACGAGTTTATTTGGCACGAGAGCAGCGCAGCGGAGCGAGTGCTTAATAAACGAGTGACCTAAATGACCGATACTTTTTTTATTACCGTTAGTTTTTCAAAAATTGACAAACGTCAAAATTCAAGGCGTGAGAAATATCTCCGAAAACATGCGATTGCTCCCAAATCCGTGCGGTAAAATCCCGGAAATGTCCGAAGTGACTCGGATTCATGGGAAACGAAACTGACGTGGTCAAGTGACGCTTTCCGCACGCTAGATCGGTGGGTAATTAGGTATTTTACAGACGGGAGAAGAAAAACGGAATTTGACTCACGAGTTTATTTGACACGAGCGGAGCGAGAGTTTAATAAACGAGTGACATAAAAAGTTTACCGAACGTGTTGCATACTATACTTTTTCTACAACCGTTAGTTTTTGGGTACATTTTCGCAAAACAACAGGAATACATTCACTGACATGACGGTCAGAAATTCAAGGCGTGGGAAATATCTCGGAAAATATCCGATTGCTCCCAAACCTGTGCGGTAAAATCCCGGAAATGTCCGAAGTGGCTCGGATCCGTGGGAAACGGACTGACGTGGTAAAGTGACGCTTCCCGCAGGCGAGATTTGGTGTGTGATTAGGTATTTTACAGATGGGAGTAGAAAAAAATCTTTACTTTCGATTGTGTTCAATTTTTGCTCTCTCTAAAAATGTGAAATAATCGCAGCAAAAAACGGCGCGGGGTAATTTTTCTCTTCCCTGCGAGATACTTAAAGGTATTGTATAACAATGTTATGTGGAATTTATTGTTATATGTATTTGGGTTTCCGCTGCGAAGCGCCGTGAGCTTACCTTTTTGGTTTTTATTTGAGCGAAACCTAACCAGCACCAACAGGTGTCAGATGGTGGTTTACGATAACTGTTGGTCAGACATAGCTTAGGTTCAAGTGAGAGTCCTTCGGGGCTCGGCCCCTTTTATACAGAATATACAGTTTTCATTTGCACTGTATATTTATAAAAATAGAATTATAACCTCTGATATCAGCTCCATTATCATAAGCATATTCAAAGATGGCAAATTTGCGTGGAAGCTTGGACGAATCTTTCGACGGCCTAAACTGGATAAATAACTAATCACAAACACTATTCAATTAACGAGTAGATAGTACAAAGCTGACACACAATCAAGAAACCAAATGTGTGTCAGAGCCTGTTTGTGTGGGGAGTGACGTCACGACTAATGAGCGTTGAGTGTTCCTATCAAATCCGTTTAACACATTTAAATTAGAACAAAAAATGTTCACATTTTTACAGTTATTTACTGGCGTATGACAGCTCGATCGCGCTCAGAAAACATATATATATATATATATATATATATATATATATATATATATATATATATATATATATATATATATATATATATATATATATATATATATATATATATATATATATATATATATATATATATATATATGTCATATTTTCAATTTGATAAAGGCACGGTGTCCAACATTTTTTGGTTCTAATTTAATTAAAAATATACGGCAAATACAAAGTAATGCAGTGGAACGCATTCATTTAAAAATATGAAGAAATATCCGATACGAATGTCTTTTTAAAAACAATAAAAGTAACTTGGTAATATACTTATTCCGTTAGACACTTTAGGGACACTGATTTTTTATTTGTTAAGGCATGAATTTCGTTTTGTAAATTAATCTTGTTGAGATTTTATGAAATGTGCTTATGGGTTTGGGGATGCGATGTAATGAAACAAAAATGGAAATGCTTTGTAGATAGTTTATTCTGAAAAAGTTCCGGTTATGACTGAAGCGTACGTGTATGCTAATTTGAACCTCTGGAAAAAAAGTACTGTTAAGAGAATTTCAAAGAATTTAATGAAATATGTTGATCCATGAGAAATTAGTATAATACTATATATATATATATATATATATATATATATATATATATATATATATATATATATATATATATATATATATATATATATATATATATATATATATATATATATATATATATATATATATATATATATATATATATATATATATATATATACGTATGTAAGTAAGTAGGCGTTTTTATATATAAGTTTCAGAGTTACGTATGAATGGAAACCATATTGTACAGTGTTAAATAGAGAATAATTACAAAAATGAAGTCGTGGTGAGAGTCTAAAGGTAACTAATTATAATAAAACCACGTAAAGCTTATTATTTTTTCTGTCAAAATAGTATACAAATACTACTACTACAGAGCAAGACGAAAAATGTGATATTTTTGTTGCCAGATCTACTACAAACCAATGCTAATTTTGGAATTTCAAATGGAACAGAAACACGATTCTTTTTTGACTTGGGCAAAGCATGAATGTAAGCCATTTCTTAATACGGCAGCTATAGTTTATTATTCGAATAGACCAATATGTTAACACTATTTTCCAAATACAAGTGAATTATAAATATTTGTTACATTTAAAATTCCATTGGCATTGTAACGCATGGGCAATAAGAGTTTCCACATTACAATCTGAAAATTTTTTGAAAAGCCACAAAACATAAACAAAATTAGTCATGGAGCAATATACGACTGAACAACGTGTAAAAGTTATGAAAATGGTCAATCAAGAAAAAATGCATTTCAGGATCTACGTGAATTTTCCGGCGCTCAAAATCGACCTTCTGAGAGTACAATTTGGAATATGGTTCAAAAATTTCAGCAAACTGGTTCTGTAACTAACCTCAAAGTCGCTCAACGCGCTTGTGCAGGTTGGTCAGATCAAAATATTGCCATTGTTCACGAAAGTGTAGCCGAAGATCCAAACACATCGATTCGTCATCGATCGCAGCAAGTGGGTATTCAACCACAAAGCGAATTTTAACAAAAGACTTGCATCTACATCCATATAAAGTTCAAATAACTCAGGAATGGCCGAATTTTTTTCTTTTTTCCACATACTATTTCATATACCACTTGCCACAGAAAATTTTGAAAAATAATTAAATATTATAAATTAGCTTTTAGCAATGGTTGTGACCCCTCTCTGATAGATAAGATTATAACTAAAAAAACAGTTTCAACTAACTTTATAACTAACTCTATCCATCCCACATTAAACATGGAAGCCAAAATATATAAAATAATAAAATACATAGGAGAACCTAGCAAGAATTTGGTGTGAAGATTGTTTTTAAAACTGAAAACACCATGCGAAAATCAAAATAAAAAACAATAAAACTAAACCACGAATAACTAAAAAATCGGGAGTCTACAAATTGAAATGTGGATATGTCCCAAAATTAACAAGATTAACAAAATAAGATATTCGAACATATTGCTTCATTAAATTTAAATTTATAATCCTACAAAGGTAATTAAGAATCTATAACTACTTATTTAGATGTCTGAATATTGTCATATTTTGAATTTGATAAAGGGACGGTGTCCAATAATAAGTGGGCCTTACGTATTCAACCACAAAGCGAATTTTAACAAAAGACTTGCATCTACACCCATATAAAGTTCAATTAACTCAGGAGTTGAAACCTCGAGATCATCAACAGCGCCTCGTGTTTGCAGAATGGATACGAGAATCATCTTTAGCAATGAGGCACATTTTCACGTTGGTGGCTTTGTAAACAAACACAATGCTCGTATTTGGGAATTAGAAAATCCAAGAGAGATTCTTCATTTTGGTGCGGAGGAATAATTGGCCCTTTTTTTTTCTCGAGGATAATGCGGAGAACGCTGTTAAGGTTAATGGTGTTCGCTATCGAAACATGATATCTGATTTTTTCTGGGAGCAGTTGGAAGGTATGGACATTGAAGATTTGTGGTTCCAACAGGATGGAGCCCCGTGTCACACATCCAGAGAAACGATGCAATTGCTGCGGGGCAAGTTTCCTGGTCGGATTATCTCACGTAACGGCGATATCAATTGGCCGCCGCGATCATGTGATCTTACTTCCCTAGATTTTTTTAGGGGGTATCTAAAAAGCAGAGTGTATAGAAATAAACCAAACACTATTCCAGAGCTGAAACAGGAGATTACACACCAAATAGCCGGCATAGAACCTGAATTGTGCCAAAAAGTGATACGAAGTTTCAATAAACGAATTACGTCATGCCACATGAGTCGCGGGTGTCATTTGAATGACATCATATTTCGTACCTAATTGCAATACACTAATCTCAAATGGCAAATAAAAATGTTTGTATATTTTTATATTCTTCCGAGTTTTTTTTATTTTAATGTGGAAACCCTTATTGAATTACCCTTTATATCAAGGAAGGTGCGATACGCAATCTAGAAGTCTTAATATGGGTCATCCTGACCATGTACTCCAATCAAACCCTCCTCGAATCAATGCAAATGATGGTTAGAGTTTATAAATTCGAATTCCAACTGAAAATTGAATAGACTTACCGATGCAGCAACATCTACCGTTAATGGACCAAGAGGACCAATGGATAATGTTAGGGGCTTCTGACACCTTAAGAGCATAGTGTGAATTAAAATTTTTGTTTCTCTAATCTGCTCATACCAACTACTTTCGTATAATGCGTCAGCTAATTTCAAACTCTAAAAAGGGGTGGCTAATAAACTGACTGGAATAAGATATTTCTAAAATACCTGAGTTAAGATTTCATCCGAATTCCATGCCAATATAATTATTTGACTGCTAGACATTATAATAAATGCACAGTTGAAAGCTACATCTCGCCCCTGAAATTAGAAAAAAAGGTACAGTGTGTATTTAAAACCACACAGCTAAACGGAAACCTCCAACCACGAGGGGTCATGCCACTCTAGTTTGTAGTAATGAACGTTACATATTACCTTGATGCCTTACTCAATATCCACAAAATTAAGTGCTATTTAGAAAAATACGTTCGTCCCAGTTCTGTCCTGGTCCAAAAAGTTGTCGAATAATGTAACCTGTCTGGTTGATTCTTCCAAATTAGTCTGTGACTCTGCCAGTGATGCCTGCAGCATACCTACTTTGATCTAATTTTAGACTCTAATTTACAGTGTTTTCCATTTTTGATGGTCCTACGGCATATCTCCGTTATTACTGAAACTAGCGTGTTGCAGCTTTCGTGGCCCAAGGCTACTTTTCCAAGAAATGAAAGGTGGTATAAGCAGAAGCTATCTTGTATTTTTAGGTCAGGGTAATTTTTAAAATTTTGAAGTTTTGCATTTTTGCGGTTTTATTCTAAAATTAATAATTTTTGATATACAAACTAAACTTCTGTATTTTAGTGAAATATGGGATATGTGTGTATTTTATTGGGTTTGCTAAGACATCTGAGATCACATTTCATGATTTCATGATGGCTAGGCATCCCTCTAACCTCGTGTTAGTAGTAAAGAAACTTTTAGTTCTCTTCCCACCAAGTTATTTGATATTGAGGGGTTGATGTGCTTTATTCGGTCTATTCTTTTCCTTAGTTGTGGTGAAGTTGTGGCAATATTTTTAATGTGGCCCGAACTTAAATCTTTTCGAATCTTGACTGCTTCGGAGTAGTCATCTCCTCTTAGTATACAAGTCTTTCTTTTACTTTTGCTCCCATATATGTTTCAATCCTTTAAAAGTGATTGCTTTGGTTCAGGTTTCTTTGAGGTGTAGCGGCTCTTCGATGTCAATAAGTGAGCTGGGTGATCTCTTACCGAAGTAATGGTATTTCTAGTTACAAGTTATCAGTACTGATTGACACGGAGAGTACGCATGGATTCTATTTTTAATGAAGGAGATATTTATGTGGCAAATTAATGAAGACATCCACTTCTTTCGTGTGGCCAATTGACGGATTCTTTAGGAAAATATATACTTTGCTCACTTGTACTAAAAATCGCAATTTTTGTTATTTATATCATTAAAATCGATTTTAAAGTAATAAAATGCGCTATTCATGAGAGGCTAAAGTGTGTAATGTTTTTCTTCTAATGCTAACGATCATCGAGAACCTTTATCGGTTTAGTGTCGCATACGTTGAATTTATTAAAAATCATTACCGCAAATGTTTGGAAGAGTGCGGTTGCCAGCATTACCGATGCAATAGTGAACTCTAGTAACAGGACATACTTCAAAGACTCGTTGAATCTTTCGACGTACCTAAAATATATTATTATTACAGTTTATAATGAAGCGAGCATATTTTAAAACTAAAGACGATACCAAACAACAAACATTTTTTAAATTCAGGTCTTTACAATGATTTGCCATCGAACTTGAATGTATAGAAATCGCGGAATTTTAAGGTAAAATTACTTATCAATAAGTAAATATCCTATTGTACTTCTTACGTTAGATAATGACTTGATAATGTTTAAGAATTAGAAAAATTTTTCTTAATATGTCTCTTCCTTTCACTGTTTCTAAGGTAAGGTGGAAAAATAGACCTGTTACTGCATGCTTAAAATTCAATTTTCAATATCTTAGACCTTGGAAACGTTTATTTTTACGTTCGTTATATTACTGTATTATAACCTGAACCATGTGTACCACTTTTTGCTACTCTTATAATAACTGGCTTATTTTGAAATATTAAAAAAATATATCATAATGGGTTTTGATTTTCCATAAATGATTGCACTGTTTCAACAGGACAACACATTTTCTATCTTTTAAAATAAACTCGTAAAAAACGAAAATTTCAATCGGGATATTTCAATCTTTCCGTACCAATAATAACTTTCAATAGTAGGATTTGAATTGGAACATCCTATGTATAATAAATATAAGGAAAAGCTGCTCAGGGTAATTGTTCTAGCAGTAGCGAAGACGTTAGTTCACTTCAAGTCCAAATGGGGCAAAGTCGATTTTAACCGTCCGAAGCGAAGCGAATGGTTATATGATCTTTTCATAAAGATGCCCGTCTAATGTAGTTACAGAAAGATGAAAGCTACGATATCGTTTTTAATTGTTACAGTCAATCAAGAATAATCGAAAATACTAATGTATTTTGCATACTACTTTTCAGTATATCAAATATTTCTCTGATGCGAAGAGATGGTGAATTTTATATGAATATTGGATATTGTTTCTGTGCGACCGGAATACTTACTGGATTATATGCTGATGTCTAACGGACAAAGTCTTGAGGGATTCAAAAGGGGTTTCTCGTAAATTTGAACCTTGATGAAAATGTATAAAATTATGTTGAAGCGTTATGAGTTGAGCTCTCAGGAAAATCATAATGGAGTTGATGAAAATATTGACAGCCGCACTCCATATCATAGCATATACCGAAGCCAAAGTCTCATCTACCACTGTCCAAATGTAATATTCATGTAAGTTAAATGGGTACCAAAAGTTAAGTATTGTTGGCTTTTCTATAGTAACATTCCCATGATTCGCAAGCTGGGAGGAGGCGTAGTATTTGAAGATTTGAACGTATCCTAAAAAACATTATCCCAACAAAAATGAGTATAATATACGACTTTTTAAACTAAAAACTTATACAGCGTATTAGGAGTGCTATAAATGGTATTTTAAAAAAATATATTTTCAAAATAAGTTTTAGGTTAGGTAACTACTTTACGTGAAAGCAAAAATATTTCGAGTTCAATAACACGCATGAAAAAGCAAAAACCTTGAAGAATGACCAAGTCCCGTTACTTTGAAAAATAAATCTAAAGACGAATAAACGTTGTTTGTAATAAAAAATTCTGAGAAAATAGAAGATCGAAAAAATGAGATTAAAGTTTATTAGCTTGTTGTTTATAAGTTAAAATTTTGAAATCAAACGCTCTATATTATGAAATCTAAATAATTGGCTAATAAATTTTCAAAAAACGAATTTCGTCAAAATAACTAGTTTTCCACGAAAACAGTTGATAAATTAAGCTATGTCTATTAACAATTTCATTAAGGGTTAGTTTTTAACTTGAGTGAAATACATTTAGACATTTGCGCTGAATAGAGAAGTGGCGTAATTTGTTATATTTTCAAATATGATAAAAATATCTATGTTTGCTTTGTGTATAAAAACATTACTACATTGTCATATTATGACAATAAAAAGATTGTTTTTAGAAAGATCCTTAATATAATATATAACACTAAATTAATTGGTCATATAATGAAAATAAAAAACTAATTCTTTAAAAGAAGAACATGCTAGAACCAATAAACATTTTCTCATATTTGTACTCGTCTGGCTTTTTCACAGTTTTTAGGTCGACCACATTAATATTGCTACAAATATCTTATTATTATGGAATACTTTTTAAAAGGCATTGCATATATAGTTCATTCTTAAAGGTAGTATTGAATAACCTTGCGCTTACCTAATACCAAAACATATCCACCGGCGGTAGAAATAGAGATTACGAGAAAAAACGCTAATTTGTTGCAAAAGCCTGCGTGCTTTGTGTAAATTTTTAATTCCTGTGACATTTTGTTACAGTATATACGTTGTTCTTCCTTTAGAACTGCCGAAATCAAATGTACTATAGTGGTAGTTTGACACATTCTCGCTTTTAACACCACAATTGACGAAAATATTGCCTTCGAAATTGTATCCATTGCTGTTAAGGAGAAATAAAACATGGAAGGTGGTCATTTGAAACAATTCAATTTATTGTTTTGTTGTATTTTAGTCGGCTTATTGTGAGCCAAAAAACTAATAAGTACTGCTAACGGAACTAAGTAATTATGCTGCGTTACTATGGGTCTTGAGAAGTAAAGTAAAAGTAAGATATTATATAAGATCTATGGAACCTGGCTCCAATGAGAATTTTCTACCTAGACTGTGCAAATAGATTAGGGGTTGTTGCGACGCTTAAACCACCCGGAAAAACTAATTACAAATTAGATAGAGATCACAAAAAAAAACCAAAAGGACTTAACTAGTGTGGTATGCGAATTTTGGCATTTAAAAAATGATTTAAATTTTTTAAAAACATCTTGCAAATATCGAGATTCTCAAGAAGATTTAAAATAACCTCTATCTTATAAAGGCATTAATCAAAAAGTTTTGCATCTCAAGTTAACAGATTGTACCGTTTCAGCCGAAAACAATTCATCAGAAATGTATTTTTCAACAGTTTATTTGCTTTGTATTAGTGAAAGAAACATTGATTTTATCAACTCTAATTTCCAAAAAGAATAGAAAATGAGCGAATTAGGAAATTGAATAAAAAATATATTTATGAATTCAGATTAACATGATTTGTATTACTATATTTATATAAATAGATAACAAGAGAATATAAGTATAAATAAATTTGAATTTAGTTTCTAAATATTGAAAAGAAATATATTATTCAATAATTACGAAACTAAACCGAAACTATAGCAAACTCAATGTCAATAGCGAAGAAAGTAAAATAAAAAAAATACAAATTAATATTGTTACCTGTGTGCAGGTCCTTATGAATCAACAATGGAACATTAATGAATAACAAAACAGGTGTTATCATGCATTGCATTTGGATAAGCACCGAATAAATACCATACAACTTACTGGCGCATGTCCCGCAATTGTTATTTTTTAGTTTCCAAATACCTCCCAACATCATTATAAACTTTGCTCTTTCGAAAAGGCCATTTTCTACAGACATTTTACTTGGAAGCAACAGACTCTGCAACTGCGCTTCTTCAATTGTCAACCGCCTATGCAACTATTTCTTATATCGATTCAACTTTGCCCAGTGGCGTGGCAGAATTATTACATATTTTTGTTGGTGGTATTTTTAGTCGACACGAAAGGAAAAATAGTTAAAGGATAGCTAATTATTTATAAAAATGTGTAAGGTTAGAAGTAGCTAGTTTAATGAGATCGAGATTTTAACACGGATACTAATTTACGAGATTCTAAACCCAGATTGGTTATTTGCTCCATCATGCATCCGAATTCTCCATGTAAAAGACCAAGACTAAAATTATTACTGAAAAAAGCGCCAAAATATACATATATGGTTCTTGAAGTTCGACGCTTATGGTTTGCTGTGGTACTTTAAATTCTATTCGTGTTTAACACACACATACAGAGCCCTTTCATTTCAATAATTATAGGTATATCTACCGAACAGCATCTATTATGGAAAATATTATGGAAAATATTGCGAATATCAATATCTCCCAATGATTGTCGTTACGGTTTTGTGGTTTATAATATTAGCAACGCATTTTTGCTACGTTTGATTGAAACGTAGCGAAGGGTAGGAAAGTTTGCTTAAAATGAGATAACTGACGAAAATTTTAAGCATAAAAAATAGGACAGGACCGAAAATATAAAAACCAGCTGTATGTTGTTTATACGATTCGCACCAAAATTAATCTGCAATGGAAGATTTTTCAACTACCAAATTGTATGAAGAGCTTCTTCATATCATTCACATCACGGAGGAAAATCAGAACATTATTGATATATTGAATCAATAAACTGAAGGACTGGATGTTTTGGAGCAGCGCTATATAAAAACTGAACAAAAGCACATTGAGTATGTAAGAAAATTTTCAAAGATCATTATGAAATGCAGCTTAAGGATATCGATAACATTTATTTTGCCAATAATAAACACAATAAAAATCAGTCTATAAATATAAATATTTAATTCACCACATTTTTAAAGAAAAAATCAATTCTAAAGTAGTGAAGCATCTGCTCGGCGCTATTGCTCCAGCAAGTTCGAGCAATGGACCTATTGACCTTTTGACATATATATAAATTATCTTTTGTTCTCTTGAGGCTCTTAACCTTTTTTAAATTATTATTCTTAATTTGTTTAAAAATTCTATTGTATCTTATATTTTGTGTATAAAAATCATCATTCCATGAAATGGAATCTTTTCTCTTAAAAGTTCGATATGGTGATCGAGTTTACGTTCTTTCCCTTAAATTCGGTAAACTGACGTACATTGAAAAATTGAACACTATAAATATAATTGATTTTTTTTTAAAGTTACTTAAATAAATTCACAGGTTGTTTCAACCAGTGAATTTAAATATAGTTTGTTGAAATTTAAAAACTCTAAGACAATTTTATCCTTATTTCAAGAATGCAATTCCTATTTCACAAAACGTGGTTTACGGTCTTAAGTGTGAATGTGACAGGGCTGTAGAGATGAAAGGATTACTGTACATAAAAGTGAGGCTCAGTATTCACGCCAATATTACCGAACACCGGATTTTTGACAATGATGTCGTTTTTGACACCAAACAAAACATTTTTAAGACAATTAAAATTTTTGGAAATTTATTTTGATCAATTCATGTAACAATTGCATCAACCATAAAAAAAATGGCGAAAGTCTGGGTAGTATTGAACCAAAATTTCATTAAAAAAACCAATATCCCTGATTATTTCATTACACGTTGTGTGTAGTGTTGTTGACTTGTCCTATCCTTTAGTAACTATACTATATATATATATATATATATATATATATATATATATATATATATATATATATATATATATATATATATATATATATATATATATATATATATATATATATATATATATATATATATATATATATATATATATATATATATATATATATATATATATTTATATATATAAACTATAGGTTTTGTGTGTGCATGTATGTATTATGATGTGTGTATATATGTATATATGTATGTATACTTATATAATAAATTCTTTTGGATTAATCCTTGTATACTATGTCTTACTTTTTGGTATGTTTTATCATTTTTCCTTGGTGTGTAAAGCCGATGATTCTCTGGTCCCGTGCTTGTCTTATATGCGTGCCTCAACCATTGGTTGGTTGTCACTCGCTCTGTGATGAGTACATTATTATAAGATCCCGGCATAATTTGTGTAATTATAGTCTTTATTGTGATATTTTAAATTATTGCACAAGATTTAGACAAAATTGATGCAAATTAATATAGTTACAGATCTCAAACGGCGAAGTCTAGCTTAAGATCTGGATCTCAGCTACTCAACATTAATCGAATATTTCAACAATAATGAAACAACAAGCCACAATAATTATAAGAGTCTGAAAATTCGTTATTGGTAAAATACTAATTTATTTAGGACGCTGACTTTTGTAATTCCAATAAATGGACCTTAAATTTTTTCCTTAATACTATTTATTATAAAGCTATATCACTATAGCTAAAGCAGCATTAAAATTTAGAAGAATTATGCTGGGGCATATTCAAAATGTTTTTCGTCCTCTGAGGAGCATTGTGAATTTCATACCAAAACACTAGAAAATTTTGCAGGTACGTTGGTAATGAATATTTCGTGTCGTTAAATACAACAATTGCGAGTAAAAATTGAAACAGTTATTTAATTTTGAGCCATTTCATCGCAAATATAACGTATCGGGCATAGCTGTTCTGAACTTTTTGTAATCTGGATTTATCAGCAACGCTTAAGAATGGATAGTTTAATGAAAGACAATATATAACTTTAGAAATGACACACCCCTCAGAGAGTTTTTTTCGTACAATGCAACTTATTTTTATTTCAGGGGGAGCAAATAGCATAATTTTTTTTGTTTTTTTTTTAGAATTCAGCTTAAGATTGTGTTTTTTTGCTACACTTTTACTTTACTTAAAAAAATTAGCTTCGACGTTATCATACGAGTACATAGCTGAGTTAAAGGTGTGCAACAGCTGGGTGTGCAAGAGATACAACAGAGTTCCAAGAACCGACATTCGTTATAACGAACTGTTGTCTATTATTTAAATACTACTAAATAAAAGATAGAGATCGATCAACAACAGCAACTTGTGTAATGCTTCGTAATATGCGTATTAATGTGATATATATGTGATGACTGCCACGTTTTCGTTGAATGTATTAATTTCTGTGTTGGAAGCGTTCCTCGAATTCATAGGATTTATACCATTATTATTTTTTGTGAGTTTATTTTTGAATAATCTTTTTCTGATTTTGTGGAATCTTTTCTCATAATTTCAGTTTTGCTGATGAAGCCCATATTGATAGGCGAAAGCTTGCAGGATTGAATGAAATCTATCATATATTCGAAAATTCCATAACTTATTTACTTACTTCACATGTAATGAATTTTGCTTTTTGTTATACGTAAATGTTCCCAGAGGAAATTATTTTTCAAAGTTGTTCCTTAAATTATTGTCTTTTATCCTCGAATAACTATTTACTTCGGATCATTAATCCCCATTACCGTTAGTTGTGCACGTTTCTATGCCGCGATGGTTTATCGCCATAATATCATTACCAATATTTATGGGGGTTTATAGTGACATTCTCTGAAAATATATTGCTAATCTTTCGTTACATTGTTATTTATTATTTGCAATAGCGTGCGACATCACCCTGATATTGCCTGCATATTATTTTTATGATTCAGAGATAAGTAAAAAATTACCGGAACGCCTAGTTATAAACATCGCCCATAGATTTTGCATAAAATCAATCAATTTAATAAGAATAAAAAACGTGTATGGAATCAGTTTCGAGAAATAGATTTTAGTTTGTAAAAAAAGTCAATAAGGAGTAAAAACAGTTTTACCAAATCAAGTTTATTACTAAAATAAATAAAAATTATAACAATTTTTTCAATAATAAAATAACAAAAAGTGCAGATAATAATATTTTGTCTGAAAATGACAATTTAACAGTAACAGTCAGTTATTATCAGTACTGATACCTTTAGCAGCCATGTAAGCACGAATTCGAGGAGGCATGCTATGTATCAAGTTGATAATTTCTTATTGGGGAACATTTGCCAATTTCTCTGAAACCGCTTGAATTAGTTGCTCTGTATTACGAGGGTTATTTTGAGGAGCTTTGGTTTTTCTTTTGGTCTTATGCCACAGGGTTAAAATCCGGTGAGCGAGAAGGCCATTCTAAAAATAATATGCAACTTTGCTGATATGCGAAGGTGCATTATCTTGCATAAATAACAAAAAATCGTCAAAACCACCTCGAATAAAACTATATCATCATACTTTTGACCGGTGAGGGATAGAAACATTAACACATGTAGCTTGAAAATGTGGTTTTTGGAGCTCTGGTTGAAATGTAGGATTTCTTCTTGATATATCAGTTACCAAGCGAGCCTGCTTTTCCGTACCTACTCTTCCGCCATTTCTCCTAGGTCTATTCTTTCGGGTTCCCAGTTCACTTGATTATTACTATATATTACTAGTATAAAATTAAAGATGTAAGAACTACTAGTGGTCTAATCCATACCATGATTTTTTTTTCATAAAAAAACTGAACTTATTTTTTTTATGATAAAATCAGTTTATCTCACATTCAGGTAGGATAATTCAAAGAGGATTTATTATTGATTAGATCATTGTCAACCTGAAAATTTTAGGTTAGAAAGGAATGTGAAAAATTGTGTTCGCCTAATCCTAATGGTTAAAAATGAATTTTCGAGTAGAGTACGCACAACGAGGCTAGGAAGGTCGAATGAAAGTTGGACGTAAAAAAATCGAAAGGATGACATTAATTGAATGGGCTTCGCGGCAAGAAACAGCGACTGCTAGAAAGTTGGTTACAGGATAGTTTGCTCTTAAGCGACCTTTTTGACGATCGTTATTTCTTGGTTGGTTATGATAGAGACTAGGAATAAGTATTAGCAGTGGTGGCATCATACTCTTCGTAGTCAAGAAAATGAAAAGCAAACAGATCTACAATCTATTAATAATAATGTCGTAGTTTCAGCACCTTTCTTATTTATATTATAGCAACATTCTTTTTGTTGGGGATTTTAATATGCCGGTACTTTCAAACAGGGAGTATGATCAAACGACCGAAAACGTAATGAATATTTGTAGTCACTCAAGCAATGCAACACAATTTTAAATTTTCTAAATAAAACACTTGAGCTGGTGCTATCTAATCAGGAATGTTCTATAAGTAGGGAGACTATTCTTTTGGCGCAGGAAGATCAATACCATCCAACCCTGACTATAAACCTTTCCTTTAATAGAAATAAAGAAAATAAATTCTCAGTGAATTTAACACAATCTCGATACAATTTTAAAAAAGCTAATTTTCTATTACTCTATGATACAATCATTAACACCGATTGGTCATCATTGTACTTTATTAAAGACGTTAATCTCGTAAGCGACAAGTTCTATGAAATATTAAATTACATTTGTGACTCCAGCTTTCAAAATCTATGATGCTCTGTTAAAATTCAAAAAAACCTTCTGGTCTTTTATCAGGACAAAAAATTTTTTTTAAATTTTTTGGAGGTATTTACATTGACTCCACCACCAAGGACACGTCTACGAATAAAATGAGTCTCAACTCTCATATTACCATTAACAGGCTCGCATCGCATTCATGAACTTCTTGAACCACTCTCTTATATTGCTCTTGCTCAAGCCTAGCACCTTCCCTAGAGCATGGAGAGATGCAAGAATAATCCCTATAATTAAAAAGTGCAATGTTAACAATATCACTAACTACAGGCCTATTTCTATCTTATCGGCCTTATCAAATATTTTTGAGACGTCTATTTATGAATGCATCAATAGGCAAGTAAAACACAGTATTACTTCTAAACAGCCTGGGTTCTTTAACAGTCCAAGTCCGGCCACTAATTTAGCGTGTTTTACTCAGTATATTGGTCAGGCTCTAGATAATCCAGCCCTAGTCGATATACTTAATATCGACTCCTCAAAGGTATTTGAGAGAGTGCGCCACAGTATCTTCCTTGGGAAAATTGAGGCTTTGGGATTCTAAGTTTCTGCAAATCTTATTTGTCGGATAGGTAGATCAGTATGTAGGGATTCGACACTCAAAATTTTTAGCTACCAGCGGAGCGCCCCTTATTTTCCGATTGTTTGTTTGTAGTTGCAAACATATCAAGCTGTACTCTGTTGATCTACAGCTGTTTAGAGTTGTAGAGGGCGTGGGTGACTGTATTGAACTCCAAAAAGACTTGAGATAGTTTGTGACTTGTGTGTGGTTAACAACCTTCCTTTGAATCGGGATAAATGAATGCTTTGTCATGACTAACTCAAATAAATCACATTCCACACTTCTCAATTATGATGTAGATGGGTTCAATATTACCCGATGTATATATTTCAAGGACTTATGTGACTCTAAATTTTCTTCTGCGGCCCATAATGAAAATTGATGTAGGGAGGATACCAAAACAATAAGAGTTGCTTTTTACAATACTTCTGGATTCCTCCTGCGTCGGTTTTTGCTTAGTCGAAATTGCTGACGTTTCGCCAATCATCCTGTTGGCTTCTTCAGAGCTTGACTGAAATTGATAAGAGTTATTTTCCGCAACACCAAAGAGTTTATTAATATCGATATTCTTGTAACACTAGATAGATAAATTAGATCCAAGCTTGAGTACTGTGCTATAATTTGGTCCCCGATTTACTTTAAATATATAGAGCAACTCGAGAGTATACAGAGAGATTTGAGAAGTTCCTTGTTTTTAAAACCGATGGTGTATTTCCGGTGAAGGATACTGAGCAGTCATTACGTTTGGAAAGATTTTAATCTTCCATTCCTAAAATGTCGAAATTATAAAATCCAAAATTGACTGTTCGGAGCTCTTGATGCTATTACATTATAATTTCCCAGGTTTTAAACGGTAAGGTCTGTTCATAGATATAAGAAAGTGACTAACTGATACGAATTAAGGAAAGACCCGGGCAAGCTGTAAGAATGAAATGTGGCCGAACAGGTCCTTACTTTGCTTAGAATTTAATTATTTGGGGTTTTGTTAGTAAAGATACTAAACAATATTTATTTATGTATGTATTTATGTTTAAATCGAAAATAAAATTACAAATTATTTTTATTACCTACTTAAATTACTTAAAATTATTCACATAATATATCAGTATCACTATCGCTATCATCGCCTGTTTTAATTATTATTTGTTCGATATTATTTGCAATATGGATATATGATTGTTCTGCTTTTTCTATATTTTAAACAGAATTTGCCCAACTTTGTGGAGGGATGTTAAAAACTTCGGTTTCTATAAGTTTGAGGACATTGGAGTTAACACGGGAAAAACATTTTTACGTCGAATGGCAGATTTCAGTTGGTGCTAAACATGTTCAAAGGTGGAAGCCTTAAAACTGTATGCCGTAGATTTTTTGCATAATTATCATAGACGTATTCCTTTTGTAGGTTTAAGCTTTGTAGAACCTCAATTAATGCTTTTTGGTATAATCTTATTGAAAATAAATGTCGTTATTATACATGTAGTTTTGGATTGTTGCTTTTGTGTCACATGAGGAAGGGGTTTTAGTCAACTTGCATTGTCCATTACAATTACGCTATTAGGAGGAATGTTTGGAACCAGTTTGTTTTTAAACCAGTTTTCAAATAAATCAGCGGTGGTGTCTTCATGGTAATCCAGAGAAGAATCTTTAATATTTTTCGCAGACAGAGAAAGTCCATATGGAATCCAACCATCTTTAGAGCCAGCATGCAAAATAGTTATTCTTTTACCTCTTTTTCATGGCGCGTTTGTTTTACACATCAGTTGAGTCAACCCTACCCTTTCCTGGGTATCATAAGTGTCGCACCAGGTTTCATCCAAGTAAATAATTGGCCTTTGTTGTTCTCTGTAAATCCTAATTTTTTCTAGATATTCCAGTCGAAATTTCCGAATTCTAAAAGATTCTATTAAAACTTGCCTTGTCAATTTTTTTAAATCTAAAACCCATGTGTTGAATATACTTCCATAAGGTAGTTCTGCCACATTTAACACCGGTTTCATATTTTTCAAGCCTCCTAATTAAGATATCTAATATAGGCACGATTTGTTCCTCGTATAACTGGTAAATTTTACGCCGTATTATATCTTGATCACTTTCATATACACTCGAGAAAATGTCAGCATCGCTTCTTTTTTTCCTCGCTAAAATACAGTTGATCTTAGAATTTTCGTCAATGTGGCCGTTTCTTCTAAAGATGCTTGCTTGCTGGCATCACGTTCAATGAGAGTCAAATAAACATTTAGGTAATAATCTTTTTGCATTGTATGTTAATGACCACCCTTGGATAATCCCAATCAAAAGCAATTGGTTATTTTCTTATATTTATGAACAGACCATACCCTATACCTCACTAAGTCAATGGCTGTTAAAACAGTCATAAACTTAGGCGGAGAACAGATTGTACTGACGTGTCGTGTGATGTTATCTAACTTAAACATTTATTCTGCTGCATACTGATTGAGTTAGTTATAATACCATATTGAAGTTAAGAAGAAAAAAACTACCCTTATTAACTGGAGAAGCGTTCTATAGTTCGTAGAAATAAACTTAATCTAATGCTCGATCTAAAGCGTTTCAGGTGACGACAATGTCGAAAGCACCATGATAATATAATGTACTAGTAGCTCGCATGTCGGTGTCAACACTTCATCAGACGTGTCGGAAACAATGAGAAGGATTTGAGTGATTGGTGCTTTGGCGTTGAGTGTGTTCAAGAAATATCGACCGGCATTATCAATAATTTTCAGGTTGCCTAGCAAGGTGTTTATTATACATTCCCGTCGTGACAGCTTTCACGCGAAAATGTTTTAATTCCGTGCGCGATTTTAGCTGCGACGATGAGCGAAGAAAAAAAGAAAGATGCGGAAAAGAAACAAGACGACTCAGAAGATGAACGTTTCGAATTTATATTCAATTACTTAACCAAATCGTATCGTCTGAAGCACGAAAAATGGTCCAAAATGCTGTCAATCGAAGACAATAAGGTAGATTGTTGCTTCGCATCCTATTTATTAGTTGTTTAGTGTCAGTCCAATCTATATTATAATCGATTGGATCAATATTTTTTGGAATATGTATTCGTAAACTTAAAACTATTAATAGAGACTTAATCCAGATATTTATTGACAATGTGATTTGTGAAACAAGCTTTCGTACATCCGCCATAAAAAAATCTACTGGTAAATTTAGTTAATTAGTTTATTTTGATTTAAAAAACTAAGTGTTGCAAAGGAAATAAATGTTCGCTAATATTTTTGCTGAACTTAAAACACTCCCGTCCTATCTTTTGCTATGCTATTTCAATAGTGTTTTTTTCTGTAAAATGTATATTTAATATTTTAACTTCTAAAAGACACGCTGGGCTTAAGTTTCGAAGGTAGCAAATTAAACAAGAATAAGACAAACTTTTATTAAAAATATTTCAGTAATAACACCAGACAAGAATCAATGGAATCAAATATAAATAAATGCATATTCTTGTCCACTACTTATCAAATAATGGTGGCACCCTGTAATCTTGTAATTTATAAAAGTAACAGATTAGCGGATATGGTAAATTTGTTATTAAATAATTATTAATGATTATAATTAATTTCAGTATGTTTTTTTTTCTGTGTAAATAAATATAAAGTATATATAAAAATAAAAGTAGTTGCCCATACTTATATGTGAGTCGGCTGGTTGCGTGAATTTATGTTGATTTTACTAATTAAGTGATTTTTATTGATTTATTTATTGATTTATTAATACAGTGTGTTTCATTTAAAACAAGCGTGAGCAACCTTTGACATGTTGTGGGTCAAACTTTACTGTGCAAATACGTTCGCGAGCAGAGTTTAAAAATTGTGTTTTAAAGTTGTGTTCGCAAATTTTGACGGTAGATATCAGACATGAATTAATACGACATTGATTATAATACAATTTATTAAGATAACAAAATATATATTAATTATCATCAAATCTTGAAATTTGGAACTACTACAAACTACCAAAGTTAAACTGAGACATCATGTACATTACTTTTTGTTGGAGTCGCAAATAAATTGGAACAGTCATCCATGTTGTTGAAATCGCTAAATCTCTTCGAAAATTGTTTCTACTTTTATTTGCATAAAATCTGCCGTCTCATTTCTAAGCTAGTAAAACCGTTTCACCATTTCCCCTTTGTTAATATATATGACCTCACAATAAAATGTTAAGTCATCATATTTAGACCTCGAGATCAAATAAAATTGATGGTTTTTTACCACAACATTCTGGAGTCGAATGGACTTAGAACACAAGTTATGTTGTGGGACGATATAATGAAGGACTATCAAATCATCCTCACCTCATTCAAAATTCCGATGAAACCTTTACATAAGCCGAACACAGAAGGTGCATACCTCAACTAATTTTGATCATGGCAAGTCAAAAATAATAGACTTTTAGCTGACTAACCTATGAGAAATGTCTCTCGTCATCCTGTATAATGGAGAAAATAAAATAGTTGACCAAAAGTGTGCATTCCGTCTACGTATGTGTTGTCTTTCCTTTTAATCAATAATTCTTTGAATTTGACTTTGAAGGTCGATTTGTTATAGAGAGGGATGGATTTAATTGGCGATTTTACGTTAGATTTACCCAAAAAGTGAGAAGTGTAGTAGAACACTCGGCAAAACAATTTGAAATAATATATGGAAGTTATAATTTAAGCTCTCATATCAAAATTTCGGTAAAAATTTTGACATATGTATCTTAAGCAGCCATGAAATTTGCAAAATTAATCGCGTGTGCACACTGAAAAACTAATTTCTGCCAAAAATGAAATACAGTGAAACAATAAATAAGATTGCAGTTGCATTCAAAAACAAATTTTTAATAAGACCGCACTTGGAATTTTCGCAGTCGTATGTTGTTTTAAAGGTCCCACAGTTCTAAGCTTGATAATCAGTTCTGTTTTAGCTCATTGTATTAAAACAAAACGGATGTCCTCCCGACTGCGAATATTTGATTATGCCTCACTCTAAAATATACATATATGCGAAAAACAATTTAATAATAACTTACATAATATTTTTGTAAACCAATCAAACTTAACAACAAGTTAACTTCAAATTCTTACTCAAGGTGACGAAAAACAAAGTGAGAAGCAGGGGTTGATTATTTTTGGCAGTCCGTTAATCCGGGGTGACATTCTTGTTTAGATATTTCAAATTGTTTCAGAGACACCTTTTGCCATAATGTGGTCTAATTTGGGGGTCGGGTGGTGCAAATCGAGTTTTGTGCCAAAGTACTCAATACTGATTCCTTAGTATTCGATTTATCAAACTACTCGAACATGTACCAAGCTACAGTGAAGTCGCGATTTAGTGCACTTACTTTGGCAAAGCAATTTTACTATTTCGGGGGTTTTCACATTTGCGGGGTTTGAGATTAAGAACACAATCAAAGAAATAATACATATATATTTTGCGAAAAGTAAGAAACAACAAAAAGTACTATTATATTTAAATGCATACTAAGGTTTATGGAAAAAATATTAATCGAAAAAATATTAAAAATGTGTTTATGTAATATTTTTATGGAACATGCGTGAAAAATGACGTTAGGCTGTTTAAACTTTTTCTTTAGGTTGAATTTCTACAATTTTTCGTCTTAATATTCTACTACATCACCATTTTCTTCAACCCATTGGATAATGCATTAATAGATTGCATAGCTTGGCTTGTTGAAATAAGCTTGTCTTCTGTATTTGACATTTTACATTGTATTTCATTCTCCAACTGATTTAAGTTTGTTAATGTCGTTTATTTCACAGTCAACCTGTAATATATAAAATTCAAAATTAACGTACAGTCGAACCATTGACACTCGAATATATCTGTATCTCGCCCTATTTTAGGGGTCTCCATCGCGAAATCTTAAAATACTAACAATAATTGATGAAAAAACGGAGATTTTGAAAAAGTAGAGAATAGTACCCAAGAAAAAAATTATTTGTCTGGCATATGACATGGCAGGCTGGAAAATGAACATTTAAAAGCAAGTACAGCCTGGCTGGCAGAATTTATTAACTCGCTATTTTTTTGTCCGTACTTTAGGTTTAATAATTAGCACTGTTCGGTTGTTTAGAATTTTTTTTTGAAATAAAAAAATATCATATTTAAAGTACATATGCATTTTTTCTTTAACTCAAACTCTCTATAATTCGAACTTTTTTCACAGTCCCTTCAAGTTCGAGTTATATAGGTTTGACTTCGTTATTGTAATTTTACTTACATTTGGATTAATATTTGGTAAAAGGTCTGTAACACTCTGGTTAGCATTGTGTGCTTCATCATTGAGTAATCGTACTCTAACAACACTTAAGAGGACATTATCCTTTTCATCATCCAAGTTGATTGTTAAAATATTTTGCCAACATTTCTCTATAACAAATGGTTTTAAGATATTCCAGGCCAAAGCTAAATTTGAAACTGCATCCTCTAAAATGTATGTTTGCAACATTGCACTTAGGTCAGAGTCTTTTGACAATAACTGGCCTAGTAGGTTTTTACGATAAAATAACTTGGTAATTCTGATAATGTTCTGGTAGGGTAACGGGTAAGTTGCGACTCATTAAAAACGCTTTCACCTAAAAATGAACTTACATCGGGGATAAACATGTCACGAAACTACTGTCGAAAAATTGTCATTGTCATCCATTCAGTAATTAACCGGCAAATTCAAATTTCGAAAGGCACGTGCATTTTTGGATTTTCCTAGGACTAATGGCTTCAATTTATGATTGCCTGCGGCATTTGTGTAGGCCAAAAATGTTATCCGTTGTTTAGAAGTTTTTCTGCCCGCTGCAGTTTTCTCTGTTTCTGATACATAAGTCTTACTAGGTAACAACTTCCAAAAAAGACCGGTTTCATCGGCATTATAAATCTGTTCTGATGCCAGATCCAGCCTTTCACTAGTGCTTCTAAATCTGTTCTGATGCCAGATCCAGCCTTTCACTAGTGCTTCTCAAAGTTTGTTGGATCGACTAATTTAGTCTGGAACGACAGTTTCTCTCCACTTATTTGGAGTAGTCTGATGCCATAACGTTTTTTAACCTGTTTAGCTGACCATTGCCATTATTAAATGAAGAATTTACATCAATTGCTTTTTGTAAAGCCTTCGCCTTTTCCTAAAGCATCAGCCCACTCACCGGTATATTTCTTTCTCTCAAGTTTAGAAAATATTTGTATAAATGTCTTTCCATGTTAAAATAGCTAGCTTTTAGCGTCTTTGTTTTTCTTGAATCTCTAAATGTTTAAATCTCTTTAATATCGGCGCCTTTTTATTTTTTATTGCATTTTATTAGGTTGATTTGGCTATTCCATATTTTTTAGCAAGCAGAGTCACACAATCACTTTTACCCAGGGATTCTAGCAGTTAACCGTTTAAATTCAAACACTTCATTTTTTGAGGCATATTTGCTGTGTAAAATCTCACATTTAAATGTACTACCCCGCACTGAACCTGATAGCATGTAAAATACACACAAATAATGATCGACAACATGAAACACGCAAAATCTCCGAGTCGTCGTGGGAATCCCCTAATTATGTATTTCACGGCCTGAGTCGCAGTTCAATGTATCGAAGTTGACCACTGTATGGCGAAGTACAATTATACCATTTGTGTGTGCCTACGGGGTAGTTCACCAGAAGTATCAGTAAGCAAAAAAATTTGCAGGGACAGTTCACGAACAAGTTTCATATTGGGAATGGACAGAGAAAAACCATCAAAAAAGAAACCAGCTATTAAAAACTGGACCCAATTTCAAAGATGGGTTGCTCGTAAACCGTATATATATATATATATATATATATATATATATATATATATATATATATATATATATATATATATATATATATATAAATATATATATATATATATATATATATATATATATATATATATATATATATATATATATATATATATATATATATATATATATATATATATATATATATATATATATATATATATATATATATATATATATATATATATATATATATATATATATATATATATATATATATATATATATATATATATATATATATATATATATATATATATATATATATATATATATATATATATATATATATATATATATATATATATAGCGCTAGCAAGTTTGAGATTGTCTCATGGCTACTATGGCGGAAGGTTGACTTTGTTTCCTTAAAGTTGACTCATGTCATGATCTAATATTCCATTTCACAAATTCATCATTTTCTATTAAAATCAATTATGGCAGATGAAATTTTGAGTTTTCAGTTCACATTATGGTTGCGGAAAATCACAGTGATTTTTTTTTAGAAAATGGTTCTGAAGTTTCTGAACGATCCTAAGCAAAAAATGTTAATATTAACCGTCTTGTCTACTGGTGTCTTGACTCCATTCAATCAATTCAACAGTTTGATAAGGCAAAAATTTACGTATTTTATTCGGAAAAAAGAGGAAGAAATTACGATTGAAAACTTTTTGGACGTGGTGACGTTCGGCGATATGTCAGGAAAGCCCATTGAAGATCTATCCGTTCTCGTCGAGGGGGTATTCGTTCCTCTGCTTTCTAATCCTGCTAACCACAAGGGATGGCCCAAAGTGGTAGCTCAGGATGTCGTATCGCACGTCAGAACTTTTAAAAATACCGTTGATCAAGTAATCGATGACAAAACATCGATTAACGGGATACCGAGGTTGTACTTTTTCAGATTAAAGGTGCGATGAAAAGTCAGGTGATTCTACCTATGCCTCAGGGTATATCAAATGTACACCAATCGATCCAGGTGTATATGGATTCCAACGGAGACGAAGTAAACTTGCCACTTAAAACAACGATGGAGAACTCAGTGATGAAATGGACAACTATCGTCAATGAAATTTTGAAGCAAACTTCTCAAATTTGTTTTGTTGACGGCCAGAATCCGACACCGCGGAATGAAATAGAATTTTGGAATGCGAGAAACAAGAACTTGGAATCTATTTACGATCAGCTTCGTGATCCACGAGTTAAGGTAATTATTTGCCAGCGAAAATAATAATCAGATGTACAGGCCAATCAAAAAGTCTATAAATATATACAGTGCAGTGTAAAAGAAATATAAGAATTGTTCAAAGGTCGTAGAAGTAATAAGAGATTATCATCGAACTTCCATTGAGGGTGTGTTAAAACCCAACATGGTTCCGCTGTTGTTTCCTGTTTTAATTTTTCAATAGATTTTTGAGTGCAAGTCTTCTGACATGAACCTTTTTGAATATGGCATGGTGTGCAAAGTGTTTAAATTCTTCCTAGTTTAGTTTTTTTAGAAAGATTTAACTTAAAATTTAGTCCGGTGTGTGTAGGTTAGCTGTATAGAGGACCGATAGAGCGAGTGCGCTAGCACGACGTTTAAACTAAAATAAAATTAAGAGAATCATTACAATCATCATTGTATAATATTAATAGTAATTAGTTAATGCCGCCTCAAAATCGAAGAGACGTGTGACGTGTCACATATCTCTAAAATTTATTTATTTGCAGTAATTGGTAATTGGTTATTAGGCACCGCGGTACTGAGTTTTGAATTTAAATTTGACTATTAAGTTATATTTTCTAGAAAATGGGAGAATATTTGGAAATAACAAAAAGTACATATTCGAAATCATTTAAAACTCTCTTCAAGAATGTTGTTTCCGCTGTTGTGGAAACAAGAGATATTTGCAAATATTTAAAGACATTGGTGCCACATTGTCATAAATTTGAAGAGGAGGACTTTTTAGATACTGAACCTTACGTGAAACCTCTGGTAAGTTTAAGATGTCTTTATTTCCAAATGGCAGTTGTTCCATTAATATTCACATTAGAAAATACGTCTTTTAATTTGATATTGTGGCAGTTGTATATACAAGGTTGATACGTTTCACTGGAGTTTTCTTTTAAGAGTAAATTGGTTTTTTCACAGAATTTATATTTATAAATTTATATCAAATCGGATAAATTAAATCATACTAAAATTTTAATTCTCAAAAATCAAACATTTAAAAAAGATAAAGATAAAATATTTTGACGCTGGTGTTATACATGTCCGTAATGGATGCGCTAAAAACAATCCTAAATTAAACAGCCAAAGCCAAGCTGCTTTTGAAACATCAACCAGAAAACTTGAATTTTGGGGTTTTTCGACATGGTAAACAGTTAATTCAATAGTTTTTTCAGTTCAATTCGATTTTGATTATCTTTCTCTATTTATTCTTCAGCAACAGTGACTCATTGTAAAATGCCAAATTACCTACCGATCTAACGTGCGGAAAGTGTCACTTTACCACTTCAGTTTCGTTTCCCATGGATCTGAGCCACTTCGGATATTTTCGAGATTTTACCGCATGGGTTTGGGAGCAATCGGATGTTTTCGCAGATGTTTCAAAGAAAAAGTTGGCTTCTTCAGAGCTCGACTGAAACTGGTTCGCATTTTACTCTGTATCTGCTTTTATATTGTTTAAGGGGGGCGGAGCTAAATGAGGGGCATAAACACCGGCTCGGATGACTGATTCCCATATTGGTAACAGGTAAAGACCTGAGTAGCAGTTATAGCTTATAGATTACTACAGACTCTCGGATTTTCCGTTGGTAGAAGAATTCATTACATGCAAGACTTTTAGTTTTATCGAATAAAATTTTATGACCAGTTTCGTGATTGTGCTCGGCCACTGCTGATGAGTTTATTTGTCTTTGTCTTAAGGCCAGGAATCCCTAGTAGATTTTCTTAGACAAAAACCAAAGAAACCCATTTTGAAACTGGAATAAGTTTTTAGTGACAGATTTTTTGTGGATGTAAGTTTATTATAATGCGAATATTTTGAAAACGGCATATTTTATCTAAGGTCTAGCGCCTTCTACATACTATGTCCAAAAATAAATCATATTCGCCATCACGGGAAACCTCCGTATCCAGGTTTTCATGTCGCTATTTAGAAACCTGCACGAGCTATAGAGAAATAACAATGTGGAGCACTAAATTTTAATATATATATATATATATATATATATATATATATATATATATATATATATATATATATATATATATATATATATATATATATATATATATATATATATATATATATATATATATATATATATATATATTAAAAATTAAAAAAAGAATTATATATATTTCGGCTCAATATCATTATTTTTACAAATTTAAATTTAAAATTTAATGTGGGGCAGCCTTTAGACGTATATCCTGTATAATATGGCAAGAATCCAGCCTTTTTGTTACTGCCGTAGACAATGTATTTCCCATTGAATTCTGTGACTATCGAGAATTTTAGGTACTCTCTACTATCTCCTAATAATCTTTCTATTTACAGTTTTGTTTGCAAACTCATCTTTGGATATTTGCGTACTAGACAGAATTAATTATTTTGAAAATAATATTGTTTCCATGTCCATCTGGGTTTGTATATCTTTTATGCATTTTATATATTTATATAAGTTTTAATTGTCTTAAAATAATGACATTAATTATTTCGTTAAACTAAACGACTATTGAATTTTAAAAATTCAGATCTCACGTTTTCGTCGCGTAAAACGATGTCGTGACATAGCCCAATCAAATACGTGACAACTAAGTTATAACTTCAAACACAGGTTTTATCCTGTTCAACAGCTTATACTCGCACAAAACAAACTTTAGAGATTTACAGTGTTCGTGCCATGTCAAGTGGTGAAAATCGATTTCTAATTTTATTTACGAAGGGCTCGAGTTTTATGTATTAAAATAAGGAAATGCCTTTAAGTTTCGATGGGATAGGAAGATAAGCGATCTATTTCCGCGTTCGAATTATTAGCACTCTATTAAATTATTAAAACTAACCAAAACTATTGAAATAATTATAAACAAAATTTATACACTGAAAATTACTGGTGTTGGAACTACTACTTAATACTGTGACGTGAAAAAAAAAACAGTATTAAATTAGCAACCTCGATCACTGCAAGTAGTGAGAAGGTTCAATACTACGAAATCAATGGTTTGCCATTGAAACTTGTCCATTTTTATGAAATTGAGGTAGGACCACTCTGATTAAGTTTGCCCATTTTTATAGGTTATATTTTATTAAATTAAATGTACTATGCTGGATATAGTATTGGTATATTTTGACATGACATTTTGATTATATAAATCAATAAATGAAAGAATAAACTCTAAAACTTTTGCGTTTTTTAATAGAAAGTCTATAGGTTGATGTCAAAATACGGCTAGACACCCTATACAATTAAAAATATATTATATGTAGTATACAATTTGTCAGATTAGTAAAGATCACACTTTTTTTTAACTAATTTTATTATTGAAACCTTATAAAAATGCTACATTTGTTTCTTCTTCTATTATAACTTAATTTATAGTTCAAAATTCAAATTCAAAAAACATTTATTTCCATTTAGACTTGTGTAGACAAATGTCGGATATTGTAAAAAATAAAACAAAATAAATTAAACACTCATATGCCCATATAGATAGGATGAAACAAAAATTATTTCAATAAATTATTATGATAGCAAAAACTCGTTTAAGCTACAAAAAGCAAAAGTCACGAAATTATCGTTTACCCGATATTAAAATTTATTTGCCCGGTGCAACTCTTTCATTGAAGTAGGAAACTGCTTAGGATTGACAACATAACACAACCACAAAATAAAACATACTACAGATCAGGCATGAATGAACATATGCAAAATAATATAAACGTAAAAGATCTATGGAAACCATTTTTTTTTATTTCTACATCAGGTAGCAATAGGTAGACAGTCTTTTTAAAGCATCTGTTTGATGAATCCAGGTCAGGCGAGAAAGGCTTTTATTTTAGTCCTTACAAGAAAACTGACATTAAGTTTGCATTTCAACAATGGTGTTGGAGCTACTACTTAATATTTCAAAATTGCTGCTATCAGAAGCAGGAACTGTACTGTCAGAGAAAAGAAATAGGTGGTAGGTGCAGAAAGTACCTAACATTTTATTTATTGCTATATCTTTGTCGTTATATTTCAAAAAACCTTGTATATCGTTAATAAATAGATCTTTTTTTATCATGTTTTCTTCAAATCGAATATCTTTGCTGTTAAGTCAGTCGATAATCTGTTGCTTTTTTCAAGACGACGTTGATGTTTTTCTATACGTCGTGAATGATAGCATTATCCATAACTATTCCTGAGTTAGCATGAAGATATTTTATTCATTCTCCAAAGCAATCTTGGAAAACATCGTCATTCATATCCTCGTTAGAATCGCCCGTTAGAGAGAACTCAAACCCTCTTTTATAGAAATTCGAAAATAATTTCTGACGGTCATAGGCAAATAAGCTAAGTAAAACAATACCAGAATTAATTATACAGAAAAAAGTAAACCAAATGTACATTTTAAATAAAATAATACAGTAACAATTTAAAGCCGCTCTGGCTCTAATTACTGCTCTCCAACTTACAGCAGGCTATACAATTTTTGTCACGTGTGCTCTTGAATTATCGTGCAGATATTGCTCCCACGCGCTCCCACGACTATTGAACTTAAGTCGCATATTACGTTCTGAATATCTTTCACCATCACGTCTGTAAATTGGTATACGTCGATCAGAAGCAAAACGAGTAAATCTTAGTTCGATTTGCATGTTTCCTGGAAAACCTCAAACAGGCAACAAGATGTGCCCTGGTGAGATGCAGCACTGTTACTTCCACCCTTGCTCTCATTGCATATTCTTAATCTAATACGTAGAGATGGACTACTGACGTGTGCATTACGCATATTGTTTAAGTCATTTTTCTGTAACCTTTTGCAGTCCTAATGTCAGGCCGCTAATTTTCATTTTCTCCATAGGGGAATACCGCTCTCGAGATCCTGGAGTACATTGTAATCTCAATTAAGTTCGCGACATAAGTTTGCGCCTGTCCGTCTTCGATTGACGCAATGATATTGGCAATTTGTTCTGTAGTTAAATTATTCATTTCTTTTTAATATTTAACAAAAAAAATCTTTTCCTCATTTAATCAATTTTACGTACGATGTGAAAATTTTACGAGTATTTTCTTATTCGGTCAATATCCTAACTGAGAATTGCCTAATTGACATTTTTAGTTGATTGTTTTGTACGTTTCTATAAGTTCTACAAACATTATGCAAATGCGTGAGTTTATAGACCCAGTGATCTGTAATAATTTTTATGAAATTGTAGTAAGCTATATTTTAGGTTCACATCGTGGGTCTGATATGGGTAAACTCCCAATACTATTCGAGGTGTGACCGTATAGTAGTCTTAATTCAGATGATAGGAAATCTACTGATAGAATCGGCAGTACAGTCTCTGGATCCAAGCAGTATATTCCAAGGAGAACCGGACGAAATGCACGAAAAAATAGATCGCGCTATTCTGGTTATCGCGAAATTTGAATTCTCAGTCGAGTACGTCCGAGATAATTTGGATTCTTACTACGACTCCCGCCCCATAGGTTCGGCGGAAGTCGAGAGAAAGCCGTGGAACTTTCACCGCCGCAATGTTTTCCAAAGGCTTCTCGATTTCGTAGAGAGGCTCGATCTCGTTAAGCAAATTCTTCAAACCCATTTGGACTTTAATAAACTGGAAAAAGTCGAAATCGGGGGAATAAAGGGTAGATATCTGTCCTCTAAGTGCGCCGATATACTGGAGGAATTCAACAAGGCCTACAATCTGTTCGCAAACATTCAGTATGACGTCCTGGATACGGCTGACGATTCGCTGGCCAAAGATTACGAGAAGTTACAAATTTCGTGCGCCGATTTCGACAAGAGGTTGGCTGCTATTTTCTCGCAAGCTTTCGAAGATTGCTCGAATTTAACGGCCATGTTTAAGTACTTAAATTTGGCCGGAAATTTGTTTAGTAGACGATTAGTTTATGAAGAATTGACCGGTAAATATCCGGTAATCGTGGAGATGTTCGATGAAGAATTGGACAATGTCAAATCCCTCTTTGATGAAGGTAAAAAATACGAGGTTCCAATAGCGCAAAACTATCCTCCGGTTGCGGGAACTATCTTGTGGCTTCGCAAGTTGTACGACAGGATCGCCAGGCCCGGAGATGAATTGAAACTACTAAATACCGATATAATCAAAGAAGAGGACACTGTGCATGTTATGAAAAAAATGCATGAAATGCTTCAGATTCTGAGAGACGAAGAAGAGATCGTGTTCAAAGATTGGTGCCAACAGGTTCCGCAACAGATTGTCCAAGGCATGTCGAAATTTCAATTAACCAGAAATGAACAGAAACTGTTGGATGTGAACTTTGATAGAGAACTCGAAGCAATTTTACGGGAAGTCAAGTACTTGAGAAATATGGAAATAGACAATATACCTGATGATGCCACTGAATTGTTTAAAAAATGCGAAGGATTGTTGGACTCGATTCTAAAATTTAAGAGAATTGTAGAATGGTACAATTATCTACAAACCTCAACTTCAGAGGTGGAATTTAACCTAATCAAGGGCGAACTTGAAGCAATTGATGAAATGTTAGAGCAAGTTACTGCTTACTATACCTGGAATAGCAACAGTAAGTTTGAGAGCAGCACTTATTTAGGCGTCCAAGACTTAAAAAAACTTTTCGAAACAAAGTTTTTAGGTATTGTGAATAATGGAAAAGTCGTCATCTCGTCTTTCTCGAATTAATTTTTAGTTTTGCTTAGTTTTCTTCTTGATTTTAACTCCTCTAAAATTTTTAGATCTGGAAATTATTACAAAAATATTTAATACTGTGAAGCAATTGGTAGACAGAATTAAGCTGGCTCAGAAAAATGTTAAAAATCTCATTGCCGGAATAAAGGTGTGGGTTCAGCAGCCACTTTTCGAGAGGAAAGATGGCAGAAAAGAAAACTTGATTTATCTGGAGGACAGAATAGAAAAAATACAGAAAAGGAAAGAACAGGTTACCGCTTCCTCTTGCGAATTAGAACGGGTCATTAAAGAAAATTATGAACTCTTCTTTAATGAACCCTTCGAGGAAATTCCTCCTCCTCCGATAGGTAGGCAAATAATGAATTCGTTTTCTTTTAGCGGTTTAATTTTAATATTATTATAGAAACCCCTGTGGAGACGCCAGTCTCACCAGAACCGAAGCCGACTAAAAAATTGAGGACGAAAGAAAAAGGAAGGAGAAAAGCTGTTAAGAAACAGCAGGAGGAAGACGTACTTCGAGAGATGAAAGAAACTGCTAGAACGGAAGAGGAGGTGAAACGAAAAGAGACGAAGATGACCATGTGGCTGCCGTATCTGGAAGAATTGGATGAAGTTGTTAAAGACTTGATGCTCACAGCAGTTCATAATTCGCAATTGTTCTTTCTGATCGAAATGCATGAAACAGCCAAGGCTCCGTTGATGGAGTTGGTAATGGAACTTCACGAGCCGAATATAATTTTTATTCCATCGATCGATACAGATGAGTCTGCGAATTTTTTGCAATTTGTAGAAGGTACCAAGAAATAACATTAGCAAAAGCGACCAACCCCTTAAAAGTTTAAATTTTATTCTACATTTTCTCATTAATTGAGAAAGTTTTTATAGTATATTAATAAAAATTGGCGGTTTTAAATTTTTTCACATGACAATTACGAATTTGAAACTAATTTGCCTCTAGAAAATACAAGAAGCAGTGAATATCCTTAGAAATAATAGAGAAGTTTTGCTTAACAATCCAAGATATTGTATTGAGGTAGATTACCAAAATTGCTGTACCTTTTCATTCATCATTCATAAATGCAAGTATGTCAAAAACTGACATTGGACACGTTTTTATAGAAACGCAAAATAGCAAAAAAGGTTAGTTGAGTTTCAAAAAACGCGCATTTTCGAAAAAGGCCCTGTAACTCTAATGATAATTGAGCCCCCCAGATCGACAAGAGTTTTATTCCATCTCCTTTACAAAATAGACTTTGCCTTTAAAAGTCACGAATTTCGCACATTCTGTACCTTTATGTAAGACATCATCTATATAAGCTATAACCTATGTCTGTCATTCCCCATGAGACGTCTAGGTTATTTTAAAATTAGTATGTGTTGATGTATCACCCTATATACGTATGTATTATTGCTGATATTTATTTTTGGCTCAATGTGGTGAACAATGCCTTTATGTAATTTTATTACAGATAATGCGCATTTGCCTCAAGGGGAATTTTAATAATTTATGTGCCAAGTTTTGCTATGAAAGTGACGTGATAAAAACTTTCGACAAATTTTTATGACTAAACTAACTCCTCGGCTTGCCTGCAGTCAATTAAATATGTCACAATAATTGCTATCATGTTTGAGATTTTATTTTATTTGGATTTTGGGATACTTCAGTTTTATCAAAAAGGGTTTTTTCGATCCGGAAGAGGACCTGATTAATGATTGATGATCTACGATTTTTTGTTCTAATATTCTGTTTCTACCATCGTTCATGCTGCAATGTACATGATGAAAACAAACATTATGCAATATAATTTAATTATTAATTTAAGTATAATTTTTATCAAGTAGTTATGGCAAACGATGCTGGTTTTTGTAGCTATTTACCGCATGCTTACATTTGTTATTTTTACTTTGCATAAATTTTTGTATATTTTTAAGGTAAAAACAAAAATATCCTGAATATTTTTGCGGGTACATCTAAACACCTAAAGCAGCACACTTCTGCTATTGCCGCAATTTCTATTTTCACTGTAATTTATTTCTCTTTTTCTTTGCGCCCCGTATCCTGGATATTGCTTTATATAAAAAACAAATTGTTATAAATAAGTATCCTATTAAGGGCGTTTTATTTAAATTATTTTTATTTTTTGTAACATATCGAATTTATTAAAATTATAGAATTCGATATCGACTTCTATAATTCAATAGTTTTGTTTTCAGTTTATTTAAAACACTTTCCATTATTTTATATTACCTATAATTTTAAACACTCTCTACTTTTTATATTTTAGTTTTTGTTCATTACAAATGAAGACTAACGCAGATTGACCCTTGTGTTTGCCGTAGTGATAAAATTTGAAACTCTGAGTCACGTTTGATAATTTCTGTTGCAGACTTGCTGGAAGATATTTACTCTATGTCTCATTATATGGTTCACGCCAATCCAAAAATAAGCATTAGCTATTACGACATAGTTAGGGAGAACCCGGATATATCACATCAACATAACGAAATATGCAAAAAGGCATTCCAAGGGATGGAAAGCGCGGCAAATTTCCTCAAAGATTTTGACGATTACTACCCGTTATGGGAGGAAGACCGGCAAGAAACACTGCGACAGTTTTTGCTTTACGGCAGACCTTTAAATTTAGAGGAAGTAGAGTTAATTAGGGAAGAAGGCGAACAGGCTCTTAAGGAAACACCTCCGACTCTTAACCAATTTAAAGAACAAATAGATTATTACGAAGAGTTGTACAAGAAGGTAGAAGAAATCCCGACCGAAAAGATACTGGGCGGTTGGTTGAGAGTAGATCTTCGACCTTTACGTCAAGCGATTTTGAATAGTGTTTGCAAATGGGGAAATCTATTTAAGCAACATTTGTACAATAAGGTAATTGGCAGTCTGCAAGAATTAGAGGATTTTGTAAAAGAGGCGGTGACAGCAATGCAGGTTACTTTGACGGAGGACGATTACGACGGATTGTTGAACGTAATGAGTTACTTGTTTAAAGTGAAAGAGAGGCAACATGAAACAGATAACATGTTTGAGCCTCTAAAACAGATAATGGATTTATTGAAAGAATACGATGTGGAATTTCCTGAAGATATCATAGTGCAGTTGCAAGAAATTCCTGACAGATGGATACAGTGTAAGAAGGTAAATGATTTTGTAAGAAAAAAAAAGGTAGTCACAAACTACAACAATTTGAGAAACACTATTTTGGGACTTACTCTCAAGCACCTAGGCCAAGGTAAAAAAAATACAGGGTTTTTCACGCTAAACAGCACAGAATATTGTGCGCAAAATATAAGGTTTTCAAAAAGATTGGGTGGCTTTCCAAATATACTTTAAGTCACTATAACTGGATTAATTTAAATAGAACACAATATTTTTTAATTTACATTTGGCGTTTTCTTAATAAAAGTTTGTTTGCATTTTTTTGGTAATTCTTCGTTAGAACTAAATTTACAAGAGCGTATTGATATCACTTTTACCCTCGAAAAATATCGAGCTGCGTTTCCTCAGTTTCATGTCATCTTTATAGTTGGTTGTGATTATTTAGTTGCCGTTACTGCCTGGATGAAATAATACTTTTCAAGTTCCATAAAATTTTTAAAACTCCTTTATATTATAATTGCTAGTTGTTGTACCCGCCGGTTTTAAAGCATATTGTAATTCTTTAAGACTAGAATTTGGTCCAATGTCAAGTAGCGATAGAGTATCAGAAAAAGTAATCGATGCAAGATATCCAATTTTAGATCAAATTGACTACCTCAATAAATTACCTGCCAGTTCTAAATTCCATGGGCAACTGGTACGTATGAATAATAGTTACACCTTACTATAAATCGTTTGAATACCTCAAATCCTTCTTGTGTATTTAAGAAATTAAAATTAGGATCCTTTTAGACAAAATTCAAATTGATTAAAAAAACCTCAAGATATTATGAACTTTACCAAATCATACACTTATTTCGGACGTAGAATCCAAGGTGGTTTTATTTAAAAAAGTCAACTTTCATACTTTTAACACTTTCCGGACAACAGTATAGCATAAAAGTATTTTCAAAAACTTTTTTGAAAACCTTGTTTATAGCGTGAATAATCCTGTATTGATGAATGCTGCCTAAGATGCCTCTGGTGACTAAAAACTGGTTGCGCCCGAGAAAGGTTATGTTTAACTTATTTAATTTCGGAAAAATGAACATGTCTAAAAGAAATCTTAATACCTACTATGCTTTTTCGATATATTCTGTCAAGTAGTTAATTTTATTTTTCATTTTCGGGGGTCAAATTATTTTTGAAATGCAAAATGATGTACGGTATTTACCTGATGATGACTGGAAAAAATTGACGACGTCTTCAAAAGTTGTGGAAGACATTGGCAGTGCAAAATATCACATTTCACCAATATTTGACCTTGTTTATGATCTTTAAACAAACTGAATTTACCCTCAACTTATTTCCAGCATATGCATATGATGAAATCCCTCAGGTTTTTCTACCCCTAGATTATACTCAAAATGTTTAGCAAATATTCGTTAAACAACTCTTTATAATTTGAAACAAAAAAGACCAAAAACATGGAAAATTGGTTAACCAATTTCTTTAATTTAGTCGAAAGCGTTCCACAATTTAACAACATTCTTGAATTTCCTATACAAGTTAGTTTAAACAATTAAACTTTTTATTAATTGCAGGTTGCTGCAACTACCAAACAAACGGTAGCACCGCTGCAGGCTCTCCAAGTTAATGCAATAAAGCGGCGCATCAATCTCTTCGAAATACGGCAGTCTATGTACCGAGATCAGTTCAAGATTCTTCCGCTTTTCAACTGGAACTGTCAACGGGTTTACCGGTTACTGGACAAAGTCAACAATGAACTATCTGATCTGGAAAAGGAACGCGACAAGATTCAAGAACAAGCAAACCTATTCGAACTGATCCTTCCAGAATTTAAAGCGCTGAGAGCGACCAGAAAAGAAATAAAGCAGGTCAAACAACTGTGGGATTTCATTAAGGTGGCGAGATCTTGCATCGATGAGTGGAAGCTTACGCCGTGGAAGAAAATAGACGTGGAAAACATGGAAATGGAGTGCAAGAAGTACGGGAAGGAGATACGGCAAATGGACAAAGAAATCAAAGGGTGGGACGCATATATTCAGATGGAAGCCACCGTTAAGAACATGTTGACCTCGCTCAGAGCTGTGACGGAATTGCAGAATCCTGCCATCAGAGATCGGCACTGGATTCAACTTATGCAAGCGACAAAGGTACTTTATTTCGTAATATTAAGAGTTGAGATTTTTAATTCAAAAAATATGTCCTCATATGAAGATATTTATAGACTTGACTGTAATGTAAATAAAAATGTCTAGTCAAAGCTCTAAAAACTTGTAATTAAGCAAAGCAAAGATTTGATAGAAAAAATTAAGAATGAAACATTAAGGAAAAAATTGCGTACGACATTATCAAATCCCAAAAGTTTCTAAAGTGAACTCCAACGAAGTCAGAAATTGGTCTCCAGGGGAAAATAGGGTTGGGGATTGGATATATAAGATGCTATAAAACTGGATATATCAATAAAAAGTTGCATTTTTTTTTTAAATTTCATATTTTGATTCATATTTGAAGACTTCAAAAATGTCTTTATCGATAGCTTTCAAGTTCATGTTCATAATTCGAAAAACACAAGTATAAAACGAAGATGAATTATTCAATAATATTATTGTCAGATTTCTAATAAGCACCATCGGTTTTAAAATTGTCACTCTTTATGTGCGTTATTATAATAATAATAATAATAATAAGAAAAAGTCTGTAGTCCAAATTATTTATGCCATTGCCTTTTTCATAAGCATATTGTATTTTTTTAAATGAGAAATGTTTCAATTTTTTAATTGTCCAAGACACAATGGAGTATTACAATATTAGTTTTAATATTTTGGTAAACTGATGGATCCAATTTTAAAATATTCATTACTTTTTTTTGCTGCTCTTGTGTAGACAGGAGAAAAATTGGCTTCCCTAATTTATACTGTAAGTATTGAGACCAACACAGATTTTTAATTCATCATTGCTTACCACATTTTATGTTGGCATCACAGGCACATTCTAAAATTTAAATTTCACTTTTAATATTTTTATACTTGTTTCAAAAATAAATACTACCACATGTTGCACTGGTTTGATTTTGGCGATCCCTACCAGGTCAAATTCGTCATGGATGACGATACTACGTTAAGAGATTTATTGGACTTGAATCTTCACGAATATGAAGACGAAGTCAAAACCATTGTAGACAAATCCGTGAAAGAGATGGCTATGGAAAAAATCCTGAAAGAATTAAACTCCACTTGGAGTGTGCTGGAGTTTGGAACAGAGGTTCACGAGAGAACTAAACTTCGAATAATCACCATAACTGAAGAAATGATTGAAACGCTGGAGGAAAACCAAGTCGCCTTACAAAATATGATGACGTCTAAGTTTATCGATTACTTTTTGGATGAAGTATCTGACTGGCAAAGAAAGCTATCGAATGCCGACCAAGTCATTCAAATTTACTTTGAAGTTCAACGAAAGTGGATGTATTTGGAGAGTATTTTCATTGGGTCGGAGGACATCCGACTCCAACTTCCAGAAGATTCGAAACGATTCGACAGAATCGATAGAGAGTTTAAGGATATCTTGTCCGAAATGTTGAAAACCTTAAATATTGTAAAAGCCACCAACAAGCACGGATTGTACGAGAAACTGGAGAGCCTGCTAAAAGAACTTACTTTATGTGAGAAAGCCCTTAATGATTACCTGGAAACGAAGCGCTTGGCTTTTCCCAGATTTTATTTCGTATCTTCGGCTGACTTATTAGACATTTTGTCCAACGGAAACCAACCCGATCTTATACAGAGACATCTGACGAAACTGTTTGATTCGTTGGCCCGGCTGGTGTTTGTTCAAGAGGGTGGTAGGAATTCGAAGAGGGCTAAAGAGATGATATCCAAGGAAAACGAAGAACATGTACCATTTGTGCGACCTTGCGATTGCAGCGGTAAAGTCGAGTTGTGGCTGAATAGGGTTATAGATGTTATGCGCGAAACGCTTCATCAACAGTTCGAGGAGGCGGTAATCACCTATGACGAAAAACCGCGAGAGGTGTGGATATATGATTTTCCTGCCCAGCCTGCTCTGTGTGGTACGTGCTATTGATTTTACAGAATGTCGATTTCGGCATGTAGCATAGACTAAATTCGATATGACAATTAGTGAGAAATGGCAACCAGTTATTTATGATTTGACAAGTTAGTTTATGATAGTTTGTATATTATATATTAATGGGTGTTTTTTTTTCGATGTATAGAACTTTAAGTTGGCATTACTGTTCAAGATGACGACCGATTTAACAGCTGTCAAGTGATTTATTCTGTTGGGTTTGACAATTCATCATGAATAGAATGACGCCTGAACAACTCTTGCAAATAGCACAATTTTATTTCGAAAATAATGGTTCTGTGTGGAATACGAATCGCGCACTACGTCCATTTTATCGTCGACAAAATCGTCCATCAGAGCAGTTAATTCGATTAACCATGGAACGTTTTCGCACCACGTTTACTCTTATTGATAACTCGCATCCCCAGAGACGCCGTACGGTGCGTACAGAAGAATCTATTGCTGCTGTAGAGCGTAGCATTGAGGAAGACCCGAATGAGTCCATCCGCCATCGAACATATGAATTGGATCTGTGTCCATCCACTTTATGGAAGATTTTGCGGAAGAATCTTGGTTTACGTGCTTACACAATCCAACTCGTGCAAGAATTGAAGGCAAACGATCATCAAGTAAGACGTAGATTCGTTGAATGGGCCCAAAACGAGATTGCCGTGGTTCCCGATTTTCATAAGCGAATTTTGTTTAGCGATGTAGCGCACTTCTGGTTGAATGTCTACGTCAACAAACCAAACTGCCGCATTTGGAGCGAAGCTAATCCTCAAGTGTATGTCGCAACACCGTTACATCCAGAAAAACTGACTGTTTGGTGCGCTTTATGGGCTGAACGTTACAGTCAATGGTGATCCGTATAGAGCTATGATTACTAACTCTTTCATTCTTGAATTGAATAACCACGAAGTCCAGGAGATGTGGTTTCAACAAGATGGCGCAACATGTCACACAGCTCGTGCCACAATCGATTGATTGAAAGACACGTTTGGTGACCGCCTAATTTCGTGTTTTGGACCTGTGAATTGGCTTCCAAGATCTTGTGATTTAACACCGTTAGACTACTTTCTGTGGGGCTATGTAAATTCATTGGTCTATGCGGATAAGCCACAAACGCTTGACCATTTGGAAGACAACATTCGCCGTGTTATTGCCGATATACCGCCATAAATGTTGGAAAAAGTCATCGAAAATTGGACGTCCAGATTGGACTACATCCGCGCCAGCCGTGGCGGTGATATGCCAGAAATCATATTAAAAATGTAATGCCACAAAATTATCTTTCGGATAAATAAAATTGATGTCAATCGAATACTCCATCGTTGTTTTATTGCTTACTTAACTTAAAGTTCTATACATAAAAAAAAACACCCCTTATTTTGGAAAAATCGCTTTTATCCTTTTTCAGAGATAGTGGAATGAGAGAACTCTTTTAGATTAGATTGTAGACGTAGATTACCTAATTATATTAATTATAAGTGAATTTGTAGTAGTAGATTTCCAAATTTTCCGAATTAGTATGATACAATTCTAGTAATGAAATCAATATGTTTGCGTTAAATAATTAAAATATCATTTGAAAGCTTCATGCATATATTTTAATGTCAGACAACAACCACCGATTTTGTAAAAATTCAGTACGAACTGATACCAATATTTATCAATATCCACAAAATATGTACATCTAACCCAATGGCTAGAAGTACCGCCACTGTGATATACAGTAAGGCTCACAATTCTTGGCCACTAGAAGGATATAAAGAACATACCGTAAATTATAGATTCGTTTGGTAACCATAGCTATAAAATATTTTTTATATTTCACAAAATAAGAGAAAGTGATTGTGATATATCATCGAAAAAGGTCTTAAAGTCAAAAAGTCTTCTTAAATTTTCAAAAAATAGAGCTGTTTTCATTAAAAACGGTTAGATTCGGGGTTATAAACTGAAAAATGTTAGATTAATATTTTTTTGAACACCAATAAATTCTATATAAAAACGTCTCTGTCTTTTTAATCGCAAGACCCTATAGAGATAGAGCGTACGCTGAAAAATTCATTTATTTTAAAATTTCACTTTAGAAAATTGTTGAACTATTTAAATTATATATTGTTTGAGGGGGTCGCTAATGAGGGGTGTAAACACCGTCTCGGATGATTGATTCCCAAATTGGTGACAGGTAGAGACTTGAGTTACACTTAAGATTGTTAGGTTGTTTATAGATTTCTACAGACTCTACAAACCAAAAATCCGATAGTCTATAGAAATCTATAAACAACCTAACAATCTTAACCGCGACTCAGACCTCTACCTGTCACCAATTTGGGAATCAGTCATCCCAGAGGGTGTTTATACCTCTCATTAGCGCCCCCCTCAAACAATATATAAGCAGGTACAGAGTAAAATACGAGCCAATTTCCTTTAAGCTCTGAAGAAGCCAACAGGATGATTGACGAAACGTCAGCAATTTCGACTAAGCAAAAACCGACGCAGGAGGAATCCAGAAGTTTTGTCATTTTACCAAAAAATAATCTGTAGAAAAGATTGCAGGATACAGATCTTAGTCTAAATAACAAATAGTAGAGCCTAAGCGATTTTTTTTGGGCACGTAGCAAGAGTCATATCGAATATAGTCGATAAATAGAATTCTAAGTGAGTCGCGGGCTCGACATGCAGTCCCACGCACTCGCTGGTAAGTAATTTCGTTCATCTATATTTTACCAGGTACCCAAATATGGTGGACCACGGAAGTGAACATGGCGTTTGCGAGGTTGGAGGAAGGCTACGAAAATGCGCTTAGGGATTATCAAAGGAAGCAAGTTGGCCAACTGACGTCGCTTATTAATTTGTTGTTGGGCGATTTGACTGCCGGCGAGAGACAGAAAATCATGACGATCTGCACCATTGATGTGCATTCGCGCGACGTGGTGGCTAAAATGATCGCCATTAAGGTGGAAAATTCTCAAGCTTTCCAATGGCAGAGCCAACTGAGGCATCGATGGGACGAGAAAGAGAAGGATTGCTTCGCCAATATTTGCGATGCTCAGTTTAGATACTCTTACGAGTATTTGGGGAACACGCCTCGGCTGGTTATTACTCCTTTGACTGACAGGTATCGGTATCATTTAGCTTGCCAAAACTTTTTAATCCTTCAGAACTCGGTTTATAACAATGTGTTTCATGAAAATTAATATGTTAAGGATGAAAAAGCTACCCTATGTCAGACTGGTGCTATCAAATAACCCGATGTTTCCAAATAATCGGAACATGTTTGGGTCAAATATTTTATGCTAGTTATGCTAGATACATGCTATATGGTTATGGTACAAAACTAACTAACAATCCCGTTTATCTATGTTGTAGTTGTTAATCGGGATATAACAAAGAGCAAAAATCTTGAATGATTACGATAAACGTAACTGATTTCATAGCTACATCATAAACACTCTAACAAATTGACAGTGATAAATAATTTAAACAAGAGTATCAAACAAGTGTATGGGATACACTAAATTTCAAGAATAAGAAATAGCAAACAAACAGAATGCAGCTTTTCAGATATCGACCCGCACCAATAGTTTTGGTTAGTTTAAATCAATCTTAATTAAAAAATAAATGAAATAAAAATTAAATCTTAGTTAATAATAGCAGAGCATTAATCCTCGTAATTGTTATTTAAACTACTGATAAGTTGCCAGTGAAGGCAAACATTAAAACACCGGTATTGCACTACGCTTACGCGCATGTCCGGGTAGACAATAATTGTTTAGATTGCCTAACAATCAACATAAAATAATAAAATAAGACAGCTAATCGAGCTGCTTGACTTATGTCTAATAATTTAACTTTGTTTTTTACCTCGTTTTGCCAGAAATGCCTATGCAATTTATACCTTTTTTTGGTCCTATTAATTATTTCCTTCTTGCGCTTTGAATAATCAAATAAATAAATAAATAATAATTGAACGATACCTTCCTTACTCAGATATGCGTCGAATGCTCACTTTTAAACGACAATAGATGCAATGGAAATAATAGAATTAAGAAATATTTGACGACGTCATATCTTAAATTTGTTAAAAAATTCCCTCATAGAATATGGTTCTTGATTTGTTAGTTTACCAAATTTGAATTTAAACTGACTGTTTGATAATGAACGAATATTTCCTTTTTAATTAATAATGAGCATAATATCTAATATCAATTATTTATTTTTGTTAGATATAGGAATATGAATACCAATAAATTCAGTGACTTTTCCGTGCAAATTTCTTGTGAACGCGCGGGGACTTTATTGGAATTTTTTGAAAATCAAACAAAGATACCTTATTTAACTTTTGGTTTCGCGCTAGTCAACAGAAACATTTCTTTTAGTATTTACCCACGCTCTTATTATTTTACCCCTTAAACTCAGCAACAGCAACTCGGCGAAATGTGTTTTAAGGAAACTAAAAAAAATGTTAGAAACTGAATAAAATTATGGCACATTGCAATAAGATTGACATTGATAAGTTTTGTTCAGTGATTAAACGAGAGAACAACAATGTTTGGGGTTATCCATCAAATGTGTAATTTTAGCTCTATTATTAAAGTGAAACTTAAGAAACCACCGATTTTGTTATGACTCTGGATAATTTTTTTAATCATACTTCTCGTTTTCGAACGACCAGTTGGTATATATATGCTTTTCATTTACTCCACAAGGACTCTTTGACACACGGCAAGAATTTTGACTATGGGATAAGATTTTTATAATTTCTTGATTCTTCTCTACCTGAGCCAGTTGGTCCGAACTCTCAGCCCCTATAATTCGGGGAGGTTATATTTTTAATTACCGTATCCGACTTCCTTGGTTTGGTTCATTGTTCGTACAGGTGCTACATTACTCTTACACAAAGTCTGCATTTAATAATGGGTGGTGCTCCCGCTGGACCGGCAGGGACGGGTAAAACTGAAACTACAAAGGATCTGGGAAAAGCTCTTGGTATGATGGTGTACGTCTTCAACTGTTCCGAGCAAATGGATTATAAATCGATAGGAAATATTTATAAGGTATACTAAAGAATTATTATATGGTAGCTGTGTAATTGGAAGTATTTTAACTATCTAGGGTTTGGCTCAAACTGGGTGCTGGGGATGTTTTGATGAATTCAATAGAATATCCATCGAGGTTCTTTCAGTGGTTGCCGTTCAAGTGAAAACCATCCAGGACGCGATCAAAGACAATAAAAAGAAATTCTGGTTTTTGGGTCAGCAAATCGCTTTAGTACCTACGGTAGGTAAAACAAACTGTAAAAATTAGAGGAAAATCAGTACTATTATACTGCACCATGAATCATTAATAAGAGTTAGAGATTGGTTTTGAGTAAAAATTCATCATGTCAGTTACTTCAAAAGCGTTAAAATTTCAATAATAATTTTTTGTTCTTAGGTTGGGTGTTCTTGGAACATCTTATGTGATTTCCTTTACTATGGTTAGTTCTGGTTAGTTTGTTGTGACTATATTGCTATTTTTAAAATTAGAAATCACACCTGGTAACTGTCATATTCAAAACTTGTATGATAAAAAATTTAACCACCTCAATCGAATCCTTGAATTCTTATATTTTTACATAACTTTGGTGTTAACATGTTATGGTTATCTAATATACCAATTTTTCCTCCACATCATTTCTTTTTAAGTTTAGCCAAACTAGGTCTTTGAAAATGGTCAAATCACTGTGGGTTTAATTAATGAAACCAGAACCCCAGATGTCTCTTATGAGAGAGATCCAGAGTGTTAATTTAGTTCTACTTATTTCTATAAAGCTCAAGCAGTTTTAGACATATAGACATGAAAACTAATGGGAATTATAAATATAAATTCTCTCCTGTCTTAGGTCGGTCTGTTCATTACTATGAATCCTGGTTACGCTGGTCGGACTGAACTGCCCGAAAATTTGAAAGCTCTTTTTCGCCCATGCGCCATGGTGGTGCCTGATTTTGCGTTAATTTGCGAAATTATGTTGGTCGCGGAAGGTTTTCAAGAAGCTCGCTTGCTAGCTAGAAAATTCATAACGCTCTACACTCTATGTAAGGAACTCCTCAGCAAACAGGATCATTACGACTGGGGTTTGAGGGCGATTAAATCGGTGCTGGTTGTTGCCGGCTCGCTTAAACGTGGTGATAGACAAAGACCCGAAGACCAAGTGTTAATGAGGGCTTTGCGCGACTTCAACATACCCAAAATAATTACAGAAGACGTGCCGGTCTTTATGGGATTAATTGGTGACTTGTTTCCGGCATTGGACGTGCCAAGGAAGCGCAACTTAGAGTTCGAGAAAATGATCAAGAAGACCACAATCGAAATGAAACTTCAACCGGAAGAAGGATTCATTTTGAAAATTGTTCAATTGGAGGAGTTGTTTGCGGTGAGGCACTCAGTATTCATCATCGGGTTCGCCGGGACCGGAAAGTCTATGGTGTGGAAAACCTTAAATCGCACTTACGCTAACATGAAATTGAAACCCGTCTACAATGATTTGAATCCAAAAGCTGTAACTAATGACGAACTGTTTGGGGTGATCAATCCATCGACTAGAGAATGGAAAGATGGCTTATTTTCTGTAATTATGAGAGATCAAGCGAACTTAAGTGGAGAGGGTCCCAAATGGATTGTCCTAGATGGCGATATTGATCCGATGTGGATCGAATCTCTCAACACTTTAATGGACGATAACAAAGTTTTGACTTTGGCCAGCAACGAACGTATCGCGTTGACCCGTTCGATGAGGTTGCTATTTGAAATTGCAAACCTAAGGACTGCAACCCCAGCAACTGTGTCCAGAGCTGGCATTTTGTATATAAATCCCGCGGATCTGGGCTGGAGCCCTTTCGTCGCCTCTTGGATCGACACCAGAACCCAACAAAGTGAAAAAGCAAATTTGATGATATTATTTGATAAATACGTACCTCCCTGTTTGGAAGCCGTTCACAAAAAGTTCAAAAAAATCACTCCAATATCGGACATAGCCCACTTGCAAATGCTGTGCAGTTTGCTAGACTGTTTTTTAACTGCCCAAAACGTTCCTCTTGATTGCCCGAAGGAATGGTACGAGACCTATTTCGTTTTTTCGGTGGTGTGGGCTTTCGGGTCCGCGATGTTTCAGGACCAAATCATAGACTGGCGGAACGAATTCAGCAAATGGTTCATAAACGAGTTCAAAAGTATCAAGTTTCCCGTAGGTGGTAACGTGTTTCAATACTACATTGATTCGGAAACGAAAAAGTTTTTGCCGTGGACAGATTTGGTTCCTCATTTTGAGCTCGATCCCGATATCCCACTGCAGGCGACCCTGGTGAATACCGCTGAAACCAGTCGGATAAGATTCTTTGTCGATCGACTGGTTGCGATGAAAGTACCGGTTATGTTGGTGGGTCCTGCAGGAAGCGGCAAAACCGTTATCATCCAAGAGAAACTGAATAGTTTGGAAGATACTTACGCTGTAACGAACGTGCCGTTCAATTTTTACACCACATCGGAGATGTTTCAGAAAATTTTGGAAAAACCTTTGGAGAAAAAAGCGGGCAAGGTATATGGTCCGCCGGGCAATAAAACGATGATATACTTCATCGACGACATGAATATGCCAGAGGTTGATAAATATTTTACCGTACAACCGCATACGCTTTTAAAACAATGGATGGATTACCAACATTGGTACGACAGACAGAAGTTGACCATAAAGGAAATCCACAACGTGCAGTTTATATCTGGCATGAATCCGACTGCTGGTTCTTTCACTATCGATCCACGATTGCAGCGGCATTTTAGCGTTTTCGCAGTCAGCTACCCTTCCGAAGAAGCCTCCTTACACATTTATAATTCGATTTTTTCACAGCACCTTGCCAGTCCGCTTCAAAAGTTCAGCGCCAATATTCAGAAACTTTGCCCGACGCTTGTGCAAGCGGCGCTCCATTTGCATCAAAAAGTGGGCCAAACTTTTCTTCCAACTGCTGTAAAGTTCCATTACACTTTTACGCTCAGGGACTTCTCTAACGTTTTCCAAGGGATGCTTTTTGCAACTGGGGCCGCCATTCCCAATCAGTCTTCTCTCATTCGTCTTTGGATGCACGAAGCGAATAGAGTTTACGGCGACAAATTGGTTGAACGCCGCGATATGGATACTTTTAACAAGCTCATGATCGAAACCGTTAAAAAAGGGTTCGAGGAGCTAGACGAAAATGTCGTGTTTGAAAAGCCGTTAATTTTCTGCCATTTTTCAGAAGGAATAGGCGATCCCAAATACTTTCCCATCACCGATTTTGACCATTTGAGTAGATTATTACATGACGCACTGAGCGGATACAACGACCTGATTGCGGCAATGAATCTAGTACTTTTCGAGGACGCCATGTATCACATATGCCGTATTAGCAGGATATTAGAGGCACCTAGAGGCAACGCTTTATTGGTAGGTGTAGGAGGATTCGGAAAACAGTCTCTTACTAGACTAGCAGCGTTCATTTCGTCTTTCGAAGTATTCCAAATTCAACTGAAGAAAGGTTACTCTATGCACGATATGAAAACAGATATTGCTCAACTGTATTTAAAGGTTGGTCTGAAGAGTGTTGGAATCGTGTTCTTGATGACCGATGCCCAGGTGCCCGACGAATCATACCTGGTGTTAATCAACGACGTTCTTGCGTCGGGTGAAATTAGTGAGCTGCTACCGGATGAAGACGTCGAAAATGTCATCAATGGAGTTCGAGGTGAGGTCAAAGGTTTGGGTCTGCAAGATACGCGCGAAAACTGCTGGAAATTCTTCATCGATCGCGTGAGACGCCTTCTGAAAATAGTGCTCTGTTTTTCACCTGTCGGTTCGACGCTGCGAGTGCGCGCTAGGAAATTTCCAGCATTGGTTAACTGTTGCTCTATCGATTGGTTCCACGATTGGCCCAGGGAAGCTTTGGAGTCGGTATCGAAGAGGTTTGTAGCTGAAATCGAAGTTTTACCGCAACCTCTTATCGATTCGGTCTCGTTGTTTATGTCCCATGTTCACGGGCTAGTTAATGACTTTTCGGAAACCTACTTGCAGAACGAAAAACGTTACAATTACACAACACCCAAATCCTTCTTAGAACAAATCGATCTGTATGGGAAACTCTTAACAGAGAAATCGGAGGATCTTCACAACAATATTGACCGCCTGCAAACCGGTTTGACTAAGCTAGCGTCGACGTCCGAGGAAGTGGACGGTCTTAAAGAAGTTCTCGCGGTGCAGGAAGTAGAGTTGGCGGAAAAAAATGTCGCCGCCAGTAAGCTGATCGAAGTCCTTTCGATCGAGAACGAGAAAGTGGCGAAAGAGCAGGCGATAGCCAGCGAAGAAGAAGCGAAAGTTAAATTAATTGAGGAAGACGTAACGATTAAAGCCAAAATTTGCGCAGAAGATCTAGCTAAAGCCGAACCGGCTCTGATTGCGGCCCAGGCGGCTTTAAATACGCTAAACAAAAACAACTTGACGGAGTTGAAATCGTTCGGCAGTCCGCCTGACGCGGTCGTCGCTGTTTGCGCCGCAGTTTTGGTACTGTTTTCAAAAAAAGGCAAAATTCCCAAAGATAGAAGTTGGAAGGAATGCAAACTAATGATGGGTAAAGTAGATCAATTTTTGAACGACCTGATCACTTACGATAAGGAAAATATGCAGCCGGAAGTGGTCAAGGCTGCACAGGAATACCTAAAAGATCCCGAATTTAACCCGGAAAATATCCTGAGTAAATCTGTAGCCGCCGCCGGCCTCTGCGCTTGGGTTATAAATATATTGAAATTCTATGATGTGTTTGTAGTGGTGGAGCCCAAAAGACGGGCTTTGGCGGCCGCGAACAAGGAATTGGCGGATGCGCGAGGGAGACTCGCCGAACTCAAAGAGAAACTCGACGAGCTGGAGAAACAACTGGCCATACTAAGGGCGGAATTTGAAGATGCCACAAATGCTAAGCTTAAATGCCAAGCCGAAGCGGACGCTACCACCCAGATGATCGATTTGGCCAATCGACTGGTGAATGGTTTGGCTTCAGAAAATATTCGTTGGAGGGAGCTGATTAAACATTACAAGGAGGCTACCGTGACCCTTCCCGGAGACATTTTATTGGTCACTGCTTTTATTTCGTATTTAGGATGCTTTACTAAACGGTATCGTACTGATATGTTGGACAAACACTGGAGGCCGTTTTTAAAGACTCTTGAAGTGCCGATTCCTATGACCGAAGACTTGGACCCTTTAACCATACTGACCGACGATGCCAAGATTGCGCAGTGGAACAATGAAGGTCTTCCTACTGATCGCATGTCTACAGAAAACGCCTGCATATTAACGAAATCGACTAGATGGCCCCTCATTATCGACCCGCAATTGCAAGGTATAAAATGGATTAAAACGAAGTACGGGGACCATTTAAAAGTGGTGAGGTTAACGCAGAGGACGTATTTGGATGTGATCGAAAAATGCATTTCTGATGGACAGACGGTGCTGATAGAAAACATTGGAGAAACTATGGACGCCGTTATGGATCCAATCCTGGGCAGGGTGTTGGTGAAAAAGGGAAGATGCATTAAGATCGGCGACAAAGAAATCGACTTCAATCCCAATTTCCGATTGATTTTGCACACGAAACTGGCGAACCCGCATTACAAACCGGAAATTCAAGCCCAAACCACTTTGATTAATTTCACTGTTACCCGTGACGGTTTGGAGGAGCAACTGTTGGCAGAAGTCGTAAAAGCCGAACGGCCTGATTTGGAAACGCTCAAATCGACTTTAACGAAACAACAAAACGATTTCAAAATTACCCTAAAAACGTGCGAGGACAATTTGCTTTACAGATTATCCTCTGCCACTGGAAATATTCTGGGAGACGTTGAGTTGGTAGTTAACTTGGAGACGACAAAAAAGACGGCGAATGAGATTGCATTAAAAGTGGAGGAAGCTAAATTGACTTCGGTAAAAATCGACGAGGCTCGTGAACACTACCGACCGTGCGCAACGAGGGCGTCTTTGTTGTATTTCATACTGAACGATTTGTTTCGTATTAACGCCATCTACCAATTTTCCTTAAAAGCCTTTAGCGTTGTCTTTAAAGATGCGTTGAAGAGAGCTACGCCGGCAGAGAATTTAAACGAAAGGGTCTCAAATTTGCTGGATAACATCACGTTCTCCGTTTTCATGTACACCTCCCGTGGTTTATTCGAATGCGATAAGCTAACGTTCATGGCCCAAATGACTTTCCAGATATTTTTGCAACTGGGAGAAATAAATCCAGAGGAACTGGATTTTCTTCTTCGATTTCCCGCCATAGCCAATCTAAGTTCGCCGGTAGATTTTTTAAACAATATTTCTTGGGGTGGTATAAAAACGCTTTCTCTCACCGAGGAGTTTAAAAACCTCGACAAGGATTTGGAGGGGTCAGCCAAAAGGTGGAGAAAATTCGCAGAGAGCGAATGCCCGGAAAAGGAAAAATTTCCTGGCGAATGGAAAAACAAAACGACTCTACAAAAGTTGTGCATTATGCGGTGCCTTCGGCCAGACAGAATGACTTACGCGGTGAGTCTCTATATCGAAGAAAAATTAGGGTCTAAATACATAACTGCTCGGAGCGTTGCGTTTGAAAAATCCTACGAGGAGACCAGCTCCTCGACTCCAGTATTTTTCATTTTATCCCCGGGAGTGAACCCACTAAAAGACGTTGAGCGAATGGGGAAACGATTGGGGTTCACGTTCGATCATGGAAATTTTCACAGTGTCTCTCTAGGCCAAGGCCAAGAAATCGTTGCCGAAAATGCGATGGATTTGGCAGCCCAAGAAGGTCAATGGGTCATCCTACAAAATATCCATCTGGTGGTGAAGTGGTTGGCAACGCTTGAGAAGAAAATGGAACAGTGTGGTGAAAGTGCACACGACAATTACAGATTATACTTGAGCGCCGAACCTTCTCCAGACCCACACTCTTGCGTAATACCTCAAGGTATTTTAGAATCCTCGATTAAAATAACGAACGAACCACCCACCGGTATGTATGCGAACTTGCATAAAGCTCTGGATAATTTTAATCAGGAAACTTTGGAGATGTGCTCCAAGGAAGCGGAGTTTAAGGCAATTTTGTTTGCCCTCTGCTATTTCCACGCTGTGGTGGCGGAAAGGAGGAAATTCGGGCCACAGGGTTGGAACAGGAATTACCCGTTCAACGTAGGCGATTTGACCATTAGCGTAAGCGTCCTCTACAACTATTTGGAAAACACCAACAAGGTAAGCGAACTTTGTTAGCAAAAAGGCAACAACAATTTTGTTTATTGTTGTAAAATTAATTTGTTAATGAAGAACATTTTTCGATTTTATAATTGTACAAATTTTACACTTAGCGGCATGCAACAGACGATGTTTTTCGTATTTATTTATTATTATTTTCGGATTTAAATAGTGCTAGACGAGAAAAATTAACTTGAATACTTTTTTTTATGTATAAAAATGTTGTTGTCTTGTGGAAAGTTTTTTTACAGTTATTTTTTTGAAGATTATTTTGGAGTTGATTTATTTTATTTCATCGGCGATGCGCGCCTCTCGAGAAAAATAGTGCCTCTTCTATGGGGGGTTTGAATTGAGCTCCGAGTCCTGTTATTGGGCTGCCTCTGGTGGTGCGCAGCTGGCGAGGGTACGAATTGGAGTTTACTCCTTTTTTGAACAGTTTGCATGTGCTGTCGTTTTCTTAGAGGGCAGTGTCTTGTTAGTCTACCTAGCTTTCGTAGTCTGGCGCAACTGAGACAGAGATTACTTTTGATCCTGAGGCATACAGGGTCCCACAATTACATCCCTCGACTGCCTTAGTCCCCGGAAAATCTCCTAGTGCAGAGCGAACTGCTGTTTAATCAGCTCGCTCTTCAACATGGTGTCTGCTTTTACAACGGAAGGCTCCGGTCCGAAATACAGTATTGCCACCGCAAACGGAGCAAGTGTGTCTGCCATTTCGTTGCCCTTAATCAGATCAGCGGTTAACAGAATTAAATTCCGCCAGGTTTGTCAACGGTTTTCGGTAGTAGCGCATTCATGTATCTGATTAGCCTGTGACATAAGAATATTTCCTCCCGTAGGGTGTATAAAGCGCAAAGTAGCCTCACTCTTTTCTCTCTTCATAGAGAAGACATGTTGGCTCCCGCTCGAGGCAGATAGAAGGTGTCGGTGCGCGTCTGTCGTCGGGTTCCAATTTCATAGGATCATAGTAAAATCTATTTGTATGGAGCCGGTCACTATTATGCAGCACCACCTTTGTACTCCCCTTACAGCTGCCACGATTGTCTGTGATTTGTGGCTTCAATCTCCAATTATGTCCCCACAGGTGCCAACACATTAACGCGAACCGTGCAGAAGAGCTTAGAGTCTAGAGTCCAGTTCCAGTCCAGATACTTTACTTTGGCAAAACTTACATGAATGGTTAATAAAATTCTTTCTTTTTCTCTTTGTTTCCAAGATAAACTCTTCGATGACCTGTAACATAAAAATGTATGCAAAGCTTATCAATTTTAAAGGAAACGTTGGTGCGTATCTGCAATACTATACGACACGCGAGAGTTACCTGCGCCTAACTTGAAAGTCGGAAGCGAAAATGCCAAGCAAATGGAGCGAAATATCAATTTTTCAATTTAACAGAAAATCCTGCATTCAGAAACATTTTCCTGTTCAAACCCCATTAGATAATCCGTTCCCGGTTCAAAAATACGAAAGTCACAGTCGCAACTCGGTCCGCCTGTTAATTCCAGTTTCGTTCCAACTTAAAAATTATTTCGCGTTAACATTTTATCGCGTCCCATATTTTGTTGGCAGAATTGCGAATCGTGACCCAATTTTTCCCCATTATTTAATTTATTCATGAATCTGTGTGTGCTAATTTTCACCACTACAAATCGAGTTTCCGTTGTTGTCCGGAATAATCGAGTTTTAGTCGAAAGTAACGTTGTTATTTTGATTGATTATTGTTGTCTACAATTCGATACTCGCCCGTGATAAATTTAAGTTTATCTGTTATTTATACAGCCGGATTTGCGTTGTTGCCGGTTAAAATTTGCCCGCTAAATGCCGTTGCGTTGCAGATCCCGTGGGAAGATTTGAGGTACTTATTCGGGGAGATTATGTACGGAGGGCACATAACCGACGACTGGGACAGAAGATTATGTCGGAGCTATCTATTAAGTTACATGCAACCGGAATTAATCGAAGGGGATTTACACTTCGCCCCAGGTACTATTACATCCTGCTGTTCCTATTATCAAGGTGTCACTTGCTCCTTCCGTCAAATTTACCTTTGTCTCCTGTGATATTCCCCACGCCATTAGTATTGCATCTTTAAGTTGTTAGCCTCCGTTATTGATATTTTTTCGTCACAGTGAAATTAAAATCGGAATGGCTTCAAAATATACTGCAAAATATAAATTGCAACAGCTAGTAAATGTAAACATATTTTTAAAAAATATTTTGGGAAGTAGTCGGAACAAATACAAAACAAACAATTTTATTGTTGTTGTTGCTGAAGGTTCCTAAGTAAACTTACTTTTAGTTCAACGCATCAGAGTAGTGTTCGCAGTATTTTTAGTTTACGAATAACATCATGATGTTCATATCAACTAAGAGATGTTCCAATAATTTTCCCCTTCCACACGACTGGAATTGGAGAGTCCACTATTTCAAATTATTGCGGAAGAGAAATACAGCAGATCAAATGAAAACTTTCAAAAAAAGTGCAAGCAAACCATTAAAGCTTCTTCAAGAAGATACCAAGTCTAAAAAAGTTCACACTTTTTATTTTAAAAAAGAAATACCTACCTAAGGTAAGATTATCAGGGGACCTACTTTGCCTTATCATCCAGGTCAAAGTGAGCGATGGGAACTAAATTTATCAGAATATATAGCAAGTGTAGGTAGACAGAACACGAGATTGAAAATGAAAGATTACTGTCTGATGAACGTCAAGGTATTCAGGAAATGACATCACAGAATTGGCAAAAAGCATCAAGGGGAATGTATTTTCCTTCTTATCATATCTTGTTCACTATTCTGAGATTGAAAATTATGTTTTTTTGCTTCTTTCATTCAATAGTTCACTGTCGTTTATCGAATATTTTAGTCCTCAAATATTCTTGTTATCCGACTGTAATTAGTTCTATAACCCGCTCATAGTTCCCTGTAGATTCTCCTTCGTTATTCCACATGCGCGAGAGTTCATTCTTATTTTCTGTTACACCTGTTGTATGTTATTTCCAAATAGCTATTAGATAATATGGTGGCTGTTCGACAAAAGAAGTTGATGCATCTTGGACCGCTATGCATCTATTGTTGAAGAGATGGGAATGATCTGCTGTGGATGCCTCTAAATTTTACCAACGAACTTGCACTTTGCGCCATTTTCTTTCTAAACAGTGAACACTCCAAGTTTTCAAATATTTATATCTACATCTATACTGTGGTGGTTGGTGTTGGTGGTTGCAAACAAGAATTTAAATGACAGTGCGCGCGCATATTAGATGTCCTACCTATTTTTTTCATAGTCGCTTCAAAAATTCCTTCATTATCAGCATAGGCATGTCCTCCATATATCCGGTAGCTATATGATTATTTCCTATTCATTTTGAACTTACTTTGGCTAATGTCACCTTTGCCACATTGTTCTGTGTTGACAGTTTAACATTGTGAGGTTATTCTTCTTTTTTACTTCTATTTGTAGTAGTTATGAGGACAGACACAACTAACTAGGATATTCTTTTTTATTTTACACCACTCCCTTTGGTATGCACCGGGAGCATCGGGATATATTTTACCGGTTTGTTTTTTGCAGGTTTTTTTGCACCGCCAAATACGGACTACGTCGGATATCATAAGTACATAGACGACAGATTGCCGACCGAGAGTCCGTACTTGTATGGACTACATCCGAATGCGGAAATTGGCTTTTTAGCAAGTACCGCAGAGAACATGTTCCGAACTATTTTTGAAATGCAACCCAGGGACTCTAGTGCTGCGGCGGGGGCTGGTATGTCAAAGGAAGACAAGGTAATATTTTATAATAATGAAGTAACTGCAATATGAGACGCTGTGGTCCAAATAGTTTAATCCCGCCAATTAAAACCTTTCTTGATCGCAGTAACCAGACTATTAGTTTTGTCCCTCGCAACGGGTTTACACGAGTCCTTTATTAAACAATGCTGTTGCATAAAATTTAACTTTACCTTAATTTTTCACAAGCACGATTTTTTTTTGACGAACAAAGTTTGTTAAGTTATAAGACAGCGTCCCCTTGGGCCTACTGTCAAATGCATATTATTATTGTAAAAAACCGTGGTCCTTTGATATGTTTACCGTTTACCTTTGGCTCATTCTAACTGAATAGGCGACAATAAAGCATTATTCGTGACCCTGTTAACAGTTTTTGTGGTGTGGTGGTGTGCGCTTAGTGGAAAATAGCGCAAGAACAACGTCTACTACAATGTCCATTTTATTGTATTTAAATTGTAATATGAAAAGTCGTTCTTTTGTATTGTCAAACGCAAAACGTGAATGTCAAAGGACATTTTTGCATTGCACCTACAAACTAGCAAAATAAAAGTCCTCCTTATGACATTAAGGGCCAATTAAATAATGCAGAAATATAAAGTGATAAGGTCAGTTGTAAAGCTGATTTGTCGAAAGTTGAAAATATCAGCAGTTCTTCAAAAGTGTACTGAAGAAAGCATAAAAGTTTTACATCTTATTGAGTGACATCCATCAAACGGAGCATGTGTTTGTGGATTTGAAGCCAGTAAACTTTTTCTTTAATGTTGATTACTCTAATGAATCCCTAAAGACATAGAATCGCGAATGAAACCAAGCGAACTATTTTTTTAAGCAAAATCTCTAATAGAGTGAGGCTCGTTTAAGCTAACCTAGCTCATCTAGTCCTCTCCACCACTTCATCTTTGCAGACGGAGCAAAATGGTTCCAAGAAAAAACCCAATTTTCTTAGCAAAATCTTGTAAAAATCCCAATCTCTTATTTCCCACAAAAGTTTAGAATGCGTTTTTGGCCCATGGCCTCCTTGTTATTTTTTAGGCTTTCAACAATGTTAGTCTTTGAGTGGAACACCCGGTCTATGCATAGACTACGAATCCATTTAAATCCTCTCCGTATGAGTTGAATCTGGGGAGAAAATAATAACGCATTTTCTCCAAAATTTTCTTAAAATATATTTTACTGAAGATTTTTATTATTTAAATTTACGAAGGGACGAATGGAAATTTTACGTAAGATTTTCGTTAATAGAAACATGAGAAATGCCGCAGAAAACTCGTTTTTTAGGAACGGTATACGCGTGAGCGAGCAATTTAATTTAGATTTTATGCGCCTCGAAGGCATGTCCGATGAAAAAGCTCATTTTCTATTTATAAGTTTTGTGTTGGGAACTCGTATATATTCTTTCTTTAGGTTAGAAATGCTTTGGAGGAAATCTACGACAAATTGCCTGAAGAGTTTCCCGTAGTCGAAATGATGGCCAAAGTCGAAGAGCGCACCCCTTACATCATTGTCGCTTTCCAAGAATGCGAAAGGATGAACACATTAACGAGGGAAATGAAGAGGTCGCTACGTGAACTCGATTTGGGGTTAAAGGGCGAGCTGACTATTACATCTGACATGGAGGATCTACAAGAATCGCTGTATTTGGATCAGGTGCCGGATTCATGGTCTTCGAAGGCTTATCCTAGCTTGCTTCCCCTCGGACAATGGGTTGGAGACCTCTCACTAAGGTGGATGAATTAAAATATTCCATATTCCAATTCTATCGCAAGTTCAAAAAATTAGGTAGTCAGTGTAACACTTCATTCCATCAGTAACTAGTCCGTTATTGCCTTTATTCGGCCACCTACTGGTTTCTAACGGCCATGGCAACGGCAGATATTATGGTCACGTTGGCTATTAATATAATAGGATTTTATCCTTATCAGATGCAGCTTTGTCAAGTACTCTATTAATTGCACAAACTAAAATGTTTTTCGATGTGATGTGTATAACACAACAAGAAATAAGTGTCGAAGCTTCGCCACATATGGGGATGCCTAAATGAAATTATCTAGGATATGGTTCCTGTGGAACACTGAAAAATTTGAAAATAGCCATAAGTAACGCCTTAAAAACTATAACCTGCAAAATCAGTATTAGTTCGGAAAAACATAAGTCAGTGCAAGGGGTAAACCGCAGAGCTAAATCTCAATTATTTACTTATACTTGCAATTTCTTAGAATTATTTTCAAATTCTTGAGAAGTTCTTTGAAATTCTTTATTTTTCGAAAAGGCGATTCGTTCAGATTCAAGTATTTAAAGCAACTAATTATTATATTATAAGAAACAAGAATAAGTTAACGTGTAGTTATACTTAATGGCAATTAACATAATACAAATATGAACAAAATCAATGTTTGATTGGGTATCTACAATTGAAGTACAAATACAAAATTGTCTATAAATAACAAAATTCCAATATTACTATGTAGTGTTATTATTTTAAGTAAACTTATCGCTCACATATAAATAGATATACTTTAAATAAAAAATATTTATTTGTACCAACCAAAAATTACATTTTGAAGTGAGTTATGAAACTAGAAATTAGTTCTATGTCGATATAATAATTTCAGATGCCTTCGTGGTGTAATGGCCTGTCCGCCGTATAGTAGGTAGCTGGTTCGATCTTGGTTTTAGTGCTATATTTATTTTATTAATCAGTTTGTTTTGGCCTCAACCACCGTCGCAATTTGTGTATCATTAAAAGTGGTACCACTAGAAAACTTTGATTATGCCGCTCGTCTGTTAAGAATCTTAAAATGTCTAGCAGACAATCAGTGTTTTGATTATTTTTTCGATTATTTTGATGTGTATAAGTCTAACAAATTTCATTTGTGCACTTTTGTGGAACGACTGTTTTACTTTATTTTGAATTAGATGATCGACATTGGTTAGTCGCTATGGAAAACTCGATAATAAAGTGACTTATTTACGTTTCAATTTTCAAAATAATTGTAAAAATGTTCCTATTATTATTCTTAACATTGGGTAAGTGTTATTGTTTCTGTAGTTTGGATTACCTAAACGTTTATTGCATTGACGTAGATTGAATACCATTTGAATTTTTATCTAATTTTTCGACATTTCCATGTCTTTTTCCTTTCCCTCGCCGATACGTATCGTCTTTTTGTAAATAAAAAACAGATCCTTATTTTCTTTTCCTTTTTTGAGCGGTGAGCGTTGATTTTAGTTTTTTGCAAAATTTAATCCTCATCGAAAGAAAATCAGTAGAAAATGATTAACTTCGGTCATGGTTAATAATTTATATAATACATACCTCTTACCAATTTGTTACTTTTTAAACACCCTGAAACTGTCACTTGTATTTTTTTTGTTAATTGAAGAATAAAAGAACTAGAAGGTTGGACGCAAGATTTTTCGATGCCCGCTACCGTATGGTTGGGTGGGTTTTTCAATCCGCAATCATTTTTGACTGCTATAATGCAGCAAACTGCCCGAAAAAATGAATGGCCGCTGGACAAAATGTGCCTGATGACGGAGGTGACGAAGAAGCAAAAGGACGATTTCAATTCGCCGCCTAGGGAAGGCGCGTACGTCCATGGATTGTTTATGGAGGGTGCAAGGTACGAACGTTTTACGTGTTGCCCTTCAGTTCATTTGAAGATCTTTTTTCGGCAATTTTTGAAACATTTCGACTTTCATGAATCGTTGATTTTCATATAGATATTGAAGCATATCGTTAAAAAAAAATGTTTGGTAAACTTTTTAAGTCACTAAGTTTATTAAACACTGCGCTCTGCTCTACTCATGACTCAAATGCCGTTTACCGTACTTGTTGAATAATATATACTATTGAGCAAGAAAGTGAAAAACATTTGGTTTATGATGGATTTCATAAACTTCTTGTTGGATTATGCTAAATACTAACAGCTCTAATAGTAATTTTAGTTGATGTTTAAAGACAAATTTTCACAATTTGTATTTAACAAATATGAAAAAAGTTAATTAGTAATAATTAGTAATAATTATTAGTATATTGAATACCCACGCCTGCTAAGCGAATAGTCAAATAATAAGGAAATGTCTCAGGCAATAGTGATAAATTAATAAACGTTGGAAAGAGAAGCAACAATCTAATTAACGGCAGCACGGCGCAGAACCATCGGTCAACTTTAGATACTTGCAGCAGAGCACATGTCGAATTCGACGTCATAGCCAACTGTCAGTTGCATATGAAGAAATCAGACATTTTTATGAATCTTAAAAAACAAGGATAGCGATCAATCGAAATGGTAAAATTCAAACTTTGCCGGTGTTGAGCCCTACAAGTATGTTGGTATCTGTTATGAAGAATGGTGAAGATATACCGGACTTTTTGTACGTGTATAAGCAGGCATTTAATATCAATTGAAGATGTCACAGAGTCACTTGATTATTGAATTAACCGCGAAAGTCAAAAAAGTTAACAACAATTTAAAACATCTTAAATTCAAAAAAACGAAATCCAAGAACTCCCCCATTTTTCATGACAGATGACAACAGCCATACTATACACGATTGCAATGGGCATTTTTTGAGACTATCGGCAACAATTACTGCAATATATAATGAAGAAGCTGCATTCATTTGTTTTAAACATCTGAGTACGCCGCGGCACTTGATTCAAAAAGTGCACAAATGATGTTGCACCATAATCACAAATTTTCATAACTAACAAAGTTATGGGTAATTTTCAAAAAATGGGGCTATACCTCGGTTGGTAGTGAAGATATCGCCATGCGGTTTTTAGCATTCTACATACTAGTTATTTTGCATTTATGAAATTTAAAGCAGCTAAATAAATTGAAAGATCTGAGCCATAAATTCATAAAATCAGGAAAAATATGTCGTCCTTAGCAGTTTCATTAAATATATTTAAGTAGTTCTCGATATAATGCCGGACACCCCTTAACTGCGCACTCTAGCATAGTCCTTGTTTATGCGATAGAGTTCATGTTTTATTGCCGCCATCGTTGTTATTTTGTTAAACCGTTGGAAACACATCCGGTTACCTTTCCGCCAAAAACAATCCGTCCGGAGTTTATCTATTATTAACATCCTTCCCGTTATATTTCAGATGGGACGTCCAGCTAAATAGCATAGCGGACTCGAAGCTAAAAGAGTTGTTCCCAGTAGTGCCTGTTATTTTCATAAAAGCCATTACCCAGGACAAACAAGACCTTCGTAACATGTACGATTGTCCAGTGTATAAAACAAGGATGAGAGGTCCCACGTTTGTTTGGACGTTCAACCTGAAAACGAAGGAAAAGGCATTGAAATGGACGCTGGCGGGGGTGGCGATATTGTTGCAAGTTTAAATAACACACGGAAAATGTTTTGACTTTTCATGTTGACTCTATTAAGATATAGTTTGTTAACAAATAAAGAATTATTCATTGTTCCAGTTACAATATTTGTTATAGCCTTTCTAATTGATACGTATATTAAATTATGTCCATTAAATAATGTTTTGTTTCTGAAGTAGAATACTGCACATTGTCCTATATTCGGCATAATTAATATCAATGAAAACCCGCTTTAATAAGGCAACTACATTTCTAACCAAACACCCTAATATGATATACAATTATTTTCAACGTGGACAGGAAATAACGAGTATTTGTATAGGTGCGGATGTGCCTAAAGAACTCAGTATGTAAGAAACCAAAATTTCTGTAATATGGTTGGCTGGACAGAGGTGGAATTAGGAGAAACAAAGATTCTATCATGCAAACACTTTTGTTGGGTTGTAAGTTTCGTGGTATCTGAACTACTGCATGAATTAAGGAAACACTTCAGAAGGAACGGTTTTGGGTGCACCCTTTGATACGAACACGAACACATGGAATGTTAAAAATATTTTATCAAGGTTTGCAGAAATATACGCGGAAGTCCATACAATACTTTTTATTTTTCTCTTCCACCAGTTGACAATATCGTCGTTTGTATTTGGGCATGCGTATTCTACAGGAAATCACACCGCCGACTTCCTGTTCAGGAGGGCTGTCTGGCTAAACTTTATAGGACCGGTCTGGCGACGTCAGTCTTTAAAGAGCTGATAAACGAAAGCCCGCGGAAACAATTTCTTCAACAATGGGATGAAAAAGGAAACTGTTGGCTAGCTAGGTAGCTATCGAACTGTCCAAACGAAACAGCAGCCAAAAAATACCTGACTATGACCAGGAAAAAGCTATACAACAATGCAGGTTGGGTTTGAGTAGAAGTAGCAGTAGCAGTAAGGGTGTACGAGCAGGAAGATGAAACAGTAGAACACATTCGGTGCAAATGTCCTAAACATTTAGTCACAAAGTCATGTATAGCGAGACGACTCGGGGAACCGTCATTGCCTACATCGAGTCGCTGGGATTGATGTAAAGTCCAGTGCTCTGCCCAGAAGGAAGCACAATGGGCCTGCGAGGTCCAAGTGTTTTAGAGTAGGCTACCCTCTTCACTTATAGGCGCGTAACTCATACAAGATTGAAAAATCTTGACGGTCAGTGCGTCTGCTTGATGGTTCAGCGATACACTAGTCGTCTGTACATCGCACAATTTGACGAAGATTTTAGACATTAAGTCTAAGTCAGTTACGACTTCTTCCCAGCACATTAATTTTTTGTTGCGTTCCATCGAAGGCTCATTAATTGTCGTTTAATTAGGAAAATTATTTACTTAAACTTACACTTTATATTAATTCTATAAAATTCTGTCTATTTAATTTTACTCATTCATTAACAATATACACACTTCGAAACTCTTACATATGATTTGTTTTGTCTACTACATACTGCAATTCTGTATCCCGTGAACAATAAGTGCCTGAGATAGCGAAAAGAAAACGGGTTTCGAATAGTTGGCGTGGAAATTAATTAAACGATTCGCCGAGTTCACGAAGCCGATTATAAATTTTAAATCAAGCCAATTCAGTAATCTAGTTAACTGGTTAGACAGAAAGCGGTTAAGTTTCGAAGAAATTGTGAAATTTATGGAACAGGTATTTTGCGAAAGCTTCCAATTTAGTTCGGTACATTTTGCTAAATGCAGCTAATAGGTGACCGGAGACTGCTTTGTATTTTGTACCATACATAAAGAGTTTATGACAAGAGATGGAACAAAGTTTGTATCAAAAAAATTTGAAGAGTTGTCAAAAGGGTTTCGTCTCTATTATTTTTTGGCAATGTCAAAACAAACAAGCGACTTTCGAAAACATAAGAAGAAACATGACTTTTCCACATTGAAGACTTTGTGCATTGTCACACAGTCTATTTGTCATGACCAGATGCGTAGTTCTCTGGCACTTTATGAGATGCCAAGGGGGAGTTGGGGGTTCAAAGGACTACCTGACTATGGGCGATCCCGAAGTCACATGGCTGTCGGGCAGAGACTGGCCGTATCTGCAAGGTAAGAGTAGGGGATCCAAGGGCAATACTATGTAGTCAAATAATAAGGAAATGTCTCAGGAAATAGTGATAAATTAATGAACGTTGGAAAGAGAAGAAACAATCTAATTAACGGCAGCACGGCGCAGAACCATCGGTCAGCTATAGATACTTGCAGCAGAGCACATGTCGAATTCTACGTCATAGCCAACTGTCAGTTGCATATGAAGAAGTACACCTTCATTAAATAACGAGAAATCATTTTTCCATCCTACTCGAAAACCGGTCTCAAGAATATCAGACATTTTTATGAATCTTAAAAAACAAGGATAGCGATCAATCGAAATGGTAAAAATCAAACTTTTCCGGTGTTGAGCCTTACAAGCATGTTGGTATCTGTTATGAAAAATGGCGGAGATATACCGGACTTTTTGTACGTGTATAAGCAGGCATTTAATATCAATTGAAGATCACAGAGACACTTGATTATTGAATTAACCGTGAAAGTCAAAAAAAGTTTACAACAATTTAAAACATCTTAAATTAAGAAAAACGAAATCCAAGAACTCCGCCATTTTTCATGACAGATAACAACAACCATACTATACACGATTGCAACGGGCATTTTTTGAGACCATCGGCAACAATTACTGCAATATATAATGAAGAAGCTGCATTCATTTGTTTTAAACATCTGAGTACGCCAAAGGGGAGTTGGGGGTTCAAAGGACTACCTGACTATGGGCGATCCCGAAGTCACATGGCTGTCGGGCAGAGACTGGCCGTATCTGCAGGGTAAGAGTAGGGGATCCAAGGGCAATACTATGTAGTTCGAGCCAGCTAAGAGAGATGGGCAGTTGAGTACAAACCGTCTGCCAAGCGAACCAGAGGGTACCGGACTTCCGAAATTACTGCTAAGAGATAGTCATGAAGCTAAGACTGCTGGTCATTTGCATCGCGTCTTTAAATTGCCGAATTTATGCTTAGCGCTTCTTTTTGAATTATAATACACCAAACACAATCAAGAAACTTCCATGGGCTACTGCAATACCGTTTTCCCAAAATTTCAGAATTTTTCCTATGCCGGTTGTTGTTGAATTGAACTTGCCGACGTTACGTCAACCATCCTGTTGGCTTCTTCAACCCATAAAGGAGGAATCCAGAACTATTGTAATTAGCACCAAACGTAATTATAAACCCTGCTTTCTATTTGTAGCCAAGTATGGAGTTTTCTTAATTGACATTTGAGATGATATAATACTATTAGCTGTTTTAGTAAAAATGAGTTTTAAAACAACGACGAAAAAATCTAATCTGGACAAAATGATTAAAAAAATTAAAGATTTTTCTTATCATTTGTTGGTTTTGACACTGGCAAAGGATAATAGAGATGAAGTCTAATATTTTGGTATTGTCTTGAACGATTCGAATAGGCTGGATCCGGCGTTGTCAGATATAAATAGTAAACAGTATATACATTATTTGTAGTGTGTATTGTGAGTAGTGTAACAGGTAAACGGTGACCTTAATTGTTGATTTTTAGAGTAATAAAGTTTTAGTTCCGCTGCATTTTATGCGAAGTGACTTATTTACTTAATTTAAACTCTGTTAATTATAAAATGTATTATGAACAAAACTTATTATCAAAACCTGCTTTTTGCAAAATATTCTCATTTTACCCACAGTTACGGTTAGTACAGTTTTAAAGCTCAGACAAATTCATTTCTTTTTTTATGCTCTTTACTCTATCTCTGAATGGAGACCACTGCAGTCCTTACTAAAATGCTATTTAGAAAAGTCTAAAATTTCGAATAATTCTGGTGGGTCTGGTTTAATTGATTCCGCATAGGAAAAAATTGATGATTGATCTAATAAGATTAATGTAACATTTTATAATGACCTTCCTTCAAATCGTAAAAACCTAGCTCTTAAGCAATCTAAAACAAAAATTAAGGATTTTTTTAGTCAGAATGTCCTTTATAACACGAATGAAGAATCGGAGCTACTTAGTAGCAATATGCTACAATGAATTTTCGTATTTTGTGTACTCTCATTGTTAGATTTGTCTGTAATATAATAGTTATTAGTTATTAGTTACGCTGTATTATTGTATCAATGTTTTGTTATTTTGGACGTACTATTTGTTGTTGAATAACGTACATGAATGGTTAATAAAGTTCTATTCTATTCTATTCTAAATATATGTATATTAAACTAATGGTATTATAGCATTAACAATGTGGTCCCTCTTTGCTACTATAAATATAAACGAATTGAATTAAAATGAACCAAAATTGAAACCCGAAAGCCAAAGTAGAATTGACTGTTTGAGGCCATATTTTTATTATTCTTTGTTTTCGACAATTTTTTGACATTTACCCTGGGACAAATCCTAAAAACTATTGGACGTGTTATATCTCTGGTTGGAAAGTATATCCTTTAAATTATTGCAGATTAAAATATTCTACAACAGAGAATGAAAGTTTGCTTAACTAGAATTATATCTAGGAGAACATTGGCTCTCTAAATATTTATTTTAAACATTTATATTTGATTATTACATTTCAAATAAAACAATTAACAAACAAATTAAATTAAATTTTGCAGGAACTTTTGTTTGGGTAGTTGACGGAAACTGATTTACTATCTGTGACAGATTTTAGTATAATTAAATTTACTTAGGTTATACGTAATATGTAAATAAATAATTAAATTAATATTGCCATTAAGTTGAGAGTGACTTAAAAAGTTTACCAAACGTGTTGCATACTATACTTTTTCTACTACCGTTAGTTTTTGGGTACGTTTTTGCAAAACGATACGTCAGAATTGACAAACGTCAAAATTCAAGCCGTGCGGTAAAATCTCCGAAAACATCCGATTGTTCCCAAACCTGTGCGGTAATATCTCGGAAATGTCCGAAGAGGCTCGGATCTGTGGGCCAAGAAACTCAGGTGATAAAGTGACGCTTCCCGGACGCTAGATCGATGTATAATTAGGTATTTTACAGATTGAAATATAT